ATCCAAAAAAAAAAAAAAAGGAAAAATTTTTTCATTTAAATTCATAAATTCATTTCTATAATTTCATCAATCATAAGTAATACCACAAGTTTAATTTTTACTACTAATTAAAACATTTCTAAATAACGTAAAAACTAACAAAATAACTACATTTTATTACGTTATTTTTCTAAAGGGGGGAGATGTAGTATGCTCACATATCGGGTACACACTGTACCACTTATGTATATCACTGCAACATTGTGGCGTTTGGTTATGGCCAAATATTCCCAGCACTTCAAGTGCAGAGTAATTCGACCCACACAACAATGTTATGAGCATCCTAAATGCTGAGCCGGCATGTCTGCATGCGCGGCCGATCATTCGTTTACAGTGTGAGCATAACACTCTCCCTCTCATGCGCGCCCGCTGCTTGCGCCGCTCATATACACTTATGCATAAGCGTTGGCCGCTGCTCTGCAGCGGCACACGTACATTAATATACATGTTTATATACATAAACGTTTGGCCGCGGCGCTGCTCGCGCAGCTATATGAATTGTGAGCCAAGGCCAATATATCTTAAGCAGAGAGCCACATTATGAAGTGGAGCTCCAATCTATAAGGTTTATACGAAAATGTTTTAATAAATATATAATGCAAAAATGAACTAACCGCAGTGTTTTACAAATTTAATCAAAAACTATTACAAAACTACGGCGTTTGTCACTCAATATGTGTTTATATGATGAAAATGAACGCTCAACATCGCAAGATGTAACAGGAGCATTTGCATATGCATTCAGGATAAGATCGTCACCTTCTGTAGAACTATCAACTGAATCTTAAAATATAAACTGCATCATAATTGTTACATTCGATGATACATATTTTGATTGATGTTTTGTTTACATTATTTATTATCGAGTAAAAGGCAAACGACAGAAATTTCATAATTTGAGCCAAACATATCTTTCTAAAGGTTTTCAGACACTTTAATGCTCAAAATATGGATTTATTCAAGTGATTGTGTAAAATATGGATTTATAGGAAAAAAGGCGAAAATATGGAAATAAATATTTTTTCATTTAAAAACATAACTCTGCATATACGGACCCACGGACTTGAATATAATTTTGTATGAGGTTTTTTGAGGTTATGTCAGAACCCTGACGTGCTGGGGTTTTTTGGACCTCGGATTCGGATTCAGCGACCCCGAAAACATATAGTTAACATGGTCTGACCTCCAGGCCCGAAAAAATATTTTTTTTTGTGTGGCTGTGTAATTAATTACCTCAAAATTAAATATAATAAAATTTCAATTTTAAACAGAATAATTAAAATCACAATTATTCAATTATTCAGTTGGCAAGACTATCTGACGGGAGTTAAGAAATGTTGTAAATTTATACTGTTATATAAACTTTTTCTTTATAAAAAATATTTCCTTGTTTTTTTATTTTTTTTTTTTTTAAGCTGTTGTTTATTTTTTAATTTTAAGTACATTTATTAATTATTTCTTTGGGGACGTAAGGTATTGAAATGTTTCTAACGAATCGATTCTTAGTCAATCATTTCATTTGAACAAAAATAACATTATGACATATTTGTTTTTCATCAGACAAGCATAATTTTTGGAATATAGTTTTGTAACGACTCTTGAAATACGAATTAAATTTCATTAAAATCGGGCGACTATATCATATAGTTGTCAAATATGGAAAATAAATAGAAAAATCGTCATAGCTTCGAAGTTGTTTAAACTCAGCTTGCTCAGCATGTGATAATTCCGCAATTACATTTGGATTAGATCGTGAGATCAAACTGTTCCAATAAGATTAAGGGGTTATATACCTTTTTTATTTTCAAAAAATCGAAAATTTTTTTATTGTTTTATATTAAAGAACAACTCTTTGAGAATATTTTCCCAAATTTTCATAGAGATTCGAGCAGTAGAAAAAAGTTACAGCGCTCCTAACCGCGCGCCTCGTAGCGGCTAGAACCGGAACTTGAAACTTTAAACGCGAATATCTCGAAATGGTGTTTCTTGAAAAATGACTTTGCGGTGATAACGATTGGCGGAAAACTACTAAGCCGATTTACTTCAAATTTTTTTTAAATGTTCGTAATGATATTGTCTTGTGCTTGAACGATCGACTTTTCACGCAAGACTTTTTTTTTCGCCGAAATGAATTTTTTAGTGAAATTTCTAGAGACCAAAAAGCTCATTTTTAGCATAAAACGTTCCCGTATGCATAAAAAAATATAAAAATTTTAAATCGTTCGTTCAAGCACAAGATATTACTCTAAACTAATGAAATTTTTTTACTTTTATGGTTTCAGTTGACCGGTTCGACCAGGAGCGTTATCACCGCAAGGCTCTAAAAAAAAAAGGCCTCTAAGGGAAACAGCCACCCCTTAAAAACTAATTGATATTTTTCCACGAAATTTTGCACAAACATAGTTAATAACGTGTACTATCAAAAAATTAAAACACCCGTGTAATTAAATAATTGCTACATACCTAAAAAAAAATTCGAACTTTCCTCTTTTTTTTCGACAAAGAAGGTATATAACCCCTTAAGACGGTGCAACACGTGCAATCACGCAATTTCTTTGTCTTAAGGGGGGAAATACAATTAGAAGGCCTGAAATGAGGGCTATCTTTGGGAGTGGATTGCAAGTAGGGTGTTAAATGAATCTTAGCGATTCTTTTTGCATGTTATTAGGTAATTATTGAGCAATAAAAATCAGTCAAGTTTTTTGAAAAATATTGTAATTAAGCCCATTTATGATCAATAATGTGGAGTCGTGTTTTTAGGGAAGGACTTTGCGCCGTGCAGTCTCCAGGTCCAGGATCACGACTTAAACAAAAAACAGCAACTGGGCTTTAAACTTAAAGGTACAGCGCACACCATGAATTATTCCATATTTGAAAAAAATTATTTTTCCATTAAAAAATTTGAAGTTAAAAAAAATTTTCAAAAATAACGTTTTTTTTTCGACTTTGTTTGTAAAAAAACATGTTATAACAAACAAGTATGAAAAACTGTTATATTCATGGTGTGGAGAATTTAATTTCAAACATAATGCAAAAAACCGCATTCGATTAAAATAAAATCTCTGACCTGTACATTGCACGGCGACTTTGAAAACACGACTTTTCAGGAGAAGCGTTTAAAGTTTACTTTTGTGCATGTCCGCCATATGACACACCCTCACTAAATTGTGTATAACTTTGAAAATAAGGACCGGACGGCTTTATGCTTTTAAAGGCTTATTCTCAGACATATTTAGAGTACATTACACCAAAAAAAAATTTTTCGAAAAAAAAAAATTTCTAATTGTATTTCCCCCCTTAATTCGTTAGGAAATTATGGTGCCGATTTGGTGTTTATAATCCACTTAGAGATCTGGTTTTGATATTTGAATCTATTTAATCTTCTCCGCTCAGCGCTTGGTTGCCGCATTTGCTGCGAACGAGCTGCTCTGTCAACTTCTGACTGTAAGGCTCGAAATTCACCGTTATGTTGCAGCATGTACTGTAATCGAATTCCTCTGTTTTCTTCTGATGGTGAGGCTCTATACTGTTCCATATATAGTCGCCTTTAATTTTCTCGACCTTTTCGTCAGTCGATAATCCTGAAAGTTTTTTTTTTTTAGTTTTTCCCTTGTATTGCATTTTATAGATGGGACTAATAAGAGCAGCGTAAGAGCAGAGGATCAAAATCGCAATATCAAAACGCTTAACCATTAACATGAGTTAAAGATGCGCCGTACAGGGTAAAACTTTGCTGACCTTTATAGATATAAATTGTATATATCTGGTCGAAATGAAAAAAACTCTACATAAAATAAATTTTGGCACATCCTTCGATATGCCGTTATTATTCTCCAACCGCGTGATCGGGTGCAATTTACACCGATGTCCCGTTGGCCGTTCGTCCAAACCATGGTACAACTATACAAGGTAGTCCCGTCGGCTTTTTCTTCCCCCTACCGACACTACAATTAGAGCGAGAGAAAGAGTGTTTTCCCACGAAAACCCGAGCGTTCGGGTCGATAGGGGGAAAGAACCCGAACGATTTTGCAGCCGACGGGACTACCTTGTATAATTGTACCATGGTCCAAACTCCGCAGTGTACCGTTTTACACCTTCGTCCCAGCCGTCTGAAGTCCAAGGTCCCAAGCGGCACCGTTATTTTCAGGCTTCTCCGCCCTGCGCCAGTCGAAGGTCCGATATTTCACGCTCGACCTGGATGGTTTCGGCCGTCCAACCTCCTCCGGTGTTGCCATAGGCTGTTTCCCCTACACCTTATTATCTTGTATTTTAACCATTTGTTGAGAATTAGAGTGGAGTATCAACATATAGAGGATGATTTGGCACCTCACGTTCTAGCAGATAATGAAGCTTGTTTGTTCTGAGCTATTTCTTTTGAACGAGAAAGAAAATTTTGAAGATTCTGGCGCTCCCTATAAATTAAATTTTCATCCGAGTAATCATTTTAACAATCAATCAAAAATAATACTGGCAGGTTTTGCAAACTCTTAAAATAACCATTCAACTGCTGAAGTCATCCGATTTAAACTACGTTATAATTTTTGTTTATTTTTTTTATATAGTTTTTTTTCCGATCTTTCAGCTATATGATGTAGTCATTCAATTTTGATGAAAATAAATGCGAAATTTAAGAGTCCTAAGAAAACACCGTTTTAAAAAAATCGTGTCTCTATGATAATCAACTGGACTTTATGCGATCTGAGTTGTGCCCTTCAATGCGTTGCAAACTTCCGACTAAAAATATAAAATATAAATATAAAAATGAGTTTTTCCCAATCATTTGATAAGCTAGTATTGTTTGTGCAGTAGCGTATACTTTTGGACTAATTGTACACAACAACAATTACATATGTTTTCATTGCTGTTAATTTGACACATTTATATAAGTCTTTTTGCAAAAAAAATATACAGAAACGTATTCCTCTCAAACTCTTGACATAATATGATACCAATTTACGTACCTTTTTAAGTATTTGCCTATTTTAAAACAAATACTCCTTGGTCAACAATGTTGTCTTTGTCAGTGTGGCCGTACAGCACAAAAAACCTATGTTTGTCCCGAAACAGTTACATTTGACTTTTCCCACTACGAAGATAACCACATTAGGACCGGTTCACGCTGGACATGCTCATTGCGTTTTTCAGTTGTGTTGAAGTAATACATTTCGGTTTTTCTGCTAGAAAACTAGGAAAATTCATCTTAAGCAAGCGATGATGATGATAACGCAAAAGTTAGTTTTACTTACCCGCTTTTCCTTAAAGTCTCTACTTGCTTGTATATGTACCATGTCCACAAAATTGTATACCACCTAGATTTGATGAAACGCACCGGACCTACTTATACAAAATGTGATATTATGTGACACCGTATTTTTTGATGGCTGTTTAGTTCTTTTTAATTTGTTCGCCAAATTAAGTTTTTTGTCTGTGTTCTTTTTCGATTTATTGATAATTTTTTGGATGCTCTTTTCATGTTGATTTGTTTACTGGCCCATCTCAAGCTAAAAGTCCAGGAAAAAAAGATTTAGTCTAAAAATGATCTCACTTAGGTGCAATTGAAGGAATAATCGAATGTAAACAAACTAAGGTGACAAACATTTGTGGAGTCAATGCAAAAACGCTAGGAAGCCATATTTAGAGCCAAAAAAAAATATTTTCAAGGAAAAAAAACAATGATCACGTAGTTAAGAACTTAATGTTAATGTTCGGATCTGAGTGACCGTATTTGCATGTGATGTGCCGATTATTGTAGTCGTCTGGTGGCGGATTATTGCATTTATTGCAATTTGTACACATCGTTTCAATATTTTACTTTATTTTTTGAAGCTGTATTTACCGTGCACCGCACTTGTAAACATTTACCAAAAAATCAAATGGCTATGGCTAATTTAGAAGTGATACCAGTGTGATTAGGCTATAAGTTTAAAATGGGATTTTGCATTGTGCCGATATATTTGGAAAGTGAGAAAAACACCAGAAACTTACCATCGCTAATAAAAAGTTTGAGTTGGCTTAAACATGTAAACGTTGATAATATTATGCGTTTGTGTACGTGGTTGGGTTAAGCAGTCATGGCTGAGGAGACAATTGTTCTTATTTTATTAGTTTTCGTAATGCTTGTTGGGTCATATGCGGCTGGCAGCATTCCGATGTTGATGAAATTAAGCGAGGTTCGTACTAATTTAGAGATAACAATTGCAATCGTAAGGTACATGAAGCTTAAGAAACATGTACGAATTAATTTTTTCACGATATTATATCCATTTAAGGAGAAATTGAAGTGTGTCACAGTGCTGGGTGCCGGCCTACTAGTGGGAACTGCACTAGCCGTTATAATACCAGAAGGTATTCGGTCGTTGTACATGGGTAGTGGGCAACCACAACTGATATCTGACCCTGAACATCAGGATTACTCAAAGACTATTGGACTTTCCCTTGTTCTCGGTTTTGTCTTTATGATGTTGGTGGACATATCACAACGTAAGAGCAATATCGGAAGTGATAAAAAAAGTAATGCCACTCTTACTCTAGGGTTGGTGGTACACGCCGCAGGTACATATATATATATATGAATATAATTTAGTAGAGATGAAACGGATATCCGGTAACTATCCGGTATCCGGCCGCAATGATACTATCCGGCCGAATATCGGATAGCTACGATTTGGCCGGATAGATATCCGGCCGATTTAAAAAAAAAAAACTATAAAATAAACATATTTTTGTTAATTATTTGCTTTATTTAGTTAATCTTAAGTATTAAATTACACAATAGAAAGTAAATGTGATACAAGGAAAAGGAATTAGTACATTTAGTACTCATACTGCACTAAGGGCATATTATGTAGTAGTCTCGTCGGCTGCAGAATTGATCGGGTTACTCCCCTATCGACCCGAGCGTAGTGTTCTCGTAGGAAAACACTCTTTCTCTCGCTCTCATTGTAGTGTCGATAGGGGAGTGACGCAGCCGACGAGACGACCTTGTATAATTGTACCATGGGTACAACTGTTAACTTCACTTCACTCATCAACAAAAAAACCCAAATCAAACCGAGTCCACCCGATCGTTGGCGCGACGTCTACGCAAACGGCTAAGTTTTGCAAAACATTCGGCGGCCGGATATCCGGCTAAAAGGTCGGCCGAATATCCGGTATCCGGCCAAACTGCTATCCGTTTCATCTCTATAATTTAGTCGATGATCGATGATCTTTTAAAATGAATGTTATTAACATTTTGGTTCTTCTGCAGCTGATGGCGTTGCTTTGGGAGCAGCAGCCACCACAAGCCACCAGGATGTTGAGATAATTGTGTTTTTGGCAATTATGCTTCACAAGGCACCGGCAGCATTTGGCTTGGTAACTTTTCTGTTGCATGAAAAACTTGACAGGAAAAAAATTCGACGACACCTTGCAGTGTTTTCACTATCAGCACCGCTCTTAACTATTTTAACATATTTTGGAATTGGCCAGGAGCAAAAAGAGACATTAAATTCAGTTAATGCCACTGGGATAGCTATGCTATTTTCAGCCGGAACGTTCTTGTACGTTGCCACCGTTCATGTTTTGCCAGAGCTTACGCAGAATGGATTTTCACAAACTGATCAGCACGATTATCGTTTGCTAGAAGAATCGCGCGATGAGATAAACGGAAGCCACAGTATACAGGCGTTAAAATACAGTGAATTGCTAATCATGATCTGTGGTGCGCTTCTGCCTCTAATCATAACATTCGGACATAAGCACTAGTAGTAAAAGGGTAATGTTTAATCTAATTTGTGTTTAAGCTCTTAAGAAAATAGTTTAATAAAAATTTACTAGAGGGATGCTTACTATATGTATTCAATCATCATTTAAACAAAATTTCTTTTGATTCTTTATTTTAGTAAAAATTGTATTTTATTTATTTGATTTCATCTCATATAGGTTTAAATGTCTTATCACTTTCACATCTATCAAACATGTTTGTATCCTTAAGATATTTTACCATCTCTAATATACAATTAGTTTATTTGTTGTTCCTTCGAAGCCGGGTGCCTGCCGTCTTCCTGCTGCGAGGTGTGGGGGTTCCACTCGCTAGTCCCCGAAGGTCCTGGGAGGACTAGTACTGTAGAGTACCAGTATATTGACAATTAATTTTTACGGCGAGAGGGTGATTGTGAGCGGTATCTACGCTCAGAAGCAGTGCTGCCAGGTTCATGGTTCAAGAAATACGTACGGAGGGAGAAAAGTAGTGGGGAGAGCGTTCTGAAAATACGTACCCAAGATGACCGCTAATACTCAATGTGTAAGACAAGGGCAGACACGCTGTCAGTATATATATAGGTACATCAGAGAGGTTTAAATACTCTCTCTTATGGTATAATAAGTACAAGGTAGTCTCGTCGGCTTTTTTTTCCCCTATTGGTCACTACAATGAGTGCGAGTAAAAGAGTGTTTTCCTACGGGTTCGGGTCGATAGGGGGAAAAAACCCGAACGACTACCTTGTAGTTATTATACCATGGTTCATATTGTTTGTTTCCTCAATTACGCGCGCATATTCTGAGAGGTCCGCTGTGTGTGACGAATGCGAACTCCTCTCATACTAGAATTTCACCATCAACGATGGGGTTGCACTTAGCCTGCGAATAATCAGTAATGAGGGCCGACGCCAAGGCTAGGAGTAGACAAATTACACTGTGCGACAAAATTTAACGAAATGTTGGTTTAAGTTACTTTTTTGATTGTTTTCGGTTAAGATGCATAAATTATGCACAAAAATATCTATGCCACCTTCTAAGTGATAGGATTTCTTTTTTTATGATAAATTTTATGAAATTATTATTATGAAAATAATTAACACAAAATATTATTTTTTTTTACTTCCAATAAACTATTATTTTTTTTTAAAGTGAATTTTTTTTCCAGATTTTTTTTGGCTTTTTCAGAGGTATCCTCGCGTAACAAGTTCCATACGTAGTCGTCCAGAGTATAAAGCTTGGAGAAAAAAATTTTAAAGCATTGTTATAAAAGCATAACGGTATATTTGCTTAATACATTTTAATTAATAGATATTGAACTTGCATAAAACGCTTATAACGGTGAAAAAATATTTTCCCAATATGTGATTATAAGGCTGTGAAATATGCAAAAACACGCGTTTTTGGGACATTTGAGTGTGCGTAAAAGCTGATTGGCTATTGATATTAACAAATCCAAAAACTTATATTCTTATTTTGACTAGTAGAAGTGAAAAATAAGAAAAAATCAACTTAAACATTTTTTTGTCGCACAGTGTTATGGGTCCGAACCTGTGGAATTAAACCTTCTGGAGAGGTTCCCACCACTAATGAAATAAACTTAAAACAAATACTTTGTTGTGGCAATAAAAAAATTGAATGAATTAAAAACATAAAAGACAACGTTTGATTGTATCATTTAAGACTGTCCTTGTGGACCATCCTCCCCTTAATGAGAACCGTGGTCCCCAGGTGTGAGTTTAGTTCCTGGCCTCCTGTAGGATTTTACTAATACCTTTTCACCAACCTCGAAGACCCTATTCTGGCGAGACGCATTTTCTCTGTCTCTTAGCCTTAAAAACCGTAAGAAACAGGCCGTCACATGGAATGACCCCCTGGGGCAAATAATGCAATCATCACCATCACCAAAATTGGGATTGTGCCCGACAATGCATACATTTTTGAAGATGTTGCAGTTATGAAGACTATTCTATTGATGTTGCCAAATTTCTTCAATTTTTTCTATGGCAGTTAAATTATTTATTAATGTTTAATTCGCACTCTTATATTTTAAGCGTATTTCAAGAGTCGTTGGAAAATTTTATGCTGCAACAAAAGAGAAAGCTAACTTAGGCGAGCAAAAGCGTATCTTGCAGTTTTAGTTATAGTTAGCCGATTTTCAATTTCAATTCGTAGATCGGAGTCGTTACTTATTTTATATTATATTTTTTCAATTTCCATATCAACATTCCAGCCAAAATTACAGAGCTACAGATTCAGGAAAAGTATATTTTTAATTCTGTTAAGCAATGAATCTTCTTAAACATCAATCTATGTGATTGAGATATTATTTTTGAAGTAATGCACTCGCTAACGAATCTGATTACATTTCATACATTTATTTGATTTATTTCTTTACAACCGGTTTACGGAGTTCTAGTGTTATTTGTAACGATTTCGGTATTTGTAAAGGTATACATTTTTACATTTTGGCGGCCTAATCATCGAAGCTAGACGAAAGCAGAAAATTAGCTGCTAGTTCCTCATCCTTTTCACATGCAAAATAAGCTTGCAATACAAGTGCTTCTGGGAATCCAAGTGCTTTAAGCTATAAAAAAAGTGTTCTATAAGTTATCTTAATCGTATTAGTACCTAATTGCATACCCGTTCTATTGCATCCTTGTCTTGGGGATTTAGGCGTATGGTTGAGACTCCTAAAGGTTGTTCCAAGTCTTCGGTTTCCGGTGCATTGTCTCCTCTATGTAATACGTTGGCTCCAGCGGTTGATCTCTGTACAGCAACAGCCCCTTCCAGATCTGAGGAAAACTGACTTTCAATCTGCGCAGAGTTTGACTGCGAACGTGCAGTAGAAGCTGGGGGTACTGTATCATTCGATTCGGATTCATTTTCAATTGGCTGGTTTAGCATATTAAGAAACGCGTCCTGGTTCTCAGAAATTAGTTGTAAAAGAGCTGGGTTTGTCTGTCCAATCTAATTGCAAAAATTATTTATTTTATTTCTATTTATTTTTTTATTTTCTTACTTGTTTTTTGAACTCACCTGTTGCAATACTGCATGCAAAAGCTGGGGATTCTGATATATTAAAGAGCGCATTTGAATAAACTGTGGCTGGCTGCGTAAGAATTCGAAGGGGTCTGAAACATAGATCATTAAATATTTTCGAAGATAAATAAAAGCTCATTACTGAGTATGATTAGTAAGAATTTACAGTTATCACGCATGTTAAAAGACTTATTACTTTCCAGGTGCACTGAAAATAGTGACAGTGTTTACCCTTTTAATCAATTTGTTATAATTTTGTTACCCTTTTTATGAAGGTAATAATAAAATAAAATTTCAAAATTGCCCGAATTTATGTTCGATTGTAATTTCATTTCCATTTCAATAGATTGTAATTTTTTAACGTGTAAGCTCATGTAAACTATATGTCATTTTAACGGTGATACCAATACCTTTAAAACGATATACAGCAGTATTTCCCAAACTGTTGGTCGCGACCCACTGGTGGGTCGCGGGTAGATTTTTGCTGGGTACTAATTGTCATAAAGATCTTGCAATTTTTTGTGTAGGTGGGTCGCGGTCCCGAAAAGTTTGGGAAACACTGATATACAGCATTGCCAGATACGATTATATTTGACTTCACAAGCAAAGCGCGAAATTTGAATGTAAAAACCGGTATGTCATTACCAAACAACCTAATAAATTATAATGATAATATCGGAAGTCTCACGAAGGAGAGATGAAAATAACAGGAAAAAAAATTATTGCGCCGTTGTTTTTTATCATAATGACAACATTTCTTCCAAATGGTTTTTTTTTTTTTTTTTATCAATCTTGAATTACGAATTAAATTTCACGAAAACAAGACTAACATACCACAACACTAAAATGCCATAAGAAAGATCGAAAAATCTATAGTAAATTAATGAAATTTTCTCCATTTCGACGATTATTCATTTGATAGCTATATGAATATGATATAGTCGTCCGATTTTTATCAAATTTAATTCGAAAATCAAGAGTCGTTAAAAAGTCTAAATTCCAAAAATCATGATTGTCTCATAGAAAACAACGAGGTTATTTTTTTATTTCTGTTAATTATAGCTTGGTTTTTCGATCTTTCCTGTAGTAGCTATATGATATAGTTGTCCGAATTCTCTTGTAATTTTTCAAATTTTGATCTGAAATTTGTTGAGCACATTCTTAAAACATATATCTATACAAAAAAAAAAAAAAAAAAAATCGATTAAGGAATCAGATGACAAGGAACAAAAAGTTAATGTGGCCGTTTTCTACTTTTAATCACTATTTTTTTTTTTTTATCAGTAATTCTTTTATAGGGGTTACCTGCATTTGATTCTGCTGGACGATCGACAGATGCAGACACATTTTGTGGTCCAGAAGGTATTAAACTAGGGTTTGGTGACTCATCGACATTAAAAATGGGTTCCTCCTCAGCGGGAATTCCATTGATAAGGTACTCAACGGCTCTCTCAGGGTTATTATAGCTGGCAGACATCGCGCGTTCAACCTGTTCCCGAGGGTAACCCATTTCCACCATTGATGAAACAGTTTTGTTGTATTCATCACCCATTAGCAAGTTGGATTCCGCGCGGGATTGCAAGGAGGCGTTTGCCAAATCTCCAACCAAGTCGTTACTGGATATAGGGCTAGGAGTTGAGGTTTCGGGTGTCAAAACTGATGGTAAGACATCTGTATTACTAGTAGTACTAGTACCAGACGTGGTACTAGTATTCACTGTTTTTGAAGCTATGTTATCCTTTGAATCGTTGGTGCTTGTTCCTATTTCACATTCACTTTCCTTTGATCGACGTTGATTCGATTTCAAACCGGATGCAGATGAATCGCGTGTCAACATCACTACAATGAATTTTTTTCATCCACATTGTATGAACCAACCGTCCTGTCATCGGTCAATATGACGCCAGCATAAATCAGCTTTTGCTTTTCGGCAACATATTCTGCACCGCGTTCGTCAAATATTTTCTTCTTTAGTTCTAAAACCTTTAAAATATATTATTGCATCACAAATTGTTGAAAGCACATATATACATATATGAATGTTTTGCTTGCGTATAATTACTATTGTCTTTAAATTCAAACATACAACATACCGTTTTTTCTGGCGAGAACTCAATAGTAAAAGTTTGCTGTTGAAGATTTTTTACTGTAATTATCATGATGCTGTTTTAGATTAAAACAAACTCTTATTAAGTGTAAATATGCATATGTAAACTATAAACTGGATTTTTAATACCAATCATATAAAAAATGAATTGTCATCAGTGTGACCCATTTTCTAACAACTGAAAATATACTATACCATTTTCAAAAACTTCCTAATACCGTTTTCACACGTAAGTTAAAAATAAATCTAGATTAACATACAAATTGAAGCATTTGACGTACAAACCTAATAACAAGCCGAAATTAAAAAAAAAATTGGAAATGCGTACTGTAAGCGAATTGGGTAATTGTTTACAAGTGCGGTGTACTGTAAAAATATCTTAAAAAAATAAAGTAAAATATGCATCCTTTGCGATTTGTAGTACAAATTCGGATCTGAGTTACCGTATTTGCAATAATCCGCCACCAGACGACTGCAATAATCGGCACATCACATGCAAATACGGTCACTCAGATCCGAATTTGTACTACAAACCACATCTTTAATTGTAAATAACAAAAAAATGGTTCAAAATTTTCACTTTCCGCCCACGGATTTCCAAATTTTAGAAAAAAACACAACATTTGCATATTTTACTTTATCTTTTCAAGCTCTGCACCGCACTTGTAAACAATTACCTCGAATTGGTGTGCCAAAATTGATCGCAAGGCTCTAAAATGCAGATTCTCCATACATAATTTTAGTTGCGATTTCTCTGTCAGAAAATTTTCCAAAATCACTTCAAAATGCGTATTTCATGTTTTTAAGCATTACTGAAAAGAACTGCATATCAATTTTCGAAAGTCGACAACATTCTTCTTTGGTTCAGCCAAAACAACTAAAATAACACCCTTTTTTATTCTCTTAACAAAATAACCAAAAAATATTGTATATCGCTTTGTTTTTCGCTTATCTCTTATCACTTCTTACTTCTTTTTCTTCTTACTCCATGGCAGTCCATGCTGGAAGCTCAGCAATGGTCAAGGCCTTTCTCTCTTATCCTTTCATTATCTCTTATATTCTGTTTTAGGTTAGTTTGAAGATTAGAGGTTAAATAATTCAAGGACGAGGCATGGATTTTTGTATCTATTATTTTCTTATAGATGAATGACGATCGGTTAATGAATAGTTCCAAAAATGTTCAATTTATTTACAAGTATACAATATTACATAAATAACAATATAATAGTAATAAGCTAATACATTAATTAAACTGTTAATATCTGTAGGCAACCTGTTCACTTAGAATTTCTTTTGACACTCACACCTCTCATCCTTTTTTCTATTGCTGTAACTGAACTCGTTTTGGCACAGAAATGATTTCGGCTTAAAAATCGTCTTCTCGCTCAAGTAAGCATACATACGCACTTGCTTGTTCGCACACACGCAACCGCATTCTTTTTTAAGATTTTTACGCTCTCAACTTTGTGCGAGCGCGCTGAGAGCGAGAGAGGATAGAGAGATCGTTCGTCAGCGGTTAGAGAGGGATGGGGATCCTCGCTTTTTCGTGACGGTCATGAAACGGTTTTACTCCGTCACCGAAAATCCATAACGGGCCTAAAGAAGTTTCACTTCAAAAATGCAAAAAAATTTTTTTAACCTTACCCCTTAATCGCTTTTTACAAGCTTGGTTTGTGTATTCGTTTACTAGTTAATTACACTGCTCTGCTAATTTCAACTTTTGCGCTGCGAATAAGATGCGAAGTAGTGTTTCCGAAAGGTTTTTTCGTGCTGATCATGAATCCGGATTGCCATCACGTCAAGTTTTCGAAAAAATCGTGTTTGAAAAGTGAAAAAATGCGGTTTTTGGCCACTTTTGAAAAGTTATACCCCAAAATTCTGACGTGCTACGAAATTAAGTAATATTGGAAATTGAAACTTGATTTGTGATCTTTAAAACGAGACCAAAATCAAACTGCATGCACCGTTAGGTCCTTTCGGAAACAATATATCGCATCTTATTCGCAAAACCCATGCAGAGCAGTGTTATAAGAACTTTAGATGACAAATCTGTCGCATAACATCATTTTCAGTAAACGTAGATTTTTCACCTATTTACAATATGATTAGCACTTACGCAGTGTATAAACAGTGATTTAAATTTATAAATAAACTGTATGACTAATATTTTGTGATAAATTTTAAAGTCGTTCTGTACTAAGCAGTTACTCGATTTAAGTAATATACCTGTAGTCTTTTTGTTTATTTACAATTTTAAGGCTAATTGGTTTAGAGGTTAGGTAGTTTTAATATTTACAAATAACATGTTGCATTTTAACTTGCTACTCGTCATTTAATAATTCAATAAATCATTTTCCAAATATTTGATAATTAATTTCTAATATTGACAAAAAACACATGGAGTTTTTATTTACAATTCGTTATTGTAGCCTTTCTTTTTCGGTATATCCATTCTGAATTCCAACTCATTTGCTCTGGGAAAAAGCTCTCTACAGCTTTTGAATAAACGAAACGTCGCAGGATTAATTTTGAGAAGTTATTTTGAAATTTGGAATAACTTCTCTTTCACAGGTTTCAAGTTCCAAACATACGATCAAATTGCCTGGCATGATCCAGTTGATCAACATCCTTTTTAGCCATTCCTTATATAGATTCGGTGCTTTTTTTTTTTTTTTTGCTTTTTGACATAACTACAATTTCAGGACGCTTCACCAACATTTTTTCAGACTTCTATAAGGCCTTTTTTAAAGCTTTTTTGAGCAAAAAAAACTCGCCCAATTTAGAGCAATCTAAATTAGTTGGTAAAAAATCTTTTAGATTTTTTATTCGATATTTTTGGAAATCAGTCCATAAAAAGAAGCGGGATTATTTTTATTTATTTTAGAAAGAATTCTTAAAAGGTTTTCTGGATTTTTAAAGATTGTTACTGCTAAACTTGAGTAATATAGTAGAAAGCTAATTTGATAAAACCCCATTATCATTAGACAATAACCTTTAACATTTCATTTCGGTCAAGAATAAATTGTGAGAAAATATTAAAAAGGCCATAAATAATAAATAAAAAATCAAAATTACAAATACGCAAAACAATAAATGTGCGAAATTGTGATAAGTCAGAGAGCGGTGCGATTTTAACGGTAAATTTACCGTACTCACCGAAACAACAAACAAGAAAAGGAATTCCTTGCCTCTTATTTCAGTGGTATATAACGGTATATACTTCCAATAAACAGTCATATCCAAGAACATAGCAACTTGTAAAGCACTCCACTTATTTCCTCTTATCTGTGTTCCTTTAATTGCCATGCGCAAAGAGTGGAGCTTTTTATGCAAATCGTCCGACGCAGCTCTTATAAAAAAATGTATTCGGTGTGTTTTCATTGGCATAAGTGGTTTGATATAAACTTATACGAACGTATTATCTTAATAACTAAAACATTTACGTTTTTTGTAAAATTAAACAGAACGACTTACATTGTTAAATTAAATATTTAGGTACTTTTGCAAGACCGTTTACCAACAATAAAGCCATCGTATTATGATTAAGATAGAATTTTGGTTCTAGGTATTATTCTATTGACTAGTCCGGCAGCTGTAACTGGTAAAGCTTGTGTTTTTACATATTAAATATCAAAATTCAAATAATAATAATAATATGTGAATAACAACAAAACTGTTTATTAGTTTAATGTAAAAAAAATGCTATTTACCGTATTATGTAGCATTATTTAAGCAAACCTAAAATGAAAATGTACACCATTTAAAGTGCGACTGTTCTTTGTTTGGAAAAGTATTTGATTAAATCGTAATTATTGAGGTAAAAAACAAAAGAATTATTCTTCTTGACTTATCAATTACTAAACCGACTATTTTTCATATTTTGGTATTAAAAACATAGTCAATCTTACATAACACCATTATTTTAGGCAGAAACAAGTGATATTAAATGTAAACATTTAATTTATATATATTTAATAATTTCTTATTGCAGATATGGCGAGCATAGTACTAATAGCTTGTCTGGCTGTCTTGGGTCTAATTATCGCAATAGCTCTGTTTTTGGCTGGCGGATACTTGTGGTGGCGACATAAAAGATCCCAACTGCAGTTTATTGAGCCAAATGAAGATGAGGAATCTAGTAGTTATAGTCTTAGGTAAGTCAAGTATTTTAATCACTGCGTGAAAAGCGAATCAGAAAATCTGATATGCGGGTTCGATCAAAAATAATAGTAGTAATAATAATAATAACATACACGCATTGGTGGCTAAACTCATAACTAACTTACATGTACAAGTGAATACGTTAAATATCGCTTTTAGACAAGCTTTTTTGCTAAATTCATAATGTGATAATACAAAAACTCAGTAAGTGAAAAGTGTCACTTCACTGTCACCGCTTTTTTCTTATAAAATATATTTTACCGCTGGAACAGGTAGTTATATAATAAACTGAAATAGTTTGGGTTGGATAGGATATTCTATGTTCTATGTTCTATGTTGAAATAGCTTTAGCAATGATATAAAAATTATATCGTAGCTGGGTCTATCATACGTACACTTTATTTGTTTAAAAGCTGTTATATAAACATGGTTTATATATATGGTATATTTATATATTCTTGATCGGGATCAGACAAGTTGATCAGCTTTTCGATCTGTACGTCTATTTGTTAGTCCGTCCTCATGAATGCCATTTTTTTTTTAATCTCGACGCACACTTTTACCTACTTTAGCAACCATAGATCTAGTTCGAGAAATATAAAAAATATTTTAATAAACCGAGGAAGTCCAACCTTTTATCGAGGCAGGGAAAACGACAAAGGAAACACCTCTGGTCTGGATTATTGTTGAGCCCAAATAGTACCCCCTGGGAATACCTCTGGAAATGCCATGAAAATGAGCTAGCAACTATAAAAAATTATTAGATTGTTACGATAAAAAAAATGTTTCAAATATTAGTAAGCGCACACACCTGTGATGTTTCCTTCGCAGCCAAAAAGATCCTTTTCCTTCATGCTCTCTCGTGAGAGTGAGCATAGTGTTGTATAATACTTAAATCTAATATTGCACAGTGTTGCTTAGGACTAACTTACTACTACAAAATGAGGCCTGAGAATCCCCGACATAGACCTACATAGGGAGTAATGCAATAACACTTAAGGTGCCTCAACATCAGAATTAAACTTTGTTGTATCAAAATATAAGGTCCCTCTTTTGCTTGGAGTAGGTACACAATGTAAAGAAAACAAAAGTCGATGGCTTGGTCTTTCATATACCCGTTTACCATATAAGCAATTTACAAATTACAAAAAGCGTTACAACTTTTGAAGATCAAGACCTCTCTACGGGCAGCACTCAGTGGCGGATTTACCGACTAGGCAACATAGGCAGCTGCCTAGGGCGGCAAATTTTTAGGGGCGGCAAATTTCGACTGTTAACACTACATAAAATACTACTTTTTAATAGACACAAACAATTTTTACTCTCAGGTCTTCAACTCTAACATATTGTTCAATATACTTCTTTTCGCTGCCGCGAACACGCGGAAATTCAAACGCACAATCATTATAACCGAAAATTACCGTGCGTTTGAATTGAAACGAGTAAAAAAGAAGAAAGGAAGCTAGCTTCGGCAAGCCGAAGCTTATATACCCTTGCAGTTACTAAATATGACGAACAAAATACATAAAAGCTAAAGAGCATCGGAGCTATAACGATTTTTCTATTAATTTACCATATTGTTCATATGACAGCTATATGATATAGTCGTCCGATTTTGATGAAATTTAATTGGTAACTCAAGACTCATTAGAAAACTCTATATTCCAAAAATTATGATTGTCTGATGAAAAACAACGAGGTTATAATTTTATTTCCGTTATTTCTATACAGATTTTTCGATCTTTCCTATGGCAGCTATATGATATAGTACTCCGATTTTTATGAAATTTTTTTTTTCAACTTAAGAGTATTTAAAAAACTTTATGTTCCAAAAATCATGCTCGTGGCATTAAAAACAACGACATTATAATTTTTTTCCCATTATTTATACATATATATAATTTTTTATCTCTCCTATGGCAGCTATATGATAGAGTTATCCGATTTTGATAAAATTTAATCCGAAATTTAATAGCAGTTAGAAAACGCCATCTGAAAGGAATCAAGTCGATCTGATCAAAAACAACGGAGTAAGAATTTTATATTTCATTCTCTTGTATGGGAGCTATCCGATATAGTCGGCCTATCCGGCTCGTTCCGACTTATATACTGCGTGCAATAACTTTTGGGAAAGTTTCAGCAAGATAGCTTTAAAACTGAGAGACTAGTTTAAAGAGAAACAGACAGACGGACAGACGGACAGACGTACATACATATTTCGATTCAGATGGTGATGCTGATCAAGAATATATATACTTTATGGGGTCTGAGGTGTCTCCTTCACTGCGTTGCAAACTTCTGACTGAAATTATAATACCCTTTGCTCTGCAAGGGTATAATTACTTTAGATCAACTATTGGACAAAATCGCTTGAATTCTTTGGCTTTGTTGACAATAGAAGCGGAAGTTTTACGTGAGGTAGAATGCGATGCAATCATTTCTGATTTTGCGATTCGTAAGGCACGACGTAAGAACACACAAACCACTGAACAACCGAATAAACGAACAAACGCACAGATATACAAATACTTATGTTAATATGTACAACTGACAAAAAAGATGATATTAAAAAAGAATTCTGAACCATCACTACCTGCTTCTCTGATTGAATCCATATTCCTAATGTGGAAATTCATGCAACCGTGTAACACAAGGTCAATAAAACAATGATATAAAAGTGAAAATTAGGCTGCAGTCTAGGGCGGCAAAATCAAAACTGCCTAGGGCGGCAAGTTGTCTTAATCCGCCCCTGGCAGCACTATCAAAAAACATCCAATGAATTTGTGGCTGTAAAAGCTGCAAAAAAACCTCATTTACTGCGTGTTTATGAGTAAAATCCTAATATATGTCTTAAATTGTCCTTGGAATGCCACAAAAGCTTAATACCCTTGTGTTTAAGACAGATATACAGACTTTTATATACTAGTCAGATGATCCTGGTCAAAAATATATACTTTATGAGGTCGAAAATGTTTCCATCAACCTGTATCCTATTTCACAAAAAAAAAAAAAAAAAAAAAAAAACAGTGGTTTCTCATTCCGTGAATGAGGGCGATCCCTGACCGTCTATTTATTTAATTTATTTATTTTTATTCATTTTTTTTTAAACTTAATTGTTAGACTAAAAAGACTGCAATTTTTAGCCTTTTTGTGCTCCAAGGTTTTGAAAGTGTGATTTGGATTGACTTTAAGATCTCAAAAAATTTGGATTTTCTTCTCTTCTGTCTTAAAATGTTGGCTTGTCGTGATCAAATGTATTTAATAGACGAGTTACAGGAAGGGCCCTTTAAGTGCTTAAAAGTTAGGCATTAATATATTATTTTAATTTGAATACCAACAGGGCTGCCCAGGATATTGTTGACTCTGGTAACCCACCTACAAAACCGCAAGTGCCGGCACCGCAAGCTATTACGACTCCTCTTCAGAATAACATCAACAGGAAGTTAAATGGATTTTTGAGTCTAAGAACTCCTTTAATAGGGTAGGTACTTCTGACATATTACAAAAATTAAATAACTTACATTTTTTACAAAGTGGTTCGGGGACCACACCAGCAAAACAACAAAATGTTTCTTCAGCTGGTAACGTGGGAGATGGGACGTCTAAAGATTCCGCTGTAAGTATGTAAATGTATAATAATAAATAATATAAATAAATAGTATAATAAAATAATAATAAAGATGCATATTAATAAGTGAATTCAAGAATCAAGAATTCTAAGTTGTTCTTGAGTTTGTATCATGATTCTAAAAAGAACATTAACTTATCGAAAAGTTTTGATTCCCAACCAGTTACGGTTTTATGACATCTAATTTAACATGTTAAGTAAGCTATAACTTATTTAATACTTTACTGTAACATCAAGTAAGAAATATCCCTGAATAGTGTTATAAAAAGTTTCGTATTAACAGATATTGAGAAAACATTTGCCTTTTTTGAGGAATAAAGTGGTCGAAGCACACAAATTTAAAAACCTGCTTCGAAACTGACGTATCTAAATTTTTAATTCCAATATTCTAGCTTATAAGGCTCGTGAGATCTCAACATCATACGGACGGACAGACAGACAAGATTTATAATAATAATTGGCCATCACAACCCTTGACGGGTCACAGCCTGTTGCACGATTTGCCTCCACGCATCCCTGTCCTGGGCGCGCCTTCTCCAGTTGGCAGCACCGGATGTAGACAGGGCTTCCATCACCTGGTCTTGCCAACGCATCCGGGGTCGTCCTCTCCTCCGTTTCCCGACAATTACCGCATCAAACACCTTACGGGCCGGAGCGTCTTCTTCCATACGGGCGATGTGACCCAGCCAGCGGAGTCTGTGAATTTTAACTCGACTGACTACATCAACATCCCCGTACAGCTCATACAGCTCGTGGTTCCATCTAATGCGATAGGCATCGCCAACGCAAATCGGACCAAAGATCTTGTGGAGAATCTTTCTCTCGAACACTCCAAGAGCGGCTGCATCGGATTGCACCACTGTCCAGCACTCCGCACCATATAAGAGTGCGATAGGCATCGCCAACGCAAATCGGACCAAAGATCTTGTGGAGAATCTTTCTCTCGAACACTCCAAGAGCGGCTGCATCGGATTGCACCACTGTCCAGCACTCCGCACCATATAAGAGTACTGGAAGAATGAGCGTCTTGTAGAGTGTTATTTTTGCCTGTCGAGAGAGAGCTCTACTGTTGAAATGCCTACTGAGCCCAAAGTAACACCTGTTGGCAAGTGTGACTCTCCGCTTAATCTCTAGGCTGACATCGTTTGTGCTAGTTATAGCAGTGCCAAGGTAGATGAATTCCTTGACGGACTCAAAGCTATAGCTGTCTGCAGTCAGCTGAGAATCAAGACGCCGCGATTCTCTGCTTGAGCACACCATAAACTTTGTCTTGTCCATGTTCACTGCTAGTCCTACTTTAGCCGACTCTTTTTCAATAGCCCCAAAGGCTGCTGTAACATCACGCTTGGTTCGGCCAATGATATCAATATCATCAGCGTAACCAAGGAGTTGGACACACCTGTTTGACAGAATCGTGCCCGTCCGATGCACACCAGCCTTCCTTACAATACTCTCCATTAGAATATTGAAGAGCATGCAATATAGCGAGTCACCTTGTCTGAGACCACACTTGGTACTAAAGGTTTCGGATTGGTCGTTTCCTACCTTGACAGAGCTGATGGTGTTGCTCAATGTCATCCTGCAAAGCCGTATTAGCTTTGCTGGTATACCAAGCTCAGACATGGCGGCATATAGGCGATCTCGCCGGGGACTATCGAATGCAGCCTTGTAATCGACGAATAGATGATGAGTGTCGATCTGGTTCTCATAGGACTTCTCCAGGATTTGGCGCAAGGTGAAAATCTGGTCAATAGTGGATTTGCCAGGCCTGAACCCGCACTGATAAGGTCCAATCAGTGCTTCGGCATGGGGTTTCAGGTTTTCACACAGTACGCTCGAAAGGACCTTGTATGCGACTGGAAGAAGACTAATGCCACGGTAATTGGTGCGCAATGTGGCATCACCCTTCTTCAGGACAGGACAGATCATGCTGAGGTTCCAATCTTCGGGCATGCTCTCCGTACGCCATATCTTGCTGATTAGTTGGTGCATGCTCCCTACCAACATATCACCAGCTGCCTTAAACAATTTAGCCGGCAGGCCATCAGCACCTGCAGATTTATTGTTTTTGAGTCGTTGGATTGCATCCTTGACTTCGGCATGGCTTGGGGTCGGTACATCTATATCAGTACCATAGATTGGGGTTTGTGGATCATAATCTTCATAGCCCGTGCCAGAGCCAGCTAACAGGCTTGAGAAGTGATCCCTCCATAGCTTCAGCACATTCTCTGCATCTGTGACTAGGTTTCCGTCATTGTCCTTGCATGCAACTCCTCCAGTCTTACAACCTTGGGTCAGACGCTTAACCCTCTGATAGAAGTTACGAGCTTCATTTCGGCATCTGCTGCTCTCTATGCTTTCACACTCTCGCTTTTCATGTTCTCTTTTCTTGCGTCTGAAAAGGCGTTTCTCATCCCTTCTCCTTAACCTGTAGACCTCAACAACAGCCCGTGTAGCCCCAGCTTGCAGTGTTCTTCGGTAGGCGGCGTCTTTTGCAGCTGTTGCGTCCCGACACTCCTGGTCATACCATGGATTCCTTGTTGGGGGGCGCTGGAATCCAATGACTTCTTCTGCGGAAGTTCGCAGGGAGTGGGATATGAGCGCCCACTGATCGCTGATGTCTTCAGGTGTTGGAGTGGTTCGGCTCAATAGGCCAGAGACTTGAGTGGAGAATGTATCCCTTGTCTGTTGTGATTGCAGCTTTCCGATGTCCAGCCTTCTTAGCAGTCCCCGACGTGCAACCTTCGCAACACATAGCCGTGTGCGAATCTAAGCTGCAACAAGATAATGGTCGGAGTCGATGTTGGGACCCCGACAGGATCGCACGTCGAGTACGCTAGATGCATGCCTTGCATCGATCACAACATGATCGATCTGATTTCTGGTCAGTCGATCGGGAGAGAGCCACGTCGCCTTATGTATGTCCAAATGACGGAACCCAGTACTACGAACTACCATATTATGCGCTGCAGCAAAGCCTATTAATCTGAGACCATTGCTCGAGGTGGTCTCATGTAGACTAAATCGCCCGACGGTGGCACCGAAGATGTCTTCTCGCCCAACCTTGGCATTAAAGTCCCCAAGGAGGATTTTAATGTCATGAGAAGGGCAGCGGCCGTAAGCTCGGTCGAGCTCCGCATAGAAAGTATCCTTGGTTATATCGTCTTTTTCTTCGGTTGGAGCGTGCGTGCATATCAGGCTGATGTTGAAGAATTTGGCAGTAATTCGGATCGTTGCAAGTCTCTCGTTTATTGGCAGAAAGTGAGAGACTCGGCGCCGCAGTCTGGTGCCAACAACGAAGCCACAGCCAAATTCATGCCTTTCTGGATGGCAGCTGTAGTAGATGTCGCAGTCCTTCTTCTTAATGCAACCTTGCCCTATCCATCGCATTTCCTGGATAGCAGCGATATCGGCCCTACATTTTTTGAGGGTATCTGCTAGTTGTTGAGCAGCACCTGGTCTGTACAGTGTTCGTACATTCCACGTGCATACTCTCAAATCATTGTCCTTTTTCGTTTGCCATGGTCGTCAACGTTAAATCGGTCCCGTTCCGAGGCTTCTTCTGCTTCTTTCATTGAATTTTGGTTTTTCTATGGGTGGATTTCAAGTCCTACGCCACAACCTAGTTTGAAGAGCTAGGACTCTCGTCGCGCGCTTTAGTTTGCCACTCAACGGATGTTAAATGGCAATCCAGGGAGAACCACGTGGAGGTAGTGCGTCGGCTTGAGGAGATCAGTGATAAGGATCATGCTGGCATTCACCAAGTTGAATGCAGTCAGACACTTTGCCTTATATGCTCTCCCCCATCCCCCCGACAAGATTTATGTATTCATATCAATTTTCTACTTTCCATTTTTGCAGAACAAAAGTATCTCGATGACAGACATGTACCTGGATAGCACAGATCCTAGTGAAAATGTTGGACAAATCCATTTTTCTTTAGAATACGATTTTCAAAACACGACGTTAATCTTGAAAGTTCTTCAAGGAAAAGAGCTTCCTGCAAAGGATTTAAGTGGCACTTCCGATCCATATGTTCGTGTAACCCTGCTACCAGATAAAAAACATAGATTGGAAACCAAAATAAAACGCCGAACTCTTAATCCGAGATGGAACGAAACATTCTACTTTGAGGGATTTCCCATTCAAAAACTTCAATCTCGTGTAAGTATACATTTTTAAGCAATTTTAAATATTGGAAATTAATGGTCAATCTTGATACTTTAAAAGAAAAATTTGTTTATCTTTTAGTCTTATTAATAAAATATTTCTCATATACATACATATAAATACCTATAATGTATATAATAAGCATAATTATAATGTCACTGGTCCTCCCGCAACAATGTTTTTTTTTTTTTTGTTTTTGGGTTTTTAGGGGATTCCGACTTTCTGATTTTATTTTAATTTATGTTTGAGTTTTTAAAAAGGGGAAACGTCCACCCAAGCAGAGATCGTAGAAAGGCAGAGATCGAAAATAGGACAGGGGTCACACCGTCCATGAATGTTTAATAAAATAACGGTTATAACGATGTTTTGTTATTTTCTATAAACTAACCGATAACCGATAACCATCTTTTTCAAAAGGAAACCTTGTATAAACAATAGTATATTAATAGTATTTTAATAATATCGTCAATATCAATTTGTTTAGGTTTTACATTTACATGTTTTTGACTACGATCGGTTCTCAAGAGATGACTCTATAGGAGAAGTGTTTCTTCCCCTTTGCCAGGTAACTAATTTATGAAATACATTTTCCATTCCTCCATTAAAATTTGTGCTTTATTTGTTCGAAAGGTGGACTTTGCTGGAAAACAATCTTTTTGGAAAGCACTAAAGCCCCCTGCAAAGGATAAATGTGGTGAACTACTTTCCTCACTTTGCTATCATCCCTCAAACTCAATTTTGACTTTAACATTGATTAAAGCGAGAAATTTAAAAGCTAAGGATATTAACGGCAAATCTGGTAAGCATTTTCGAGGGATGTCACAGAATTCTTTAACAGTTTTTTGAAGTTTTTTGGAAATTAGCTATGCCAGAAAATAATAAATGAAGCTTATATACCCTTGCAGTCTTTACTTATGTCGAGCAAAATATCGAAGCTTCATTGATTTTTCTATTAATATTTTACATTTTTACCGATAGTTTATATGTTAGCTATATGGTCATCCGATTTTCAAAAAATTTAATTCCAAAGTCCCAAGTCTGTTTCTGTTTTTACGTAAACTATTCTTTCATTTTTAAAGCCATCTCGATAAAAAGTTAAAAATTGTGTCGGAAAGCTCTCATAGGAGACATCGAAGAAATAACGACGAGCTGGTAACATGATTTTTTTCAGATAGTATTTAGGATTTTTAGGATTTTTGAATTTCCCCTTTTTAAATTTCATTAAAATCTAATGTCTCTATTAACTCGTTGTTTTTTTTTTTTTATCATTTAAGCATATAAAATTAAATTTTACAAATAATATTTCGTTGAACATAAAGAAAACTAATGGCATCGATGTTGGTAAACATTTATGCATTTACTTTAAAATTTAAAAATGTATTGCGGTCCTAATATATAATATTAGATCAATCATACAAAAATTAGAAAACTATTAAGAGTATCGAAAAAATTAAGGCGTTTTAAAAAGTACACCTTTCTCTGCCGGTGTAATAAGTATTTTTGGATTTGAAAACATGCCGAAGATGTTTATGGCAATTGTTTGGTCTGTGACACCCCTGAACAATATGTTTGATGAACTTTTTATTATCAAGGAAATTGACTACATAAATTTCAAAATGATTTAAATCTACCCAAATAACTTAATAACTCTTCTCTTTACAATTTAAGATCCTTATGTAAAGGTTTGGCTTCAGTTTGGCGATAAGAGAGTAGAAAAAAGAAAAACACCTATATTTACGTGTACATTAAATCCAGTATTCAATGAATCATTTAGTTTTAACGTTCCATGGGAAAAAATAAGAGAATGCTCCCTGGATGTTATGGTAATGGATTTTGATAACATTGGCAGAAACGAGCTAATAGGACGAATTTTATTAGCTGGTAAGCAAAGAAAAAGTAAACTGTTTTGCAAAAATATATGTTTAAAAACACTTTTCTATCTTTAAAACATAAATAAATAAAGGGAAAAACGGCTCTGGAGCATCGGAAACCAAGCATTGGCAGGACATGATCTCAAAGCCCAGACAAACTGTAGTACAATGGCATCGCTTAAAACCTGAGTAACTTTAATATTAAATCAATAACTAAATAATACTAAAACCAATAAGTATGTTGTAGAGACCCGTACATGGATGTACATAAATTAATTTGTACTTGCATATACATATAAATTAGCGGTTCAAAATAAAAGAGGTCGACAAAAATTTATAGCCTGCACAAAACTATAACGTTGGAAAAATGAAATCAATATCAATTAAATTCTAAAAATGTAATTGTTCTGATTAGGGCAATTGTTTTTTACGTGCTTACATGTAGAGATATATTTTGTAAGGTTATGGGTTATGAAAACATTTTTATATATATTGTTATACAATTAATTGCTGTTTAAAAACTAAAGGTGTTGAAATTTATTTTTCTAACTTAAAAACTTTGTTTTTTTAATTATTATAAAAACTTAACAACTAAATAGTTTGTTGGTTTTAACGTTTTTCTAGTTTATTTTGTCATATAAAAAAATAACAAATTTATTATAATATTAAAAAAAGTATCAACCGGTATCAGGGGTGAATTATTAATTTTATCAGATTCGTTTGTCGGATATTTTTATCCATACATGTTAGACATCTGACATACTCAAAAAAAAAAAAATCCCCAGGAAATATTTAAAATGTAAATAACATTAAAAATAAATTGTTAAATTATAGCATTAGACTAACTAATCTATAAAGACATTGTTACATGTTTTTAAATGAAATTAATTGGAAAAAGAGTTCTTATATTCTTAAATATTCTTTAACCGCATACGTATAATATTAACTGTAGGTTATCTGATCAGAAAATTATTGCATTAGCACAATAAAGAATAACATAAATGATTTTTAATGAAAGTAAAAATAATTAGCCAACCATTGCCGAAATAAAAAAAATTTAAATGAGATAGAGAGAGAGGGAGGAGGGCGAAAGAGAGAAAGAAAGAGAGAAAGGGAAAGAGAGAGAGAGAGAAGAAAGAATTAAAAAATATATATTTATAGTCGATAAATGAAACTGAGTTTAAAAAACGAAAAAATCGAAAATTCAACCCACCTTGAAATTACATATTTGTTATATACCTGTTAAAATATTTAACTTATTTATTCATAGCAGCAAATAAAGCATTAAATAAGGGTAATTAAAACAATGCGTAATTTTTTAATTTCTGGCTAGTGGTCTAAATATGTAAGTAATTATCTTATACAGTATTCTCATGCTCACTATCCAGTCTTTACACAAACTAGACTTCCAGCTTTGAGCCCCAGTTTAGCTATAAAATGATCCCAAGTCCAGATTAATTTATCGATTAAAAGGAATTTAAAGGTAAATATTCTGGTAGTCAAGTCTGTTACCCAGCACTACGGCTCCAGTCAAGTCTGTTACCCAGCACTACGGCTCCAGTCCTCGCGAGGCATGCCTCCAACGCGAAAATCACAGGTACATCTATGAATATTATTTCGAATTAACTTTAAAATATAATCTTGTCTTCTTTTTGGAAGAGGGAGAGACAACAATCCATACAACGGATAGGGATGGAGGGATTTAATAGAACTTGTCTCCCACAGACCCTAACGCCAGAGAGATTCCCAAAATAAGGACCTTACAACGTATCAGTGTATATGCTTTTTCCGATAGTATTATAATTTTACGAAGGAGACACCTCTTCCACCTGTATCAATATTAATAATATCAATACATCCAAACCAACTAGCCAGGCAGCTCAGGCGGCTCAGGAGCCACTCTCGTCTACAGCGCAACGACCGCCCACTCCTGCCCAATTGAGGGCTGTTGACCAATTATTATCATAATATAACATAGTAATTAATAATAAATAATATAAAATAATAATATAAAATATAGGTTAAGGTTTGAGTTCTTATTGTAAGTCTCTTCAAAAGAAGTTTTAATAAATAATGATATAAAAAAAAGAGAGATTTACGTGGGATTTGTTAAAGAGGAATTCGACAGTAGAAAAGCAAAGTTAAGATAAATGCTCATCCAAATAGGCTGGCGCGGTCTTTAACGTGGAACACTAGCCGCACATGTTTCCGGCGGAGAGATCTCCCCACCCAGCAATAATTGCTAGGGCCGTTATTCCAAAAAAAACTTAATTTTAATTAATTAATTTATTATAAATAAACACCGTAATCTAAAAAAAGTGCATTGCCCGCTGATTGCACTGACCGAAGCTTGGGATTTTGGTAACGTCGTTGTGCAATAGCCGCATGTGTCTCCGGCCTTGCATTATTTTCATGACGGCTATACATGATCAGCTTGGGAACTTCCCTGTTGCTGGGAGACCGTGTTGACTTACATATAAAACAAAATAACAAACTACTGCTTTAATTTCTGCTTATTAAATAATCATACAATTTTATAATAAAAAATATCGGCGATCTGTCTAATATCAAGCTGGGGTCAAAACTCGCAAAATGCAAATGATTGTTATTAAGAAATAATTTTCAATATGAACTAAAATAATTTACTAACTATGCTACCAATTTTTTGTTTTTTTTTTTTTTGTTTTTTATAGCTTTGCTTTTATTTATTGAATCTACTCTTAATTTTGATCATTTTTATTCGTCCTCATATAGGAACTTTGTATTTGCAACCGCACAAGCTTGTGTCGATTAATTCTAAATCTAAAAGAATATGATTTTTAGTAATATGATTTTAGCAATGTGATTTTTAGTAAAATTTACGTGTAAGTAAAAAATACTTGTGGCGATAATAAGGAACACCGGTGGATGTTCGAAATACGAAGTTAGTTGCATAAAAATTAAAGCTTAAAAGATAAACAGTGCCAGAAATTTCTTTTTCTTATTCCTTTATTTATTTATTTATTTTTTAATCCAGGGTTTGACAAAATATTTGTAAGCATGGTTTTCCTGGTAAGTTAACATACAAAAACTTATTTATCTGCCTTTTTTCGTACGTATTAAATGCCAAAACAAAAACGGTTTTACATTTGAATGTTTTCGAAGAAATCGTCACATTCATTCGCATTTCCACTGTATCACTTCTTATTTCTTCACTCTGACCATATAAATTCACCCGAATCTTTTGAATTAAGAAATATTCCAGAAATCTGACGATTTTACCGGTTCGTTCTGGCGTTCGAACCTATTCGCAAACTGTGCTTGCGGTTACGAACCGGGTTTTTCTAAGTAGTGGAACCAGTCTTCAAATGAATACGGTTATAAACTTTTTATTAATTACATTTTTTAATTAAACATGTTATTATAAAATTAATTAAGGTTAATCAGCATATTGTTTTCCAAATATCTTCGTCAATGCTATCCCAAAATTGTAATGCCAAAAACGCTCTTTCTACGGCACCAACAACATAAGCATACATTTTTATCCATCAGATATATATTGTATTGTGTATTGTTCTTTCGATACCATCAAAAGGTTTAAACCGATTTCTAAGACATTTTTTGTCAATATCAATTTTGCTTATAATATTTTTATTTTGATCAAGATCATTAATTGTGGCTTAAGCAGAGGCGTTGAAATCGACTAATAATAATAATAATAATAATTTAAGGCCAAATTCATCGACATATGTAAACAGAATCTTTTCAAAAACAGCGAAATATCTTATGCTTGACTTAAACCAACCAATAATCTTTCAGTAAGTCTTTAATAAATCATAGTCATTATTAAAATCTTCTTTAATAAAAACATACATACAAAATGTTATTACAAGGAATTATTCTTCTACGTTGAATTTATACTGTACTTGCTTTTCACATGCGCACCACGAATTTCAATGAGCTCTCTTATTTAGTTCTATTTTGCTCAGAGCGGGAGTATCCATTTTTAGAACGACTTATTCGATTGCTGACTTACATATGTGGGTTTATGTATATATGTCTCTCAAAGAGAACAGAAATCGAGGGAGCCATCTGGGACTTGCAAATTGCAAACTTAGTCTATAAGCACTCCTTTTGCATAACACAACTACTTTGAAATTCCTTAATGTTGCACCTAATTTCATGATATCCATGTATGTGTGCATTGAAAGTATAAAAACTATTTATATATTAAACAGTTTAATTTGTTGTTTTTGTTTACGGCACGATTTTAGAATACTTTCCAATAATCTTGTTGTAATAAATTATAGGAGAGTACATAATCTCTTAACAATCCATCAGTTTGTGCGTAGATGAGTGTTTAAAGTGTTAAAACAATCCAATATCCAATCCAATATGTACATATGTGAATCGTTGTTTACAAAAAGGGAAACACGGATATCAAAATAGTTTCATAAAACTCTTGAGGACGTTAAAGTCACTTTTTATAACGCTTTTTACTTGTGCATCAGACATTATTTGCTATAAAGAATTGTTGTTGGCTTAAAATGAATCAAGGATTGCAGTAACTATATTTTAACACCCAGAATAAAACTATTGTAAAAAATTGCTATAAATTATAGTTGTGTCAGGTTGGTCAACTGTTGTTTTTTTAGTTTTTTCTTGATTCAGAACTGTAAGATATACAATATATAAGCTCTAAAAAGAATTTGATTTGAACACAGAAATCATGGTTCATGGAAAGTTTGCCTTCCAAAGTCTTTGGCTTCAGCGTTTAAAATTTTTAATACTTTTTACAATTGTTTGTTTACCAATGCATACAGGGTGCTATATGTTATAGAAAAGTCTACTGGGATTTGTAACCCAGAGGCGTTTCCCATTTTATTTAATAACATTTAAAGAAATAGCAAATGTATAGGTGAAGGTGCCTTTTAGTATTCTAACATCGATCGCTTATTATATATTTTATACATTAGTTCCTTGATATTTCTTTTTGTCTTACTACATCCGGGTTTCTTTCGGATATTACGGCTCCAAGCACGTGTTAAGTTTCAAATGCTATCGCAAAAGCTGGTGTACCCTGTAGGTTTTCATAACAAGCTGGTGTACCCTGTAGGCTTCATAACATATTCTAAATCTTATGGTAAAGCAATACTTTGAAGGGGAGCCAGGAAGCTATACGATTACATATGATATACCCTTGCGTTTATCAAAAATGACAAGCAAAATGCATAAAGGCTAAGGCTCCTTTGATTGTTCCTCTGACAGAAATATGATATAGTCAAGAGTCGTTAGAAAATACAAATACGTTTCAATATTTGTTTAATTAATTAATGAAGATTTTTCGATTTATCCTATGTCAGCTATATAATATAGTTGTCCGTTTCTAATGAATTTTTTTTAAATTAGTTAAAAAAAGTTTTTAAATCGTTTTCTCAAGTTCAAAACTTTTTTTTTACAAATGTTTACAATTTCTGCAAGTCTTCTCTATAAACGAAATTTTGGATCTTCTGTTTGTTTGTCCGACTCTCGAATAAACCTGACCATGAGAAAAGCAATCGTCCTGTCTAGCTAGCTTTACAGTCTCTTTGGTTTTGTCTTTATGAGTTTTAAATATTGAACACACCTCGAATAGTCGACTTCAGAAAATCCTGGATTGATTCGTCTTCTCTTGCCCGTTTTAATGTTATGGGCCAAGAAGTAAAGGCGACGAGTTCCGAAATGAAAGTGGGATAACGTCGAAATAGTTGTCGAGATTTGGTGCTTTCGTCTTCTATTGTAATGGGGGAGAAACCATTGTCCATATATCCTCGATTACCGGGACGGGATCACTGTTCAAAGTCTGCGGACAAATAAAATTTTACATTCTGTTACTCCACCCGGGAGCTTAGAGCCTCTACAATTTCTTGTAGAGGATTCGTTATCATTAATTTTCGATCGTACCGGTGATAAGCCAGTAGCGACTTATCCTAGCGGTGGGGATGCCACCTGGCGCCATCTAGGAGTGACGAAAGTTTTATTGTTGGGTCCATAGTAACGTGGACGAGGGGGTGTGCGGGTCCGGGGAGCCGAAATTTGTTACTAATGTTAAGTGAGCGATAGAGCATAGAAGTGGTGGAGATTTGGAAAAAGAGACCGTATCTTTTTTCTCGGGGAGCCTGGGGCTCGACTTGAACCCGGGCCTTCCGAACCGGAGGCCAGCGCTCTACCTGCTGGGCCACCGTCCCCCCGGACAAATAAAAGCTTACCTCGAACCTCTGCGCTAAGTTCAATGTGTATTAGTTTTTATTTAGCATCGGCACTTTCTTTGCGAGCTTGGGTAAAAATTTATTTCATCGTTTGTAGGATTCTCACAAGCTATTTCCTCCAAGTGGGGAGAAGTCTGGCGTTTTTCTGCCGACAATGAAAAGTTGAACTTGGAAACAAAATCGAGCCCGAGCAGCGTATCTTAGTCGTAATCTTTTTGCTCTACGACAATGAACTTTTGCGGAGTGATCAACCGCTCCATCAGAAAAAAGATTAAACTGGGCATGTGCTATTCTCTCTTCTTTGTATTACTTTCGAATTTTTTTAATTTAAAAACTTTCTTAATATTTTCTGCCAATGGTTGCAATCTGATAATACTCGCATTGCCCATTGCCTCACTCATCCGCGACTTAATTAAAAAAGTTTTGATGAAATTCCTTATCCGAGTTACTGGTATCTGATAGTTGCGGCATTGGATTATAGCGTTCTCTTTTGTTTTTAAATGTATACCATTATTTTGATGACCCTTAACATTTTATTTTAGGCCACTTTTGATGAAGCCAAAACAATATAAAATTCAATGAACCAAACATCACTAAAGGAATGTTTATACCAGATGCTCTAAGAGGCTGTATGATCGAGACGGACGTTTCTTCTTATTTGCAAACATCATCATCGGGACAGGTAAAGCCTATTTTTTCAAATGTGACCCTTATCTTATGGCTCAGTTTTTTGAAAATAAGGACGAAGAATTTTATGAGAGGGGTATTATCAAACATTACCATCAAAATGGCAATAGATTGTAGAAAAAAATTGTGCTTATTCGAAATAAATCGGTTAATTCTAACCATAACAAAAGCTTTGAATTTCATGTACAAATAATAGATTACTTTCTACATGACCTATTATATAAATAAAGGAAAAAATGATTTTCAAAATATTTCATAAAAATCCGACAACGTTAGGGGCCGTCCATAAACCTCGTGACGCTAATTTTTTGCTTTTTTTATTTTTATTTATTTGTCGTATTTTTGGAATTAAGTCTAACGACTCTTGATTTATATATTAAATTTTATCAAAATCGGACAACTATGTCATATAGCTGCGATATGAACAATAGTCGAAAATATAGGAAATTAATAGAAAAATCGCCATAGCTTCGATGTTAAATTTTGTTCGACATATTTGATGACTGCCGAAGCTAGCTTCCTTTTTTGTTTTTTTATATTTTATTTTCGTCATGATTATAAATAATAGCCAACATACTGCTTTCGCTTTTGATGCAAAAATAGGTCCTGTTTCGTAAATTTTGCAACAAATTTTCCAGCATTGCGTCATGTGTTCGGTCATCTGGGTTGCCAATTGGTTGCACAACTGCCCAAATTTCTAAGCCAAATAGGAGTTTTCCAAATTTTGTATCTTTGGCAACTTCCTAACAAACCTTAAGATTTAATGTGTCTTTAAAACCGATGGAAGTCAAAGAGTTTGTCGATCCCCTCTTCAAAGGGCCCTACAAGCTTAGCTGTTCAGGCTGTGATTCCCTTTCCTGCACACACAGTGTCTGCCAACTGTTTAGTTACTGGTCGCAAAGTACGATCTCCTTTATTTTTATTTATTTATTTATTTTTTTTAAATTCTAGTTTCCATTTTATACTGAATGTATATTAAGTCAATGTTAGTTCCTTAAGCACACCATAGCATTGAATATTTAAGGACTCAAATCAAAAATCAAGTTCTTTTTTTTTTTTTACTACAAAGAATCAATTTTTCAATACAAAAAAAAAATTAAACTATTTTTTTGTGCTTATTAGTTTTGGTTTTCATTTAACAAGAAAGGAAGCTAGCTTCATTTAAGGATTCCTACGTCACAAAAGCTTTATTAATTTCCTTAGTTCGATTATAGAGTACTGTTCACTATTTTTTAGCCCACAATAAAAAAAAAAAAAAATTCCTTCTTGTTTGAAAGTGTTTTGCAGCTGGCTCTTATTATGACAGTTGGCAGATCCAACTAATCTAAAATAAGCCTCTATTGCATAAGAAGAAGTTCGAATTAATGATAAAGTTATAAGAGACTTCCTATGGTTTTATTTCGGGCTTCTACTCTGAGTGTTTTTACATCTTTTTTGTTGAACGAAAAAATAGTGGTGAAGCAAAAATGGGCTTCCCGTCTTCTTCGTAAACTAAGAAAAAATATTACTAAAGAAAGTAGAGAGGATAGCAAAAAAACAAATAATAATATTAATACGGAACTATGGAAATATGTTTAAGTTTTTGTGTATGGTTGAATAAGCCGAATTTATCATAAATTTTAATATTTTTGAACACACAAATGCGCTAAATTTTATAATTTTTGTACAGGATGAATTTCACCCCTTTATTGAGGCACTTCTACCGTACGTCAAATCATTCTCATACTCATGGTTTAACCTGCAAGCCGCTAAACGAAAATATTATAAGAAACATGAGAAACGTATGTCTTTGGAAGAGGAAAGACATTGTAAGGACGAGCTGCAGGTAAAATATTAAAACAATTTTATAAAAAAAGGTTTATACATTTATTTTGCAGAATGAAAAAACTGAGGTGAAGCAAAAATGGGCTTCCCGTCTTCTTGGCAAGCTTCGAAAAGATATTACTCAAGAAAGTCGAGAGGATTTTGTCCAATCAATAATCGGAAAGCGAAAATCTATATGTGTTCTCTCAAACCCCGATCAGAAGGGTAAAATGCGACGCATAGACTGCTTACGACAGGCCGACAAAGTTTGGCGACTTGATTTGGTTATGGTGATACTTTTTAAAGCGATTCCCTTGGAAAGCACTGACGGTGAAAGATTAGAAAAGAATCCGGAGTGCTTACATCCAGGGTTGTGTGTAAATCCATACCACATAAATGTTTCTGTAAGAGAACTGGACTTGTACTTGGCCAATTTTATAAATACTCATCATTCAGTTACGAATCCGACTTTTTCAACACCCCCTGGTGCGAGGTCACCACATGTGACCTTATATAACCGAACCAATGAACTATCAGATACGAAAGTGGAGGTCGCTGACATGAAGAACGAGGGTGTCAGACAAAACCCATACAACGGAGTAGTGTGTAACGACATTATTTTAGCGACCGGAGTATTTTCATCCCAAGAACTGTGGACATTATCCAAAGGTACAGAAAGCGTTACTTTTGCATGCTCTTTAAAATTTATAACTGCTCTTTAAAGTTTATAATAATTGTAAACTGTCAAATATAGGTTGCATAAGCTAACTTCGGCGAGCCGAAGCTTATATACCCTTTAAAGTCATCAAAACTGTATAATATTTTGTCTAATATATTCTTCGGTTTGGCAGAGCAAGCTTCCTTTCTTGCTTAAATTATATTTTGTTGAAAAAAACTGCTGCCATGCTCCTCCTAAAGAGATGTAAATGTGTGTTAATAGTTACATAAATATGGCTTGGAACACAAATTTAAGTATTTAAAATAAGTTTCCCACCTATTTTATTAGATTTAATTTTAGATGAAGCAAATGATAACAGCCTCAACTCAAACCATATTAAGAGGGAAAATGTTGGAGCTGGCTATGAGTGCAATACATATCAAAATACTTCCGAATCTTCATTGTCGAGCGCGCAAAATCTTATTCAAGGAGGTGCAATTGTGGCTAATCCGATTCCTATTGGTTACAGTAGTAGGTGCACATATCACAATAATTTTTTAAATGCTAACGAACCTTTCACATAGTTGACTTTGTAGATCAAAGAAGTATGCATTTATCCCAAAGTCCATTGCTACGTGTAGAAGGCCCAACCGGCGACGCTCATAATCCGCAAAAGCTCGATCAGAGCAGCTCACCTCCCATCACAAGTACCTCATCAGACAATGGCGGCAGTAATTTCTCCCTTATAGTCAGAGCAACGGAAAACTCGAATGTGGTGACCCCAAAAGCCCCCTTAGATTCAAACAGTTCTCTGCACCGTTATACGTCTCTTAACAGTAGGCCACTTCCCCAAGGTAAAGTCAATGCATTCGATTTTATATACGAGTAGTTCAGATTTTGAAAGTATTCTAATTTCAGCTACATTACAGCATAATTGCTCTGCACCACATACTACTTCCACTAGTCCCCTAAATACCTTATATTACCCACAGCATACCAATCCCCGACCAACTCAAACCACTTCGGTTGAGGAGCAAAACCGTGTGGGCTCCGATAAATATTCAACGGAGCCTCAAGATATCTCGGACTTTGTCACATATGTTTGTCAAGACTCGAGCCATACTACAATTTCTGGGACAGTTGAAAACCACCCATTTCAGCACGCCCATACACTCCCGCACTCACACGTCACACAAGGTCATTCACAACATTTTCAAATTCATCAACAGCTCAGAACTGCAAAACTTTCAACTTCGCCATCAACACATTATCACAGTACAATGCTTCCGCCGATGCTCCCCCCAATGGCTCGACCGGTAGCAATTATTCGTAGCAGTAGTGATTTAACTCTAGTTCAATCACCACCGCCCTCTCTGACGCTAACAAACCAATCTCCGAACGTGAGCAACAATAACTGTCTGTCCAAAAATAGCTTGGAAACGGATAATATTAGACTTGCAAATACAATCGACAACAGCAATAGTCCTGTGAACACAGATGTGGGTGCTCAACACGACATACCAGAAAACGCATCTCCTCAACCACAAACTCAAGTCACGGTATCAACAAGTCCTCAATCTTATCTTGATTCCGGCAGATGCAAATTTATACCAACTGGTTCAAACATCAGCAGGATTACTACGCAAATGTATCCCTCATCAAATAACAGAGAGTATTTCAATCACTTTCACGCGCAACCTCCTTCGGTAAGTAAGAAAAGTTAGTATTATAACCCCACAACATAAAATATTTATGAAGATAAGACCTTTTGAGAAGCAATTTAAGGCTTGTTGTCTTTGGTGGCGAAGCAAAGTCAACTTTTTTTTTTTCAAGTTAATGTAATTGTTATTGTTATATATACCTAATATATATTCGTTTATTTATTATTTTTATTTAAACGTCGAATCGAGAGTCTTTTTTATTGAACAAGTGTCGGGGGTCTTACGACGCGTTGGGCGCCAATTATTTGAAGTCATTTTTTAAGGATTATTTAAGGCGCGCGGTACTGCGTGAATGAGAAGACTTTGGGTGTGGATGTGACAGCCATAATTTATTTCCAGCTGATGTTGTAAGTAAATTAGGTTGATGCAGTCGTTTTATAACCTTCGTTTTGAACATGCTTATATAGGCAGAATTCTATTAGGTAGTTTTAATCATTATGCCTTTATAAAAATACCATATTTATGTATTATCACAACTTATAAAACATAATTTTCAACTTTAAAGCTGTTGGGATATGCCGGTTCCATTTCCACAATGTCTGGTGTTATAAGTCCAACCGATTTGAGTCTTTACTCGTCTCCAATGGCAGTATCACGTTCGAGTACCAGGACAAAATGGAACGAAGAGGAGCATACCGTTATTCCACATTCTGTATCTGGTACAAATATAGAAAACACCCAAGTTATATTAATGGAAGATTGTAAGTTTTATCACAATAATTGGCTTGACTTAAGTTTAATTTCACTCAGAACTCGTTTCAGCGTCTGGACGTTATATAGATGAATTCTCGAGTCGTGACTATGTGTCATGATCTAAGCTAAATAAAATAAAAGTGATAGAACTCTTCGGCTTGGGCATCCGAAAAAACTGAAAAGAGCATAATTAAAAAAATTGAAGTACCTTAAATGAATACATTGTGGAATGTCTAAAAATTCCTCACAAATCCGGTCGTAGGTTTAGAATCTGATTTTTGTGATTGACTTCAAAGAATATTTTTTAAAGCCCACTCCTTTGAAAATTTAAAATCATTTATTTATTTCGTTTTCTTGTGAAATGGAATTTGATATTTGATTACAAATTCTTTGAAAGATGTGACACCCCTAATATAAAAATAGTGCTAAGCGTTTTTATTGCTTTAAAATCAGTTGTATAATTTTAATTAACACAGTAGCAACAAATAGAAAAATCATAATGTCTTTCACCTTAACACCTAAATATTCTTCTAATTAGGGTTTAAAAAGGTAATCTAAAAATCATTTCTTCTTAACGGATAGACTAGCTTTAATCATTAGAGCTGTGAAAAAATATGATTGAGCGAAATTGCACATAGTTTAATAGGATATAACTTTGTTTATATACCTAGTTTCTTTAAACTGAAGTAAATATCTATACAGAGGTCTATATCATACTTACTACATGCATTTGTTGGTCATGCATGAACAATGTCATCGATATACTGAACAATGTCATCGATATACTGTAAAAACGTACGATATATGCGATATACATATGTATGTTTGTAAGGAAAAAGTCTGGTACACCTTAACAAAATCAGTTTTGGAAAGTTTTTAGTGCAAGATTTTTCCATTATTATTTTACCTAGGTGGTTATATCCAGTTGTAATTTTTTTTGCCTATTTTGTATGTATATATATTTTGAGTATATTGTCTTAAAATTTCCAAGTAATCCGGTAAATAGATTCGGACTAATGAGAGTTTTTGTAAAGACGACTCTGACGTAGTTTAAATAGTACCCAAAAATTTAAATACGTTATTCTCGAAACTGTGTTTTCAAAGTCGGTGAGGAATATTTCTCCGAGACGTCTTGACCGACGGACATGAAATTCTCACAGGCTCTTCTTAGATACTTTTGTCAAGTAATGATCGAAGGAATAAAGGTTCGATTAAAATTTTGATTTATCAAAAACGATGGTTTTTGGTTGGGAAGCCGCCATTTTATCTAAAATCAAAATTCTATTCTACTATTCCTTTAATCATTACCTGTATTTATTTATCCTTAAATGAGTCCTTTCGGTTTTTTGTATTTGAGATAATAAGGATCAGAGATATCTTCCTCACCGCCAGACACCTTTTTGTGAACGACTTTCAGGAACGACAGAACCCAATAGTTTTGTTAATAAAATATGAATTCTTAGAATACAATACGTTCGCTAAATTTTCATATATGTTGTTTGTATATGGTATGTTCAATAAAAGGCCTCTCCAAAATAATAATAAAAAAAATGTTTTTCGCAATTACATTTGGATATAACCCCTTAAAGCAATATCATACATAAAGTTGTCCGGCCTTACAAAAATGAATGTGTAACTTTTTTTTGGTACTAAAATTTAATTTTTCACAACTTTCTCGTTCAAAATGGAAGTTCACTGACATATAAATATGTTGATATAGGCGGTCTATTTCGTTTTTGTTTAAAGAGACATCCCTTAACCAAAGCCAAAAAACTTATAAAATATTTTGATCAAGACGAAAGTGGCTTTAGTTTAAACAAAAACGGATTTTTCAAAAATTCTGTTTGATAGTTTCTAGGGTAGCAGTATCACATAGTGCTCTAAATTTTATCAAATTTACCTCGTGATTGTTAATTGTAAGCTATTTAGGTTTCAATTATAATATTTATTTTTGTAAAAACCAGAACGCTGTATGTTAGTTTGATTTAATCTCCTAAGAAATAGTCGAAATCCCTTTTTTTTGAGATCGTAACAACAGTGTTGAAATATATAACTTTACAAAAGTATTAACAGCCACTTTAAATTAAAACCACAGCCAATAAAAACATTATTTTTAACAAGAAGTCAAGCTAATGCGGCATTTCTTTAAGATTCAATAGAGCCTTATATGTATAAATATAAATATAACACAGCATGATTTTTTATAGCTGAACATGAATAATTTAAAAAGGAAAATTAAATAACAACTAACATCTTGATATGTATATTATTACATAATCTGGATAAACTAATTAAAAAAAAAAGATTTTCACCATAAAAAAATTCAAAAAATATCGAAGAAAGGCATACGAAAGTTTGAATAATTTAAAAGCTATTATATTATTATATAAGAGGTAACAATAATATGACAATATTAGCATTAAGAGCAGCATCGCCAAACATGTTAAGAATGTAAAAATAAGTAACTTAATGACTATTATTGTAGGTCGAAATACTAATATTTACATAATTTTCATTACAGTTGAGAAGACATTTTTGATTTTGATTTAATTTGATTTTATAAGTAAGTAGGCATAATAACAATAAATTGAAGAATTTTACACTATTCTTGTCATTTTTTTAATGTAAATATTAAAACAAAAAAGTTAAAAAATGTTTTCTAATTGTTACTGTTATATATTAGGATATAAATATTAATTCTCATTATTTCAAAACATATGGTTTATTGTTCCAGTTTTAATTTTTTATATAATCGAATTCTATTAGGAATTCCTTTATAGGATTTTACGCGATGTAATAGGAATTCACTCAATTTGGTCAAATTGAGGGAGCATCTATTCAATCATAATATTAGTTTTATATGGATATCGCTTGTATTTATTTTTAATGTGTTTGGCATGTCGAATATATAAAATATGTTATTTTTTAAAAATAGCTTGAAACTGCATAATTGTATGTATTTACAAAAGTGTCCTTTAAGGAAAGTATATCCAAGGCGAAGAAAAGTGTAAATCATGCTTCCCATTTACAAACCTATTTATTTTATTTGCCAATTTTTAAATAACACAAATATACATAAATAAGTACAATAATAATTCTAAGGAAATGGCAAGGGGCGAGGGCAAATATAAAATTATATGCATACTACTTCTAAGAATTGGCTGTGAATATCATCTTACGCTAGCGCTTTTGTAATTAAGATTGAGATGAAAGTGCTTTTTATAAATAGAAACGAATATATTGTAATGCAACATTAATATTTACAAATTACAAAACTATTATAGACTGCAAAAATAGGAGACTTGGTATTAATATAAGAACATATTTTGAAAAAGCTAGTTAATAAATAGTAGTGTAACAAGTATTGCAAAGTGTTGAATTTTTGTTTTCTCAGTTGTATCACTTCTTTTGGTCATATCGGGTAAGTTGGGGTGTCTAGAAAAGGTGGTCATTAGCCGAGGGCTTATCATACATTTTTAAAGTTATTTAATGCTGATGTTTTTGAAATTTTCATTTTTACAGCTCTAAGTTAAGACGTTTTTTCATATACATATATTGTTTTTCATATGAATTTGGGGATGACATTTTAGACATTGGCATAGATGATTTCACTAAGAGTATCCTCGCAAAAGCCATCGATGACAACATCGCCTCCACGCCATCTACGATATCATCGATGTCTTATACGAATTTTCTCCATACAAAATTCGTATAAGCCATCGATGACTCGGACAAAATGGTCATCGAGAGCGACATGCACGTCAAATAAAAAATTTTTGAATGCCATACAAAATCTTTATATGAAATGGCATCAGTTCGGCACCAGGTGCTACGGACACTGGCATCGGTTGGTCGTCGTCCATGTCATCGACGACAAGGAACTTGGAACTGCAGGGTAATATGGCGGGAGAGAGCGAGCGTGCTCTCTTCGTACTCACTTTTAGTGTTGCAGTTGTTGTCGGCTCTAATTCGTCCGCTCTTATGGAGAAGTAAGCGTTGTTTCTTATTGACGAGAGCCGACGTCCGTCTTGTTGTTGTTGCCGAGCCTAGCTCATTATCGCTCTTCGTTACAGAGCGGGTGCTCTTAAGCGTTGGCTTTGTTTATGATCAACTGTATTATTGTTTATTTTCGTAATTTGAACACAACTTGAAATAACTTCTACTTCTACCGTTAAAAGGCCTGTGTGCCTAAAAGTTTTCAATAAATGTGTAAATGTTTTGTTGTAAAATGCTGTTGAGAACATAAATAACTTTAGATCCATACAACTATTGCTTGGCATCATTAACACTTCTGCTCGCACCCAATTTGCAATATATACTTTATTGTGTCGGAGGTGATTCCTTTAATCTATACATTCTTAGAAAACAAACAAGTTGCATTTCTTAAATATAATACATTACAAATATTATTTATTATTATTATTATTATTTAGGGTCCTTGGCTTATTCGTCGCGAACTAGAAATTAAGTGCTGCCGTTTGTAAGTGTGCTTTTTGGGTGCGCCTGTTTGGCAATTACCAATGTTACCAAAATTATTTGATGAATTTGACACAACATTTTTTTCAAACTGAGCAGTATTTGCACTCAATGTCGTGGACCCGGGGTCTGAAGGTATAGCCGGTATCTTGGAAAGCTTTTGGCATGACGTTTTATTTTCTAAGATTAAAAAATAAACAATTAATTATTTAGTTAAATTAATATTATTTATACTTATTATAAATGTTTTATTGTTTCAACATAAATTGATTCACAAGGTCAAGAAACCGCTTTTATTATATAATAATAATAATAAAAAACAAGAAAAAAACTGAAAATCGGGAAGCCGAAGCTTTGATTACAGAGTCCTAATGACTCGAAGCAGTTAAAACTGAAATCTTAAGAAATACGATATAGCGGCTGTATGAATTTTTTTTAATTTATGTGAAAACAAAATTAAAATTCCAGTATGGTTAAAAAGTACTATAAGCGAAATAGCATTAAAAGTGAAAACTATAGTACCCATTGAAATAGACAGACGGACAGACTGAAATTTTATTATTATTATTAATATACTTTAGAAAGTCGGTGCCTGCCTCACCTTATGATGTAGTAGTAGAGTAATATAATAATAGTGGTATAAAATTAAGGAGACAGCATGTTGGTGATCTAATTTCTAGTTACCTTGATTTTTTAAGTTGGCTTTGACATTTGTCTGAGCTTGCTCCGGCAAAGATATTTTTAAGCTGGCAGATAAAACTTGTAAATTTTGCTCTCGTGATCCCATGACGTCATTAGTATGCCCCGTTTTTATCTGGCTTTCAGCTCCAGGACATTTTTCTATCATCAAATCTATGTCACTGGAGTGATCGATGTTTTCATACCTAAAAATAAGAAAAAAAACCAGACTGAAATTATAGTACCCTCTGTATCAGGATCTTCTTTATTCTGTTCTCCTACAACTTTCAATACGAACTGACTCGCTGCTCGCAGGCAGCTAACTTTCAAGCCCCGTTTAAGTTCAGCTTCTTACTGAAAACCAGACTGTGACCAGCGGTAACAAAGTAATATAATAATAATATAAGTTAGTATACATAAATAATACCCAGCCTGTTACACCTCTGAATATGAATAACAATTCTGTGCCATCAGAACTGTGGGCGCAAAAAGTTTCGCTGCTTGTGGGAGTAAAAATGGGTTTAAAACTTTGTCACGCCACCAAGGCTGGTGGACGTACAGATGGGCGTGAGTTAACATACCCCTCTCACTGGCCACATGATAACAGCGGACCCGGAGTTAACATGCCATAGTTAACATACCCCTGTCACTGGCGACAGAATAACAGCGGACCCGGCAACCCTAGTGCTGACGGACAACAACAAACCGCCAACATGCCAGAACTCTGACGAACACACATATATTTTCTCTAATCACTTTGTAATAAAGAATCACTTTGTAATAAAGAATCACTTTTATTTTGTACTTGGTTGTCCCTGATTTAAGATTTGTTCTTGGACGGGTAAATTTTAATGAGACCGTATTCGCACACTCTTCCGCTGCCTTTCGTCACTACGGGCACTGCCATGAGTAGCGACACAATATTTTCTTACACCAAATAAACTTTAAATTAAATAAAATACAAAGCGACTTACCATTCATGGCTATTTATTTTTGTTGAAATCAGCTCGTATAACTTTTCAGGACAGATTTCTAGCACTTGGGTGTATATACAATTGAGCAATTCTGGTGATATTTTGAAAATTTCTTTATAATGATCAATCAAGATTCTGAAAAACATACAAATATACAAACTAATGTAAAAAACTATTGTAAGGTTTTTGCCGAAGCTTATATACCCTTGGAAAATTAAAACAAAAATCGACATAGCTTCGATGTTGTTTAGTCTCTGAACAACATCCATATTTCACAAACAACGGAAGTAACGTATCTTGGAGTCCACCTTGATAGACGGCTTACCTGGAGAAGGCACATCGAAGCCAAGAGAACACAGCTGAAATTAAAAGCAAGAAGCCTACACTGGCTAATAAAAGCTCGCTCTTCGCTTAAATTGGAGTACAAGTTTATTCTGTGCAATGCAGTTCCCAAACCAATTTGGAAGTACGGCTCCGAGCTATGGGGGAACGCATGCGTTAGTAACCTAGAAGTGATCCACAGAGCTCAATCAAAGATACTGAGAACTATTACTGGTGCACCGTGGTACATACGAAATAAAAACATTCACAGAGATTTAAATATGGGATCTGTTAAAGACGAAATCGACAATGTAAAAGCAAATTATACGATCAACCTACAGGCTCATCCAAATAGGCTTGCGCGGAACACTGGCCATTCACGACTCTGGCGAAGAGATCTCCCCACCCAGCAACAATAGCTGTGGCTGTTCTTATAAAAACTTAATTTTAACTAATTTAATACATGTATTAGACTAAGATTTGAATACATTTAACCTGTTTCGAAGAGAGAAGTATGGAGATTACCTATCTACGAATGGTTTCCATCCTGTGCAGTGCTACAATTGTCTACGAAAGTTTACAATGAGATAATAATCATGATAAAAGAAATGTTTTAATTAATATAAAAAACAAGAAAGGAAGCTAGCTTCAAAATATAAGTTTATATTATAGGGCGTTATAAAAAAAGTCTCGCCTTGAAATATTCGTCAACAGTTTATGTAGTGGGACCTTCATCACTGCCACGGCGACTTACAACTAAAGGAACCTGTTTCAGTAACTAACCTTATGACATTAATGGCATCGCTTATGTTTTCCTCTTCCCTGTTACTCGGAAGCACTAAAAATGTGCTTCGCAAAATGTTTGGAGCAAAGACGGTTGCCAGATTATTGCTATCCATTTTATTTCCAACCATTAGACAGTTCTTGTCAGTACTCCATGTGTCGTCGCAGTGGGCTGCTACTTTTGCCAGAAATACTAGCAACACGTACAATGTGTCCCGATTCGGTATGGGAAGTAGCCTAATTAAATGGGATATAGCTTCTAGTTGCAAGCGTCGATTCCTTATACCTGTAATTAGTCGGTTTACTAATAAGTACAAATTTCATAATGTAATACATGCGTTGCGTTTTTAAAAATGTGGAATAGAGTTTGTCGCACAGCAGTGGTTCTGGAAGGTCTCGTAGAAATTCCTTAAGTAGGGTGGCTACATCGTGCGGGCATGTATCGGCAGAAATCATTAAATTGCTACTCTTATCGAACTCCTCGCGCAACTATATGTTGTTGGATAAATGAAAAAATACACATATTTCTATTTTTGAACATGTTCTTAACAACATACTTGCATAACTCTTTTCTTAGACGTGCTCACTCGAAAGATCCCGACCTTGTGTAATCCATTTTCCTCTAAATAGTCGATACATTGATTTACGAACTTCGGCACCATGAGAATTTTCTGATCTTGATAGTGCTTGTCCAAGCTCAGTTCGCTATTTTCCGATTCGAACTGCGATTGCGAGGTCGAACGTTTTGATACACTTGTGTTGGAGTCAGACAAAGATTCCGAAGACTCCACGTATCCATATTCCAGGGATTTAGATGGTAAGCTTTCACAGGACCTTACCTATAAAGCTCAAATCGTATTTATTTTTGAAATTGTTTCGAAATGCAACACTAATTAGGCAGCAAACGAATTGGGCATATAGGTACCTATTTACTTCGTTTACCTTATGTTTATACAGTAGAATCCTGTTATAACGACTCCGCTTATAGTGTCCGTCCGGGTATTGCGACGAAAACTCGATGGCCTGATTGGTCCCCAGACAGACTTATACACTTATATCCTTTTGCTTAGTGCGTCTTCCGGGTATAACGACGAAAACTCGTCGGTCCCTTAAAAGTCGCTATAAGCGGATTCTACTGTATTTCAAAGCAAAGCTTGGGACAGCACGCTGCAGAATTGATTAGCAATGTCATATTTGTTAATTAATCTTCTTTCCAAAAAAGAAACATATCCCATGTCAAAAAGCGCACCAAAAAAAAAAATAACAGAATACCAGTTAAAGTTAATTAGAACCAAATTGTATATTATGTAACAGGCTGGGTATTAATTATGTATACTAACTTAATATTAACATCATTATTTTATATTATTAGATTATATTGTAAGCGCTGGTCACACTTCTGATCTCTCGAGAGAGGATGTGCTCTCTCGAGAGAGTAAGAAGCTAAGCATAAACGGGGGTTGAAAGCTAGCTGCCTGCGAGCAGCGAGTCAGTTCGTAGTGAGAATCATAAGAGAACACAAAAAGAAGATCCCGTTACAATTATTTGTACAATAATTTTGTACACTAATATTTTGCTGAGCGTCACAAGCCACTATTGTGATTTTTTGTGAGTGCTAAAGCGAATAGAGTACACAATTGCTGCGGATGCACGGTCTTATAGAGAGGCAGAACTTACGTTGTCGTTTAGCTTCATAATACTTCCTGGGTTACTGCCGCCTCCACGAAACACCGACATTAGGGAATATTTTGATCGGTTATCTATGTCATCGCTTCGTTTAAGATCTCTTGCCAAACAACTTTCCAATGAAGCTCCAAACAATCTGAGGCTACCACCATCTTGATAAATTAAAAAGTTGGTTTAAGTTGTAATAATTTTCTTTGCTTTTGAATTAAAAAACGTAATTTTAACATCGACGACTTCTTCACTTACTCCTTTCATATTTTCGTCCAACATCAAAAAAGGTGGTGGTCATCGACTTTTTTTTTTGTACGATTTGCCGTTTTTGAGACAGTTTTTTTAAATCTAAAACATTATTAAATAAACAGAAGTCTTTCAGCGGGTACCGTTAACAATATGTTTTAAAACAAACAAGAAAGGAAGCTATATATTACTTGTATACCCTTGCAGTAATCAACGATGTCGAACAAAATACATAGAGGCTAAACAAGATCGAAGCCATGACGATTTTTCTATTAGTTTCCTATATTTTCGACGATTGTTTATATGACGAAACCAAAGAGTTGTTAGAAAACTCTATATTTGGAGAATCACGCTTGTCTGATAAAAAACAACGATGTCATATTTTATTTCCGTTAATTCGATATAGACTTTCCGATCTATCGATTTTTTCTCGATTAATGGGTCGTTAAAAAACTCGATATTCTAAAGATCGTATTCATAAAAATCATGATAAACAAGAAAGGAAGCTAGCTTCGGCAAGCCGATATAGGTGTCCGATTTTGATCAAATTTAATTCGTAATTCAAGAGTCGTAAGAAAACTCTATATTCCAAAAATCATACTTGTCTGATGAAAAACAACGATGTTATAATTTTATTTCCATTATTTCTGTATAGATTTTTCGATCTTTCCTATGGCAGCTATAAGATATAGATGACCGATTTTTATGAAACTTTTTTCTCAATATCAACGTTGTTAAAAAACTTTATATTCAAAAAATCAAGCTCGTGGGATAAAAAACAACGATGTTATCAATTTATTTCCATTAATTCTATATATAATTTTCGATCTCTCCTATGGCAGCTATATGATAGAGTTATCCGATTTTGATCAAATGTAATCCGAAATTCAATAACAGTTAGAAAACGCCATATTGAAGAATTCAAGTCGATCTGATGAAAAACAACGGTGTGAGAATTTTTCATTTCATTCCCTCGTATGGGAGCTATCCGATATAGTCGACCGATCCGGCCCGTTCCGACTTATATACTGCGTGCAATAACTACACACCTTTTGGGAAAGTTTCATCAAGATAGCTTTAAAACTGAGAGACTAGTTTGCGCGGAAACGGACAGACGGACAGACGTACATACATATTTCGATTCAGATGGTGATGCTGATCAAGAATATATATACTTTATTGGGTCTGAGGTGTCTCCTTCACTGCGTTGCAAACTTCTGACTGAAATTATAATACCCTTTTGCTCTGCAAGGGTATAAAAACAACGTTATCATTGAAGGAAATTATAATAGCTTCTGCAAGGTTATAACAAATAAAAAAAGTTATTTTCTAATGATATATTCCGATTAAATATTTAACAAAATGTATTGTTAATAAGCATATTAAAATGATTTACCTTCAACATTTGCAATATTAAATTCCTTTATTTTTTCTAATGCAAAATCCTTTAGTAGATCTGATTCTGTTTTTGACAGCTTTACCAGTGAAGTCTCCGCAATTTGAAAGTTTTCACCAGACTCTGAAACCCATAAACAATTCGTCTGAAATGGATTTGAAATAGATTTGACTCTGTCATAAAAATGAAATTATATCTTCTCACCGAAGGATACCATTTTAAAGCAGGTAAATGGGAACAATCTTTCGCTGGATTTCGCCTATTCTGGCTTTTCGAACGGCTTCCCCATATTTTTTTAGTCATAAACTGTCCCACGTTCGATAATGACTTTGACTTTTGCATATTTGATGTTTCATTTCCTTGGGCTGGAATGGGTTTAAAAAATGTAAATGAATGTAAAAAGTTTTTTTGACAACCCTTGAATCGAGAAAAAAAAAATTAATAAAAATCGAACAACTATATCATATAGCTGCCATAGAAAGGTCAAAAAATCTATTTAGAATTAACGAAAAAAATGATAACATCGTTGTTTTTCATCAGACAATAATTTTCTTGGAATAGTGGAGTGTTTTCTAACCCCCTTGAATTTCGAATTCAATTATCATCAAAATCGGACGACTTATCATACAGCTGTCATACGAAATTTCCGATTTTTATCAAATTTATCGATACTCAAAAATCAAAGACACAGTGTTATCATTTTTCAATTATTAGAAGAATATATATAATATAGTAATTCGATTTTGATAAAATTTAATTTGAAGAAAACAAGTCGATAAGATCATAAATCAACAGCATAATAATTTTTCTCCGATTTTTCGATCTTTCCTACAGAAGCTTTCCGAAAAAAACATAGATGCTAAAAATGGTGATGTTAAAAGCGTATCGAAATATATCGCTTTGTGATGCTGATTAATAAGATAAATACCATATACGTTCGAAGTGTTTTTTTAACTGTGTTACAAAGAGTTCTTAACTAAAATTTTATTTTAATGTATACGTACACTTATTCTGGTTTTGTTGAGTGTATGTGCTTCCCGCGTGACTATGCACGTGCAAAATGTTTGAAATAAACTGAGAGCTAGAGGAGAGCAGTCCACTTGAACTTATTAGAGCCTTTTCAAGCTTTGAATGACTGGTCGGCGACGTTGGTGCGGATATGCAGGTTGAGTAGGGTGAAGGGTTTTGATTACTGCTAATACGGGCGGAATGTTCATTATTTACACATTGTGGATGACTTTTACGCCACTCTAAAATTCTTTGTGTTCGCTCATCTTCAGACTTTGTCCATTCTAGATGAGCGTTTGTTAGATTTGTGGAACAATCGTTTCCTCTAATGAAATCCAAAGCTAAAAGCGGCCAGGCATCTAGCGTTTGTACAGCCTTATTGAGTCCCTCACTGATTCCAGGCGGATATATATCTCCTGTTCCTTTAATATTCCTAAGATTTGTATCATAGTTGATCGATTTAAATCTGTTTGAATCCGAATTCGAAAGGCTTTTCTTCCTCGCCATTTTTAGGTAACGCTTAATCGTATCGCTTACGGACGGTGAAATATCTTCGTCAATGGAACTCTTTCTACAACTCAAACGCGAAGCTACAGAAGCGTCCTGCTTTTCTGATTCTTCCTTTTTTAAATTAATTTCGAGATTTTTAATACCAAGCTGGTACTTGTCGGCCAAACTTCTTAGCTCGTTCAGTTGAACAAAACTAGTCTGAGTCCCGCAGGTTTTCAGGCTCCTTTCAATTTTTTCTGCGGTCAGAAGGCCTTGTTTTTGTTCCTCACGGCGTTTCGGCGAATTGTTTAGTTCCGAATAAATTGAGGTCTGCGCACCCGGACAAATTTTGATTGTATCACTCGTTTTTGTACTTTCATAGTTGGCAATTTTGAACAAACTAGTCAGGGAAGACGATCGATCTACATTACGCTTTGATGGCTCCTTGGAATGAAGGCTTCGATGAAGTTGTTGCTTTTTGAGTGAACTGTAGATTTTTCTTAAGAGTTTTTTGTCGTTAAGAATAAAATCAAATGCATTTGACTGGATTCCCTCTTCCTGCAATATATTGCAATTAGTTAAAAACTTCAGCCGCGATATGAGCTCTGCTTCGATGTTGTTGCCACTCTTGTTGGTGAGGACGGGTCTTTGTGCACTGGGTGAAGATGTTTGGTCAGGTCGAACCGTTTTAGCACTGAGTAGAGCTGTTGTCTTCCGTTCATCGCGAAGTTTAAGATACGTTTGTAATAGTTCTATGGTTCTATCGAGATTATCAACACTATTTGTAGTCGATTCACTTCTATTTACACTTCTGGAAGCACTTGCGTGCCGCGACAATAGTTTGAGACTCCGTCGTGAGCTGCCACTTGACCATGGGTACGAGGTTCTGCGACGCCATAAAATGAAACCTGGTTCAGATAGGCACACGCGTTGGAATTGCTCTTCAATCGAAGCTATATTGTCCGAAGAGGAGCCTTCGGGAATGAGCTTACGACCAGCATCTGTCATATATTTCCATGTTTTTCGAGTTAGAAGCCAGCGTTCTCGTTTCTTTTCCTTGTCTTTTGTACTACAGCGGCGTACTTTGTTCCCAGAGGGAGCCCCTCCAATTGACTTTTTGCCACAGTGAGGCTTACGTGTGCTTGAGACATCCGCAGAAGGTTGTTGTTCAGTGGATGACGAAGGGGTTTCTGAAAGGGGCAGATTATCGCACAACTCGAGTAGAGCGTTATCCAACGGTCCTGACCTTTTCTTAATGGCCGCCACAGGTCTCCTCAAGATCGGTAAATACTTTTCTCTTGTTTCCGATTCCGATTCTCTTTTGAAATCCATGTTACGCTTATATTTTAGGTCTAGAAATACGAATACCCGTCATCATCAAGCCGTTTCGGAGTAAAAATGTCTAATCTTTATACGTACTTTTTGCTTTTCATTTGATATTTTCAAATATTAGAGTAAGATTTGTACGCAAACTTAAAGATAAATTCATTCGTACACTATGGCTGCTTTGTAAACACATCCGGTTATTTTTAACTGGATATATATTAGTTTTTTGGGAGTGCTCTCGTGTGTGTTTATATCTACATAAAATACATGTGTTTGTATTTAAATGTACAATATTATACTCTCCGAATTATGGAGAACTCGTGTACAAGGGCTTGTAAGTTATTTATGCTATTTACAGTTCACTAAAACCATTTTTGCAATAAATTCTTGTTGCATTTTTTAAATGTATATCTTTATATCACCTTTGGGCACTTATATGCATACAAATACAGCCCACAACTCGACGCCGAGCGACTGGCGGCCATAGAGCATGTACATGTTGAAGAAAAGAAAATTTTTTTCTAAAAAAAAACATAAATAATTCCGAAGTTCGGCATACACTGAAATATAATGAATGTATTTATGGTATACTAGCATACTGCAAATGTATGTATAAATACAAAATTCTGTTTTTTTTTTTGAAAATTACACATAAAAGCATTCAACACTTTATTTATTTATAAACAGAAACTCTGATATATAAAAATAGATGTATTCTATATTTTCTAATAGGGTGCCCATACCTGCTAATATGAATCCTTCTCTGCTAAATATTCTCTCACTAATTTAAGTATTTAAAGATACAGCATTTAGATTAGATTTGATCAATTGATTTGTATTTACAAAAATACCTGGGACTAAGACTATTCAAATTATGAAAAATCGTTTAAGGAACAAGAAATAAATGATTCACATCGAAGTACCTGCAAACCCATAATAAATTTATATTCTTGATCAAGATCAAGGTTTATGTGTACATTCGTAGGTCGAGAACCCAAACATTTTTTTTTGATTAGGCAGCATTGCAAATAAATAATTTGGATTTTTGTAATTATTATGCGGCGAACGGCGCCTTTATAAATTTTTCTAAAATATCAGTTATAAATATTAAGATTCTTGTGGTGAATGCACATTATATTATATTATTATTATATATTATATTATTATTATATATTATATTATTATTATATATTATATTTATTATTATTATATACCCCTGCAGTCGATCAAAATGCATTAGGGCGATATGCCACTTGTAAATCGAATAAAAATTAGAAAAGTTATGCGCCTAAAAGTTCTGGGATCTGATAATTTTTCTGCAAATCCATTTTGTGCAAATTTTGAAAGGGGCGAAAAAATAGAAAATCCGATTTTGCAAAAAATGTAAGGGGGGAGCCCATAAAAATTTCGAAAAAATGTATTTTCTCAAATTTAAAAAAGCTGGTATGCAACTTTGTTATAGCTCTAGAAACATGAAAGAAAACATCTTTCCCATCAAGATAAAATCGTTTTTGGCCATTTTATGCAGTTTTAACCGAAAGAAAGGTGCGAAAAAATGGAAAATATTATTAGTAGGGGAATGTTGTCAGGGTTGGGCCATATTTTTACCTATGTCCATAAGTTCTGAACGAATGACAATTTAGAATAAGTTTATACATTTTTGGAAAGGTACAAGCAAGAGAAAGTGTTCACCAAAAATAGAAAATAAAAAAAAAAAAAAAAAATGTAGTCAGCGTTGGGCCACCTTCAGAAAATCGTTGACAATATCGTAACGTGGTGGAATAAAATTGAATTCAGGTAAATCTGACATTATTTTGTTCATTTATTTCATTATTTGGGATTTTACAGTAAATATCAAATTATTCAGAGTTGTTTTTCGTTTGTATCGAGAAACACTAAAGAAAAAGATAAAAGTGATTCATATTCTTTCAATCCATCAAAATATTTTTTTAAGGAAATCTATTTAATTTATTTTGCATATTTTTGCTACAAAAAACTTAAATATTACAACAAAAATCGAAAATCCACGAATAAAATGTAAAAATTATGATAGCCCAAGCCTGACTACAAAAGTGGCCCAACCCTGACAACATGCGGTATTAATCTATTATGGTATGATATAGCCAAACTATGTATATCTATCAGTGAAACTATATCTTAGTATTTTGTAATATAACAACTATATAACGTATTTTTATGCTCACTTTGCGGATGACATGTTGTAATCTTGTGTTATTCCACCTTTTCGGCCAGGTTAAAAAAACTTTTTCGAGCACTTTTTTTTCAAAGAACAACGACACGTAGAAAAATGAAATCCCGAAATAAGTAGTCACGTGGAAAGTTTTGAGTGACCGATAGTAGTTTCTAGACACCCACTAACAGATGGTACTAGAACGAATATTCAAAATATTGAGATGGCCCAAGCCTGACAACAGTCCAACCCTGACAACATTCCCCTATAGTACAAAATATTAAGTTTCAGATTGTCAGTCTGTTTTTGGCAAATACATAAGGTCTTGGTCGAACTTCACTGTGCTTAACGCTCAGAGTTACAAAATTTTTTTAGCCTGTTGAAAGTCTCAATGTTTAGGGGATCCTAAACAGTTTTATACTTTTATTAACACTTAGCGCAGATCATGTTTTTTCTGCCTTCGCTTCATTTGAAAATATGACGGCTAATACTGATCAGGCAATAGCCGACCTGTTTTCCCAATTCTTTGAAACGACTTACTCCACAGTGTCTCATTCAAATGAGCAATATTTATACGCCATACCTAAGTCGAACCTAATATTTCGACCCACTACAAACGAAAGCTCCCTGCTTTTGGATCTTCAACGTTTTACACCAGTTTACTACCCAGGACCTGGGAGAACGGGTTTCCTGGGTGTGTTCTTAAATATTGTGTTAATGCACTGTGTAGCCCCTTCTCAAGCAGTTTACCCTACCCCTACAAACTTGTCAGTTTCCCCTTGTTTGGAGGGAGTCATTTGTTATTTCCCTGCATAAAAAGGGAAACAAGTCGGATGCAAGCAGTTATAGAGGTATTTCTAAATTTTCACCTATTCCAAAGCTTTTTGAAGGAGCAATATCCTCACTTGCAGCACCTTTGTAGATCAGTCATATCTCCATGCCAACACGGACTTATGAAGCGCAGGTTTTCAAACTGATGTCATTTACACAGACTTCAGTTAAGCATTTGACTCTGTAAATCACCTCCTATTGACATGATAGGGTTTCCAGCAGATCTCCTCAGTCTCCTCAGATTTACCTCTAGTGTACCCCAAGGAAGTCACCTGGAACCATTACTTACATTACATTACATTATTAATGATAATGATTCCATTGGTCATTGCGCATTCCTGCGTACTTATGTACGCGGATGATGTTATACTGTGTCATTTAAACCCTCAAGCAGACCTAAGCACGTTTTGTCGGGTCAATCTGCATAATGTCACCTATTCGCTAAGTGGTAATACCTTGGAAAGAATAACGCTTGTTGACGATTTTGGCGTCCTCTTGGACCCTAGGCTTAATTTCTCACTTCATATTTCGAACATACATAGTTAATAAAGCTAGGGGAATGCTTGGATTTATTAAACGATGTGCAAATGAATTTGAGGATCCTTACGTTACCAAGACTTTATTTATATCGTTGGTCCACCCAATCCTTGAGTATGGGGCTACTGTTTGGTCGTGGTCACCACTATAATGTTCTATAAAATATAGAACATGTCAGAAACAAGGTTATTTCTTCCATTTTCACACAACTTTTGTTTTTGATGCCCCAGCTCAGCGAGTTCCGCTCACTTTCGATATCGAAACTAAATTGACCCTGATCTCATCGATCATCGTGCTATATATTGTCAGCCTACATATATTGTCATCTCTTTCTATCTCAGGACTTTTGGTAACTCGACAACGGACCTCACTCATCAGCAGAGACTCCCACCGTCTTTAGCATGAATTCTGTACTTCCTTGAATCTCTTTCCGACAAATATATTATATAATAAATTAAGGTAAAAACGAAATACTTTTTCTAATGTTATTTTTTTAGATCTAAACATCAATAAATTATTTGAAAGGCTTTTTAAATTTTGTATATAGTACTTGCATATTTATTATATTAGTTTAAATTATATGACTATAGGAATTACATTAATTTTTGTATTTCTGTGTTAAATTGAGCGCATTCATTTACAATAGGTCCTCTGGAACACGCTGTGATCTGAAACAAAACAAATTAATGGTACTTTATTATAATAACATTACAACCAACTGATTTTCAAATATTCCAAGTTTCATATATCATATAGCTGTCATAGAACAATCATGAAAATAATAAAAACTTCACTTCCTTTTTGGCAAGTCGGACTACCCCATTAATACCACTCCCCTTTCTTCCTCTTCCTTCTTCCAAGAGGAAGACAACATTCTTACACTATGAGCTTTTATACTCTTTTAATGAATATTAAGACTTATGTATATAGTTTGCAACGCAGTGGTCTCTTAAGATCTATGTATTCTTGATCAGCTCGTTTCCCCTCCCACCTTTTGATGAACCAGCTAGTCGGCTTGTGCGCCAACAAGTACTTTAGCCTTAATAATGACCGTCAATTCAACAACAACTTCAACTTCGTCCGTCAACTTGCGACCTGTCATATCAAAATTTGTCTCCTTTATAATTCTCCCGAAAATTACGTTCGTATAGACTGGGGTCGATCGGTATATCCAAATGAGTTGGTAAGTATTTGGTTTGGCAGCAATTAAAAATTTTCGCTAATCAAATAAGTAATTAATAAGGTAAGGTAAGTCATAAGGTAAGCTTGAAAAGTAATCGACCATCCCCATCTATATTAAAGATCACAACAGCTCTGATCTTATTAATAAACCACGTCCAGACCCTACACCTCTAAGGGGTAAGAGTCCAAGAAACTCAAGAGCTTATCATGCTAGCGCTTTTCCAAACCCTTGAATATGAACAGAAGATCACGGTCCTGTCCAGGAATATGGACATAAGAAAAGTATTGACAAGGGCTATGAAAAACAAATCAACGAAGATCAACGGGCCTACATAGAAAAACTTTCTCCCTCCTTCAACAAATTTCCGCTCTGGAGAGCTCATTCAGTTTTACAGCCACCAGTCGAACCCGATATGCCTTTAAGATCCCAAACAGGTGTATGGGCACGAAGCGAGGAAGAAGGCTAAAAAGTCCCAACCCTAGAGCCCTCTTCCCCGATTGCCAAATTGTCACACCTACAAACATACTTTGATAGAAACTATTTGATTCCTTCGGACCAATTTGGTTTCAGATAAAAGCATGGGACTATCGAGTAGGTAAACCGCATAACATCTGACATCCGCCGAAACGTTTTTTTTACCGCGTTTGGATCGCCGACCGACCTGGTTTACAAAATCAAGATCTTCCTGCCACAAGACACTCACAATCTGCTTAGGTCGTATCTCAAAAACAGGCGATTCACTGTAAGATGCAATAACTGTGAGGAGCACACCATTGAAGCTGGAGTTCTTCAAGGAAGTACATATCAGACATTTCCACTAGCCACCAAATGGTTATATTAACCTTCGCTAATGATACTCCAATTGTTTGCCGCTCAAAATATCCAAACGCATCAACAGAAAATATACAAAACCACCTAGTGGCTGTAGAGAAGTGTCTAGCTGACTGGCGCATACAAGTCTACGAGCACAAGCACAACATGTTTACACTCAACCGAGGCACTTGTCCACCACTACTCCTAAAAAATACACCAATTCCACAAGTGGACGAAGTCACTTGGTATCCACCTAGACAGGCGACTTACATGGAGGAAACACGTAGTAGCAAAGAAGACCTGACAAAACTAAAGGCCAGCAGTTTCCATTGGGTAAAGTCAAACGATTTCTATACATTTTTTTTCCCAGATTGGTAGAACTGTTGTTTATATTCCCACCAATTTTCAGCGTCATCGGATTGACATTTGTCAAAGTTACGTTGTGTTGTTTACATTAACCTTTGAGCGTCTCTTCGATTTTTTTGATTTTAAAGAATGGATAGAAAACAAGAGCAACGAATTTGCATTAAATTTTGTGTTAAAAATGAAATTAGTGTTCTGACTACTTTGGAAACTAACAACAGTTCGCGAGTGGCATGACGGTTCAAAAGTGGCCGTAATTCCATCAACGATGATGACCGTTCTGGCAGGCCATCCACTTCGAAAACGGACGAAAACATCGGCAAAATCAAAGACTGGATGGCCATAAACCGCAAATTGACTATTAGAGAGATGGCAGAGGAGTTGGACATTGCTTTTGGAACCGTTCAAGATATTTTGGCTAATGATTTGGGTTTCAGACGCGTCGCTGCAAAGTTGGTGCCAAAAGAACCCGATTTGTAAACTAAAATTTTTGAAACTTACCTTAAAATTAATTACGTTGTTTTTTGTTAGTCATCTTTCTACTCGGTACATTTGCTCTTTAAGGCTTAAAATATACAACAACATTTTGACTGATATGATAGTTATCATTGCAGTGTAAGCCCTAATTCCAATGGCAGCACTAGTCTGCATTGCTGCCGGCTGCTCACCTAAAAGATTATATATTTTGGAAGACTTCTTCAAAAGAATATTGATTAATATTTACCGGTTAATACATGAACCCTTACGGAGGCTGGCACTGCTCCATTTGGAACGCAAGTATAGTTTCCAGAATCACGCAATGACGCTCGCGTCAGCATCAGTCGACTGGTGGTTCCTATATCAGTTTTTTCCGTTTCCAAACTTATTCCGCCTCGGAGTGAGTCAAAGTCAATAATTGAAGAGCCATGATACCTGTGACCAGTTTTGTAAGCAATTATAAAAGACATCTTCTTCTGAAAAAGTTGCCTTCTTACCAAATCACTGAGGACGCATGGGTATTCACGGAGCAAGCCAGTGCTATGGTGCTATCCCGCTTCACATGAATTTCCGTGGATCCAAGAATTTTCGCTCGAGCCGCTATTGGTTGTCACTCTTTAATTACAAATTTTATCATAAACTAAGAAAGCTTTACCTTTTGAATCGTAAAACCTATTCTCCGGTTTTAAGTCGCGAAAGTCATTATCAGCTGAAATAAATAAAACGTTTGTTATTGTATAATTCTAAAAATTCTGTATACCAAGTTGTTTTTAACTCTAAGATATGCACCTGTTATTTCCAAAACAATCGCTAGATTTATTTTTGGATCGGTATTAACTTGACACTCATAGACGCCACTATCACGAGGTTGGGCATAATCAATCTTCAAGTCCCAATCTTCACTGCTCGGTGGGTGAATTACAGAAAATCGTTGATCGCCGGTATAGGTATAAATGTTCGTTGTAAGAATGTGAAGGTCGCGTTTCCGCATCCATGATACCTAAAATGTTTTAAATACAAAAATTTAAATTAATTAATTTACAGAATGTTTTTTTTTTTTAGCATAAATGCTGTGAAATAAAAAGAAAACTGAGAGACTAGTTTCCATTAAACATACAGACATTCGTGTCCAGATTGATTTAAAGGGTAATGCTGATTATATATAAAAATTACATATATACTGAGATCTCAGCTTTGACTACGTTGCAAACTTCTGACCTAAATTGTGAAATGATGTGCTAGCTAATCAGTTCAATCAGTGATTTTTATATACTGCGATATCTGTTAGAGTTTTTTTTTTGCAAAAAATTGATTATTTTTATGTTATCTGGGTTAAATTAGTTTAGTGTTTAGGAGCTTGTTTAAGGTAAATATATATATATGTGCTGTTGGTGGAAACTCACCTCACAAGCAGATGTAACTTCCATAAACGGGGTTACACCTTCTATCGCACACATCATCCCGATGGTAAAGCCCACGGCGGCACCGGAATCTTAATTAAAGAGCGCATCAAACTCCATTTTCACCAAAGGTTTGCAACAAATTACTTGCAAGCCACGTCCACCATAAACCTTCTTCAAAGCTTAGAAATTACTGACCACCCCTACAGGCTGACGTCGCACAGAAGTGACTGGATGAAGTACAGGAAGTATGTGAGTTCCCACATTGAGCTAACCCCCCAGCTCAATATTGAAGCGGACATCGACTGTTCTACCGCCGTCCTACTCGTCACAGCAGCCACGATCTCAACACCACAGCGGAAGAATGTGCAAATAAAGAAGTTCAAAACCAACCTGCAAATTGGACAACTCGTTCTGGAAAAGAGGAGTCTGCGACGGGCGTGGCAAACCAGCAGATCGCCAGGCTCAAAGCAACGTCTAAATGAAGCTACCCGCAAACTAAACTGGGCTCTGAAGCAAGATGCCGAAATCGCACAACTAAGATATATTGAGAAACTCTGGCCAACAAGTGCAAAACATCCCTTGTGAAGGGTTCACCCAAACCCAAGCTTTCCGTTTAAATCCGTTTCCCTGACAAGAAATTCTTCAGGCCACACAGACAGAGCCGAAACATTTGCCTCACAGCTTAGGGGCAGCTTCCAGCCGAATCCCGCTGCAAACCCATTTTCACCGCAAATCGAAAGTGAAAGTTAATCCACGATAACACCGTTTCGACCAAACGAGATCACCAAAGTCATCCGGGGGCTAAAACCGAAAAAGGCTCCCGGCGGTGACCAAACAACTCTAAAAATTATAATTGAACTTCCACACTGTTCTGTAAACTCTTCAATGGGATTATAAGACTTGGCTACTACCCAAAAAAATGGAAAACGTCAATAATCATTATGATACCGAAGCGCGGAAAAGATCACATGATTCCGTCCTCTTAACGGTCTCATGCACAAAATCAAAACACACTTTCCCGGGTGAATTAAATCATAAGTTGAGTTGTATCCCTACAACAACACTCGGGTCCAGGTTCCTTACACTTGGTACCTCTGGAAGCATCGACCCGACAAAGCTCCTTAACCTTATCGAAGGAGCCGGGTTGTTGGGTGAGCTCTAAGCTCAGATAAGGGGTACAATAGATCCAATTGAGTCGTCGTAACCTTTCCCCCTAATAATAATAATAATCCCTACAACAGAGTCTTCGCAGTGTGGTGCAACACAACCCACCTACCAACTCTATTCGTCCTTTACACAGCGGGTATTCCCACGAGCGCCCGACTATCCGACTATCCACCTTCGCCGACGATCATCAGTCGCTCTAAATGCCCAGTCCGTGCAACATCCCAATTAGGCAACCATCTCTCGGTAGTAGAGAAGTGCCTAGCCGACTGGCGTATCGAAATAAACGAAGAGAAGTGTAAGCACGTAACGTTTACTCTTAACTGACAAACATGCCCTCCGATCTACTTGAATAGCACACAAATCCCCCAAGTCAACGAAGTAACGTATCTCGGGGTCCTCCTCGACAGACGTCTTACATGGCGTAGACACATGGAATGCAAGAAACTACACCTAAAACTAATAGCCAGCGTTCACTGGATTATAAACGCCCGATCCCCCATGTGTCTGGACTCCAAGATACTGCTCTACGACTCCACTCTTAAACCAATCTGGACGTATGGCTCCCCCCCCGCTCTGGGGGAACGCGAGCAAAACCAACATAGACATCATATAGTTCAAGCAAAGATCCTGAGAACAATCACTGGAGCACCATGGTATATTCGAAACCAAAACATCCCCAGGGTCCTTGGGAATTATACCTTTGCAGTCATAAAAAATGTCGAGCAAAATGCATACAGGCTTGACAACATCGTGATTATGATTCTTCTAATAATTTTTTACCGATTGTTCCTTAACATCTATTTGATATGGTCGTCCGATTCTCAAAAAACTGTTTTCTAAATTCAAGAGTCTCCAGAAAACTCCAAAAAGGGGTGCATGTACTATGATTCATTTTATATAGATTTGTCGGCCTTTTCTATGTCGGCTATAAGGTATAATGTTCAGACGTTTAGGAAATTTGTATCTTGATTTAAAAGTAGTTAACAGAACTCGACTTTTTGAATAAATCGTGCCAGTATAATTAAAAGACAACGTCGTTAAAAGTTCGAAATTCAAGAGTCCATAGAAAACTGAACATCAAAAAAATCATGATAATTTTAAATAGATTTTTCGATTTTTCCTATGATAGCTATATGTTTTTATAGTCGTTTTTATGAATTTTTGTCAAGATTTAATAGTAGTTAAAACACTCGATATACCAAAAATCATCATAGAGTTATTATCAACTGAAGGAAATCGTTATCATAAACCAAACTATTTCATTTGCTTGGAAAACATTTTAATCATGTTAACAAGGGTATAACAAGAAAATAATAAGCCAAGCTTTCAGTAAAAATGACTACCTTGTGGACAAATACTAATTCACATGGACTTACGGTGCGATTTCCTTTATTTTTAACACGACATCTTAGAATAGCAACTTCGTCGACAACAGCGGTCACATTTCTTGGACTTATATCATCGAAGAACGGTCGTTCAGAACTAGTTAGATCTTAATATAAAATTGTTCGATATTTGAAAAGGTTAATGAATAAATTTTATCATAGCATACGAATTTGTATTCCTCTTACCGTTTAGGTTTAGAAATGAAGATGCACTGATATGGTTAAAACATATATTAAAGTTTAGGATTATAAAAAGAAACGGCTTGATTTTAACCGGGGAGTTTTCCGAGTTTGTGGCATTGTTGCCACCCGTCATATTGTTTCAATTCATTGGCTTTACGCAAAAGACGATTTAGTTAATAAGCGTCCTTTTCCGGGATATTAATACAATTTGATTGTATGGATAGTCTGCACAACAATTTTATGCTTTTTATCCTGATTGTGATATTCTCTTTTTTTTTTATTTGTTTTAACACTTTCACGTGTCTTTCAATTTATATTTTATGTATAAGATATAAATTGTATTTTTATTTAAAGCTTTTCGCTTATGTAGCTGGTATCCACAATCAGTTTTTCAGCAAAAAGCTCTGTTCAACCCCTAACATTGCTTTTCATAAGATTTACTGAATGAGCTTTCTTGTAAGCTTTCTAAGGGTTCATCCCTAGAAAAGCACTCGCATGTAGCTTAGTATCAGCTCTATTTTTTAGCAATATTATGAAAAATATATTACTCTATTAGTATATTTTTCATAATATTGCTAAAAAAATATAGAGCTGATTTTTTAGCATAATAACTTTCGCTTAGTATCAGCTCTATTTTTTAGCAATATTATGAAAAATATACTATAAATATTAGTATTTTTTTCATAATATTGCTAAAAAAAATATAGAGCTGATTTTTAAGCAATATTATGAAAAAATTGGAAAAAAAATGGTTTGATGGTCGCTATTTTTGAAAAATTTTGAAAAAAAAATCTTTTTTTTAAAGTATTTTTGTAATTTATGCAATAAAAATACTTACAATTATTCTATAGTATATTCGTTATATTTATAGCATTGAAAAATCCATACTAGAAATATACAAAACTGTCACATAAAATTAGTCGTTAACAAATTCTTTATCCTAAAAATCAGGCTTGTATGATATTTTCTACATCGATTTATTTTATTAAAGAGTGTGCTCTTACGAATTTATTTGTTCAAAGATCGAAACATCCATAAGAAATGAGTCCAAATTAAATTATCTGATTTTTTGAATATAAGGTTTTCAACCACTTTTGAATAACGATTTTAATTATTTATTAGCTGTGCTGTGAACAATCAAATAAATTAGAAACAGGTATTAGAAACAAGAAAGGAAGCTAGCTTCGGCAAGCCGAAGCTTATATACCCTTGCAGTCATCAAATATGTCGAACAAAATGCATAAAGGTTAAACAACATCGAAGCTATAACGATTTTTCTATTCATTTTCCATATTTCCGTCTATAGATCATATGGGAGCTATATGATATAGTTGTTCGATTTTGATCAAATTTAATTCGTAATTTAAGAGTCGTAAGAAAACTCTATATTTCAAAAATCATACTTGTCTGATAAAAAACCACGATGTTATAATTTTACTTTCGTTATTTCTATAAAGATTTTTAGATCTTTCCTATGACAGCTATAAGATATAGTTGTCCGATTTTTTTTGAAACTTTTTTCTCAATTTAAGGGTTGTTAAAAAACTTGATATTCAAAAAATCATGCTCATGGGATAAAAAACAACGATGTTATCAATTTATTTCCATTAATTCTATATATATTTTTTGATCTCTCCTATGGCAGCTATACGATAGAGTTATCCGATTTTGATAAAATTTAATCCGAAATTCAATAGTAGTTAGAAAACGCCATCTGAAAAAATTCAAGTCGATCTGATCAAAAACCACGGCGTTAGAATTTTTTATTTCATTCTCCCGTATTGGAGCTATCCGATATAGTCGGCCGATCCGGCTCGTTCCGACTTATATACTGCGTGCAATAACTACACACCTTTTGGGAAAGTTTCATCAAGATAGCTTTAAAACTGAGAGACTAGTTTGAAGAGAAACAGACAGACGGACAGACGGACAGACGTATTCTGCTTCTACTCGTAATGCTGATCAAGAATATATATACTTTATGGGGTCTGAGGTGTCTCCTTCACTGCGTTGCAAACTTCTGACTGAAATTATAATACCCTTTTGCTCTGCAAGGGTATAAAAAGGGTCATATCTTCGATATTCTTAAGCATTTAGGCTATTTCCCGACATTTAGTAATTTTTTACGGTAATAGATATTCAAAAAAAGTAAATAAAAAAGAAATTGGAAAATTTTACGTTACAATGGTAACAAGTACTTTTCATCACTGTGAACAAAACAATTGGGATGCCGTAAGCAAAATGACAGTCTTTGTCATGAAATCCTTGCATCGCGCTGAACGTCAGCGCAATCGACTTTAAACCTAGTTTAATTACTAGTGGGGGGTTTTTGGGCCATCTCCCCCCTCGCGAAGTAATACCCAAGGTTAACCCCTGCGGTTGTACCGTGAGAGGAAAACGCAGAGTAGGTTCAGGGTTTTAGTGGGTGAAAGACCTACACTTCGGCTCTTCAAGCTTTCCCCCTTAACAAAAAAAAAAAAAAAAAAAAAAAAAAACATAGTGTCAGTTGTGGTTATGGTACTAGTGTTGTGAGTTAAAGAGCACAGTGGGCGTTGTGCAGTGACGATCTCCGACCTTATCTCCAAAGGTGTTTTACCAGCTATTGGGTACATTTTTATACCCTCGCAGACAAAGGGTATTATAGGGTATTGCCAGTTAAGGGGACACCTTAGACCCCATAAAGTATATAAATTCATAATCAACATCACGATCTGAATCCGTTCATATTAGCATACTATTAAAACAATAATAATTTTTATTTGGATTTGTAACTGAAAAGATATGCATAGGAAGAACCACGTACTTTCGGCAGCAACGGGCTATTAGCCACCGCTTAAATATAATAAGCAAACAAAACAGGTAACAATATGCTTCCACACTTTAACCAATGTCCGAGTCCAAGGACCAAAACTTAGTCAAAGGACCCCAGAATCAGGCAGCGTTGGCATAGTGTATTCAATAAATCAAATTGTGCATCAGAAAGGAAGGCACAAAAAACACAGTTCAGCATAAAATATTAAACATAAGTAAGTCTTCCTTTTTTTTGTAGAACCATTATTATTTGTAGGACCAAAAAAACAAAACACAGTAAATATTATTTCTATAATTGTAAATATGTCGCAAATCGTTAAGCTGTTTTATAGATTTTAAAAATCTGAGTATGGAAGGTTTCCAGCTGAAGGATAAGAGTGTTGACTTTGATAGTTTTGCTGCTGTCCAGGCAGAGTTCCCCAGCCTCTGGCACATTTGTTGAACGATTGGTCGTGGCTTGTTGGTCGAGTAACTAAGCTGCTTGGTGCTGGTCCGCTTCTGAAGTAGTCGGTTCTTGACAGATTGCGATTGGAAGAACCCATCGACCCTATAGAGCTGGGAGATGTTGACGTCACTTTATTGTACCCAACGTCAAAGGGTACTGGCGAAGCATTGCCTACATGCAAATTTTGCTGAGCATTCAAGTACTGTGGACCTCCACCAACCGAGCATCCTTTATCGGGCTGTTCATACCTCGCCAATTTATCGAAGGACAAAGGCGAAGGATTAAAATTGACCTGAGGCTTAAAGTTTTCGGACCCAACTTGAGATTTTTGATAACTGGACGGTGAGTAGAGCTGCCGCTGTGGTGGTAATGTAGTATATCCAGTTGCTAATGGTTTAGACGCTGGAAACGCGGTGTTGTTAATGGTTCCATACGAGCTTTCACCAGGAAAATTCGTTTTTGGGAAAGGGTGCGGTGAAGACTCGTAGCGTGGTGCTTCCACGCGTTTTTCCTGTACTGCGTACTGATTAGAAGGTGCGGCATAGCTCGAAAGAGATATTTCTTTCGGGACATATAAGCCTGTATAAAAAAGTAGAGACACAAAATTAGAATAATTTGCGTAATAATAATTTATAAACACATAATTGAAAATGTGACATAAATAGAACATCTATATAAATAGAACATATATATGTATATAGCTTGTAGCCCTGGGAAAATAATTAAAAAAATAAATAAATAAAAAAAAAAAAAAAAATAATAATGTCAAACATTTTACGTTCCCTACCGTTTAATTAAATCTAAGAAGTTACTTCTCCAAACTAAAAGTTTTAAACTTTTTTCTCGAAAAATCACAAAGAATGATTTAAATATTGGGATCAACAAAATTAACAAATGTATACATATATAGGGATTACACTGGACAACAGTATTTATGATAAAGGCTTATCAAATAATGATAATATTACTAATCTGCATACTTATTTTGATTACCATAAAACTAGAGACCAAAATTAAAATAATAATTGCATAGGCACACTTGTTGAAAAGGAAAATGAGGGTCAAATTGAAGCTCCTCTGAAATATGTAGACCCAAGTTAAAAAAGAGTGACCCAAGTAAATGCCTTTTAATTAAATGTGGTTCAGGTGAAAGCATTTTTTGAAAACAACTCAGCTAATGCTTTTATACTCGACAAGAAAAAAGAAACCGTACGAACGAACAGAATTTTTTTTAAATTTAATGGGTTAAGCCACTCAAGAATTTTTGATACATTTAATTTTCTCTTTTTAAATGTATCTCAAGGCCCCAAAAATGATGCGCAAAAAAAACGATGGCCTAAAAAAATCTTTAATCTCTCTAAAAATCCAAATCCTTGGACTGCTTCTGCAAATGATGAAAACTTACATCGTACTATAGTACGTTGATATAATTAAAAAAAAATAAATAAATAAATAAACATAAGGAGTAATCACAAAATCAGTGCAAAGTTGTTATTTGGAAATTAATCCCTAAAAAATATATTGTATATAGTCACTGACATAAATAAAAAATTCTCTTATTTGTAAACTTGAGTTCTTATTTAGTTTTTCTTAAAACAAAAATTCTAAAAAAGGACTATTTTTTGGGAGCTAGAGAGGCCCATCCCCTTAAATATATGCACAAGAACATATGTAACAGTAACAAGACTTTCGTTTTATTTCTTGTCCTTTTCTCTTTTCTCTCTTTCCTTTTAAGTGTCTGACGTTCAATGCTTTTTTATTCTCTTCCTTCCTCTCCTCGTTAAGACGCGTGAGCGAGCTCGCAATACATGATCATAAACCTATTTTATTCTGTGAGCGCGAGAGATATGGCTATACATATCTGGTCTTTAACCGTAATTCTTATTTTATGGTACAGTGGGTATTGTAGGTAAACATCCTACTACATATGGTACAGTGGGTATTGTAGGTAAACATTCTACTACACATACACAAACATAGAAATCTTGCCTTCATGGCTTTCTTTTGGTGTTGCGGCTTGGTCGACTGGATATTGATTTTCCGATATACTCTGCTGTTCAAAAGAATGTATTAATTCACGCACATTTACTTTTTCATTTGATTGATTTTGGTCATCATCACTAAATTCTTTCCATTCATTTTTTTGGTTGCAATCACTTGCATTTTGATAAGCCTGTAGCAATTTTGTTGGAAATAATTCACGGCCCTTTTCTGTCTTTTGAATTGTTTTCAGTTCATAGCGTTGGTGTTCCAAAACTAAGTTTTGAAATCGTTCCAGTTGATTCAGTCGATGCTGCACATCAACAGCAAAATCATATGTCAAAACTCGATAGTAATTTTGGTTGTCTTCTTCTGCTGAGTCATTTCTAGGGCTAAATAGCCACGGTTCTGTTTCATTCATTTGCAAATATTCTGAAATATTTGAATTACTAAATAAAATAAGACCTTAAGAATAATTTGTTTTTAAAATTTGATTGGGTTTTGGACTGAAAAGATAAATTCTTTATTTAAGGTCATCTGTCCTACGTTACAGCTTTTTGAATTAAGAGACATTAAATCGTATAAATCGACTTTGATTTACTCTATTGAACCTAAGGTGTCTCCTTCACTGCTTTGCGAATTTCTAATTGAAATAATAAAACCTCTGCAAGACTAATCAAGTTGCTTAACATGTTCATTAAAAATGTTTAAATATGTTCTTCCAGACATTATGGTCGCTTTGAAAGCAATGTGAAATTTATTTACACATCAACGCGTACTATAAGCACTTTGATTGAATTTTTTCGTTAGCCTTACCTTATAAATATATATTTGCTAAGATACATTTTTTAAAATTAATTTAAAAAAAAACTCATAAAAAAGAGATAGTAAAAAAGCTGGATACAAACCTTTAGGTAGTTCCACACTGCGACCTCCCCAGCCCTGGGCAACGCATGGAGTATATGCCAGATCCCTTTGCGGATTAGAAAGGACATCGGCCGCTTGCGAACCAGAAGCCTGTGGAACAAAACTGTAACTAAGGAACAATAAAAGCGAGTGTCATACCTTATTATATTGCTTCAGATCATGAGAACGCCTGGGCTCCTCAGCATCTGTGAAATCCTTATTTCCGCCTGGAAAGTACAATGGTGGTGCTACGGCGGATGGCGGATCACATTGACTTTTGGTATTCTCCAAAAACGCTGAACTCGCTGAACCAGTCTGTAGAGCTGCTTCCCAGGGAGATACGACAACCTGCACTCCTGGCTTTGCATACTTTTCAATTAGTTGATTTTGATGGATATTCAACTGAACGCGATGCTTCCCCGCATCAGAATATGCGGGCAATATATTTGGTGATATAGCCGGCTTCTGTTGATACTGCTGATAATCTGGAATACCAGACGGATGGTTTAGAGTACCTGTGTTGGCTTCGTCGACCACCCAATTCTCAGCCTTTTTGCGGCGCTTCGCAAATAGTTCCGCACCTACATATATGGGTTAAAGTTTGGTTGTGCCTCAATTGGAGGCATTGGTGGCAGCAGCAGCAGCGAGAGCGTCAACAATGAAGCAAAGCAAACGTATTTGGAAAAGAGTCCAACAAAGAAAAAATTTATATTAGTTCAAAGTTGTAGTTCAAAAGGTCATAATCTAAAGTTTTTTTACGATTTAACTCGGCTATATGAAATAAACTATATTTTAAGCAAGCAAAAAAAACCAGATTCAGCTAGTGGAAGCTTATATACCCTTAAAAAAAAAAAAAACTTGACGCTTCATAAGTACTCCCGTCATTTAAACCTTCAGATAAACCTAAGGCTTCGGCCATGATACAATTATACAAGGTAGTCCACTCGGCTTGCCGAAGTCGTTCGGGTTTGGTCCCTTATTTTCCTTGTGCGTGCCTGCTTGTATGTAGCCGTTTCACTCACACTTACTTGTCAAAGCTAAAAATAGGGGACTATGGATTTTGCCGAGTGGACTACCTTGTATAATTGTATCATGGCTTCGGCCACGCATTGAGCGATGAGCGACTGAGCGACGCTCTCTCAAGGTATTCCCCTTGGAAAAATAACGTTTGTTGATGATCGGGAGTACACCGAAAAGTGATTAAAACATCAAGAAACCACTGAAGAATGGGAAAGTAAACTGCTATTAAAAATTAACTGCAAACCACATCGTGAATTACGTCTGATGTCCGCAAGTGTGTGTGTGTAACAATGTTGAACAAGGTGGAAGGCCAACTTTTTAAACCCCAAATAATCTGAAGGAAGTACTCCTCTTGGATTACAGGGTAAGTACAGGAAATTATGTCCAGGATATGCGGGGTAAGTGAAAACCATATATTGTATAAAAACTCAACTACTTAATGAGTAAAAGAAATATTGTAGAATATAAGAAGTTTCCTTAGGTTAAGAGACAAATCAGAAGGGCTTGACTAAGTCCCAATATTGCTTAAAGCCCAATACAAATAGTAAACCAATCATGACCCCCTTTGCCTCCCAATCAAATATGCAATTCCTTTGCCCTACAACAAAAGGGATTCAAAGGGATTCCGCAGTTGGGTCCTGCAGCAAGGGGTATTTGGACTGCAAAATCTCACAAACAACTATTTTCCAAGTCGGCGTCTAACCCACATTTTATCGCAGCCCAGGTGCGTGTGAGGTTGTGTGGGGAATCCTGCATAGACAGACCAGACAGCCAGTTGATGTGGCTGTGTTTTTCTGATTTACTTGTTCCAGCAATTAGATGCAACTCAAACTGGCACTCAAATGCTCAGTTTCTGCCAGGTGGGAGTTCGGTTGCTCCCGACCTTTGCACAATTAGTGTTATTTAGATTCCATTTACTTTCCCAAAACACCAGGCACTCGGTAATTACGGCAAACTCGAGCCTTTGAGCGACCCAAAGTGCCAAAAGTGTATTGGATGCAAAGCGAAACAATGGAAATTTATAATTAATTCTATTTGCATCTTGGTCCTTTATGCAAACTTTAAGTAAACTTCTCCGGGCAATAACCTAATGTTGTGTAGGGTGGCAGTATGAAAACTTTTGCTACGCCAGTGCCAGAAAAAGTCGAAGGAAAAATTCAGTGCATCCTTTGACGCAATCATCCGGCAAAGTCTACACAAAGTGAATTCTCTATCACTCGCCTTCTCACTCACTCTTTCACTCTAAACCTATCTCTTTCCGGCTTTCCATTCGTGGGTGAGAGCCGCTTGTCCCTAATAACTTAGAACTAGAGTTAAAAAAAAAAAAAATAAGGTAATAATGCCAGGAATAAGGCGGTTTGCAAGGCCTAAAATAAAAAACACTTTCGAATCCATAAGGTAAATAAATTTGTGGATGTCCGTATGTCTGGTTGCCTCTAAGAGCATATTAGGAATATATACTTTCGATTTAGCATGTCTGTTTAACCACGGTATGCGATGCTGAAGGGGCCCTTGCTGGTCTTAAATATTTTCTTAAGTGAAATGTACTAATAAAGTACGTATCGACACCGCGCATATTGGACTAATGTTCAATCGATTTATCCAGTGAAAAAATGTATGGGCGAAATGCTAAAATCGACTAAACGAGACCAAGATTATTAAAAAAGGAAAATAACTTAACTGATAAAAATAAAGAACGAATGAAATTGAGATCGAAATTGGAAACAAGTAAATTTTTTTAATTATTTTTTAAAAAACACAACTTTGTTTTGCTGTAAAGTGCAGATCAAGATTCATCTAAAAGTAATGACAAAAAATTGCCTAAAAAATTCGGGGAAGAGAACAAAATATCCTAACTGCGTTCTGTAGAGTTTTTTTTTCGCAGCGTAAAAAATTTGTAGCAACTTTTTACTTTTTCTATCTTTCCACTCTTAAGTGCAAGGGTGAGGCATCCTTTCTTGTTTTATTAAATTCTTATCTTTTTGTGTAATTAGTGAGTTCTACCAAACTACCATGAGAATAAACAATAATTGTGAGTTCTACCAAACTACCATGAGAATAAACAATAATTGTAAAGGCTATTATTTCAAGCCAACTAAAAAAATGTACAAAAATAATTAGAGTGCACATTTTTGAGGTATTGACAAGAATCAAAAGATGTTTCACATCCAAAGGACTTAAGCCTGGTTTTATCTTATAGCTGACATAGGTAAGATCGAAAAATCTGTATAAAATCATTGAAACAAATATTTTACCGCCGTTGCTTTTATCAAACAAGCAAGATTTTGAATTTCGAATATAAAGATTTTAACTACGATAGAAGATAGATTTTTTGAATATCAGGTCTTTAATTCCGAATTAATTTCATTAAAATCGGACGATTTTAACTTATATGTGTAACAGGAACAATCAGTGAAAATATAGAAAATTGATAAAAAAAAAAAAATCGACACAGTTTATCGTTTATCATTTATCGTTTATGTATTTTGCTCGATATCTGTGATGATGGCAAGGGTATATACGCCTCTGCCAGCCGAAGCAAGCTTCCCTTCTTGTTAAAAAATTTGTTAGAATAGTTACATATATGTATGAAAATAAAAAATTACCTTTTCCTTGTTGAAGTTGAAGTGCAGTTATTAGTTCGGCGCAATTGTCAGGCGACAGTAGACCAGTTTTAGTGTTAATCAATTCTTTAAGCGAGTTATAGTCATGGACTTTTCCATTTGGGTTCATTAGGAGCCTTAGCGGAATTTTTTCCAACTTTTTGCATTCCAATGTGGACTTTGTATCTGAATTTTCTTTAAGTTGGTTTATAGCATCATTTAAGCACTCATTCCCTATGTATGCAAATATTTGTATATTCTTAAAAAAGAGAATTCAGTCGCTTACTATATATATATGTATAAATATTAAGCAACCTATATTAAATAGTTTCTATCAAAACCTTTTTAATTAAATTTTTTATCACATAATTACAAGTTCTCACTTTTACATAAGCTAAGCTTTATTCAATTTCGGTTTTTTATTTTTATTACAAATGTTTATTTACATAATGATTTGATTAAATACTTAGGTTTTAACTTTAAAATTTCGTTCTCTAATGAGACTCGTTTGTCAGTTTTCAAAACGCAATAAACTTGAGTTTTGCCTGAGCCGAAGATTATTTTAATACCCTTGCAGAGTTTGTTGTAAACTGTTTCTAAGTAAACTACAGTAGAATCCGGTTATAGCGACTTTCAAGGGACCGACGATTTTTCGTCGTTATACCCGGAAGACGCACTAAGCAAAAGAAACAAAAAAACATTTTTTTTTTGTTTATTTATGGTTGCTGTCCTCGTAATAGGTTTTTAAAACAAATTAAATTAAATTTTTAATTAAAACTAAAAATTTAATAAATTTAACACAAAAAGATGGGTTTCTCATAATTCTGAAAACTGAATGAGCTTATTATTGCACATATTGTATTTGGCGAATTTACACATTCAGTTTTACTCGGAAAGAAATATAACGGGACATCTCATGGAATAGGCTATGAGGTCTGCACACGCAGTGTGACGTCGGCATTGCACTTCGACTCTCTCTCTCTCTCTCTCGCAGCAGCGTAGTTAAGGCGACAGCTAAAACTAACAGAGAGTAGTGACAGTGTAAGATCCTTCGTGCCGCTGCTACGCACACAAGCAAGGGTGCCGATCACTGATAAATACATACATACATTTCTAACAGCGTATTTTTAAGCTTAAATTTGGCAGTATTGCACTGTATTTTTTTCGCACGACGCAATATCCGGTTGAATTTTTACATTTTTGTCGCTAAAAGGGGAAACGCACTAAGCGGAGGCCCTTTCATATAAGTTTGTATGGGGCCAACCAAACCATCGAGTTTTCGTCGCACAACCCGGACGGACACTATAAGCGGAGTCGTTATAACAGGATTCTACTGTATTGTATTTTTTTTTTTTTTTGTAAAAATGATTTATTTCTGATGGTGTGTTTTTACGACTCTTGAATTTTTAATTCAATTTGGTGGAAATCGGATGACTGTGGCTGCCATAGGAAAGATCGTTATTTCTATAAAGATTTAACAATTAATTCAAATTTTGACAAACCTATAGAAGAAGCCTAGTCTAAAATAGTTCAAACTGCAAAGGGTATAAAAAAGTATATAAAGAAGCTCGGTCTCGCCGAACATATAAATTTTCTGAAATACTTGGGACTGCTAAATAAAGTTAAAAACAGGAAATCGTCGAGCCGAATCTTATATACCCATGCAGTCAATTTTATTATGAAAACCATCAATGGTATAATTTTGTTTCATAAACCTTATATGGATTATTATTATCCTATTATATGGATTTTTCGATCCTTTTTATGATAAAGTTGTCCGTTTTTTATGATATTTTTTCATGATTCAAGGCTAATTAAAAAACTTTGTACTCCAAAAATCATGGTCGTGTTATAAAAATCAACAATGTTATACATAATTTAATTTTCGTTAATTCGATCTTTTCTATAATTTCCGACTGTAAGTATAAAATCCCCTACAAGGGGAAAAACAAAAAAAAAATGCACAAAAGTCGGAGAACTATATAACATATAGCTGCCATAGCAAAGTCCGGAAAATCTTTATAAAATTAAAGAAAATAAAATTATAACATCTTTGTTTTTGAACAGGAAGCATGAATTTCGAAATATCTATAGAGTTCTCTATCGACACTTGATTTTCGAATTAAATTAAATAAAAACTACGACTATATCATATAGCTGCCCTATGAACAACCCTCGAAAATATAGAAACTCAATACAAAAATCGACATTACTTCGATGTTGTTTAGGCTTTATGGGTATATAAGGGTATATAAGCTTCGGCTCGCCGCAGTTGGGTTCCTTTCCTGTTAAAAAATTTAAAAAAAAAACAATTTTTTTCAAGAGCCTTTTCACGCACGAAACTTACGTAACCCCTTAAAGTTTATTTTTTTTATTTAATTTTTTTTTTTTGTAATTCTGTTTAGCCACATGTGTCAGTAAATCCCAATTTGGTATTATGTATATTGCGTTTTCTTTTGAAAGCGGTTAAGTGGGAACGATTACCTCCATTTTTTATTTTGTAACCAACACTTTTTTTTAAATTTTAATTTAAAAAACTTTTTTGGGTGAGAAAAGGTATGTACCGCAAGTCTATAAAGCGTAAGCCGCTAAAGTTAAAACGTTTACAGGGTATATTTTGTCGACTGTATAGCAAAATAAATTGTGAGAACTTATCATAAATAACAGTAGAGATAATTCAAAGAGACTATTACCTTGAGATCTACCTTCATGAACCCATTTGTCTGATCGTTTCTTGCGATTGACGTACATTGACTGACCCTTAGAAGTTTGATTACTAATATCACTCAATGAATGCGATATTCTTCGGGCCAGTTCAACTTGGTCTTCCACAGTGGGGTGTAGCGTTGGCGAATAAAATGCAGACGAGGAATAAAGTTTTCCTATTTTAAATAAGTTATATTTGCAAGATAACATTTGTTCTCTGAAATATTATTCAAAAGGTGGCACGTAATCAACTTTTTACTTTAAGTTTTAGCTATTGTTGTGGCAAGCGAGGTCTACTCTTAAAGCAGAGCATAAAAGACATTTAAAAAATTAAAAATATATATTATATATTAGTGCTGCTATAGGTAGCATAATTTGGGCTATAAGCTTAATGAAATACGAGCCTTACGTATCACCTTTTTTAAAACAACTTGTATTACTTACGATTTTTCGGCAAAATTTCTGGAGCATCGGTAGCAGGAGTAAATATTTTACGCAAATCAACCGTCTTCGATGAATGGGTGGGTTCCTAATTATTAAAAAAAAAGTTACCTTAGCCTATTTAAGTTCAACATTATTTGCTTTTATATTTTGAATTATTCAGGTGGATAAATTCATTTGAAAGGAATAACATACATTTTTTTTTTGCCACAGCTGCGTACTAAGTTCTAAGAGCATTTGCCGTGTGTTTTGATTTAAAAGATCACTCGGACAAAAGCATCTTTCTTTCTCTTCTGTGCAATTCATTTTAAACGTATTTATTGAATTAGTCAACACCTTAAAAATTATTGTTAAGCAATATTAAAGTTAAGTGATGTCCGGATCCATAACACAGAATTTGATTTTCACATAACACTCGCATCTCTCCCCACAGATTTATATGTGCATTTGCATGATACATTCATATACTTAAATTCGTATATGTGGACGCCGTGTATATAGTGCTTTAATGTGAGCACACAAAGAGAACTCAGATATCCTATTTATAGAAACCATGGCATCGAAATAACAAACCAAACAAGAAAGAAAGTCCGTCCCTTCCGACATACAATATATACTGCGTGCAATAACTACACAACTTTTGTAAAACTTCAGCAAAATAGCTTTAGAACTGAGAGACTAGTTTAGACGTACAGACGTATTTCCATTCAGATCGTGATGCTGATCAGGAATATATATACTTTATGGAGCCTGTCTGTGAACTGAAATTATAATATCCCCTGCAGAAGCTAGCTTCCTTTCTTGTTTTCAACTAAATTAAACTGCCATTGAACTATCCGTTCACAAATATAGCCACAGAGTTAAAGGGCAATTTTTGTTCTTAAGAAAATATGTACTATCGACCTTAGCGTCGGCACAGAAGGTTGAGTCTAACCACGCAAAAAGGGACTATATCCTCGACACCGGTCACCGGTGCTTCACAGATGACTCTCCCTTCCCTTTCAGGTGAAATGTGCAAGTATAATGCTTTATCCGCCAGTAATGAAGTTAAAACGGTCAGTGTTGGTGAACATTGCACTATTATTTCTTTTTTTTTTTTTTACTTTTATAAATGTGGAAATTTTATTCAATGATTAGCACACTGTTACCAAACTGACAGCTTAATCTAATCTTTATATACAATATAATACAAAACAATGTCCAAGAGTTAATTAGGGCAGGAAGTAAGTTAAAGTTTTTTTTTAATTAATAATGCGGGTGGTTAATTAGCTAAGTCAAGCACTATTATGGAATGAGTACATTTATGGGAGCAATCGACATCGACAACAACGAAAACCATATACTTTTTACTCCTATAAATTCTGACTGAAATTGTAACATCCCTTGCAAGGTGTATTAACAATTTAAGGAGTCTAGTGAGAACAGATGGGCAAGTTTATATAGGTTTATGTAGACGAGAAGATAATTATTTCTTCGAGAATAAAAGCTATCATATTAAGCATGTAGGTACAAAACGAAAGCTGTTTCAGAAAATATAAGTCGAGGGATATTTATTAGCTCCAGTTCTAAGATGCAATAACAAGCGCTACAACAAGATTTTCAACAGCGAAGGGAATTGGCGTGTCCAAGTAATAAGCAAGGCAAAAAAAACCTACTATCCTGGCCACAACTTAAGTATTTACTCCATAGAAACCACTATTAGCCACATTACCTCCTGAGTTATATGAGACGCGCTTTCCATAAAAACGCAGTTTAAAACTTTTCTCGTAGTGTCTACTCCCAAGTGCGTAAATGTCTTTTACAAAGTGGTTTGAAGAGATCTTGTGGCAACATTTTAGCATTGCAAAAACGACTATTATATAGCATATAGCATAGATCGCCTCAAGAAATTTGGATCGTTGCGTATATATTGCCGGAACCAAATCATTGTGGGCCCCAAGGAGATCCGCGGTCTTTGTTGAAACTTCTCTTGCTGTCCATATTCTAGCTCTAATAATTTTCAAGATTTTGACGTTCAAACAGAAAATAGGCCAATTCAAATATGTCATCGAAATTGTTGTAACAAAAAGCCCACGGGTTTCGCGATTTCTGGGCACATAAGTAAGTGGACGTGGAATAAAACTGTAGCAAAGCTGCGCTGAAAACGAATCACAAGAATCGTCTGATGGCCATAAATTATGTACTTTATGTGGGCAGAAGTGCTTCCTTCGAACTGTTATATACTTTTTAACAGATAACGGGATGGGTATAAAAAATATACAATTATTAGCCAACATATTCTAGTTCTAGTTTAAATACTGCACTTAGTAGTGACCATCCATAAAATTAGCTTAAAACCCATTTCACTGCCCAACCGCGTCCTATTTCTCTCTATGCAAATGGTATCGGTAGATATCTCTGACTAACAAAGGTAGTAACAGGGACGCAAGTAGCTTAAAAAAATATGAAATTTCTCGTTCACTTAATCAATAGGCAGATAGAAATAAATATTAAAGTCCAAAGTTAGATCAAAGACCCTTGACCCTTGAGCCTCCCTTACCTTCACAGTCGAAACTGCATGTTTCGCATTGATCTATGAGATCAGCGGTTGAACTGACCGGGGTCAACCGAGGTCGGCTTAGGACTTTTAAGAGCATTAGACAACTAAGTAACTTAACAAACTAAAGTGAGGCATACTATAGTCACAAAACAATATTTGAATACAGTACATTAGTTTTTTGTAGTCTTCTGAATCTGATACTTACATTGAAAGCGGTGTTCTTCTGTGGTGGGGTGGAAATTGGTAGGTGACTTCTATTATGGCTTTGTGCGTCAAATTTCCCATTTTGACCTTCTTGACTTTGACTTTGTTGAAATTGGTTTTGCTCATTTAGCTGTAAGGCCAATATCTGTTGCTGATGGATTTGGTTTGTCAGCTCATTCTGTTTCTTTATTAGTTGTAGCTCTTGCTCTTTGAGCTGCGTTATTTTTTCTTGAGCTTTTATATTTATGTCTATGTCCGATATTATGTCCAGAATTTGGGTATTCAAAACGTTCTGTAACGTAAATTTAGATAATAATTTAGCAATTGCTACAAAAGTAATCTAATTGGATTTAAGTAACGTCTAATTGGATTTAGACCGTATTTTAGATTTTTGAACATGTTTTTGATTTTTTTCAATCAGTGTTCACGGAACTTAACATACCTGATCAGACGTTTTTAAATTGGCGTTTTCATTAGTAGTTTTATCTAAAAGCTCCGTCTCCTTGCTCTAAAAGGTAAATCGACATTTTTAAAAAATTCCTTTTTGACATAATAGACAAGTACCTGGGTTAATCTTGAATTTTCGTTGTCATTTACATTTTTAGCAATAATGTCTGATTTATTACCAAGCTTCTGTGATTCGTTGATCTAAATAAAAGAAAATCAAAAATAAAAATAACATAGATAAGTACACAAAACTATACTACAAAGATATAAACAATAAGTTGCTTAGCTATTTAGAAATGTAAGTACAAAAATTTGAGTTTGATGACAGTTCGATTTTTAATGATTTTATACCTTTGCAGGGTAAAGAAAATGTTATCAGAACTATTTTAAAATCAATTAATTTACTTTTGGATCGATTTAAGTCAAGTATTTTGTAAATTTAAAATGATTTTCTGAACAAAGAATTTTATTAAAAAACTCTAAGAGGCACCACCAAGGAATTCAATTCACATTACACGCGAAACATTCCCTTTCATATCTTACTTTTCCTATCACCGTCCTATTCTCAATAGAATGACACAAATTAAAAGAAGTTAAGTATCACAAATGTTTAAAAGATTTAATACAATTGCTCGAAAATGTAAAAACTAGGTAATTTGTAAAAAAAAGTGACATAATTGTACTTATGCGTAAAAATTATTATAACTTGATCAATTCATTTGATATTCCCATTTACATCCCTCTCTATATCCAAACAAAATATCTATCAAATTTAACATTTTCGTTTCGTTTACGTTCGATTCCGAACGTCGGCGAGTGCAGACGTGCATTTATTTATTTCTCTTGTGCTCCGAAAGACAATCGATAAAAACAAAAAACAAAAACCCCGATATAAAATAAAAATAAACGGCGAAAAGACGCTTATCGCGATGAAAAGTCGCAAGTTAATATTATTTTGTGTTTTTAATTAGTGCTTCTAATACTGAAATACAAATAAAACCAAATAAAAAAATCAAACAAATAAGGTGATGAACCCAAACGAAGTTCGGGCGCAGCGCCAACGTAAGCAAGACGAGCGCCGGCTCTCTCTGCAAAAGAGCAATGCATACTTCTCTTTCGTATCGACAGCAGAAGCACCAACAACAAAAGCTTCTGCAGTAGTCGATCAACCGCGATCGTTAACCCCAACACCTTCCAACGAACTCAAGCCTATTCTTAACGAAAGGGCGCGCTCTCTTTCTCCATATATGTCAGCGACGATGCAAAGCGGGGTAAGCGACAAATGCGTTTCCCCTCTTCCTGGCCCTGCCTCACCCCAACTGCCCACATGCCTGGCCACGGTTACCAGCACAGTAACGTCATTAGCAACTGTAAATGCAATGACAACAACAACATCAGTTTCGTCGGCATGCCCAATACAGTCGAGCGTTTTACCTGCTGTCTCAGCGAATTTATCAACTGCAGCTAGCGCAGCACCGTCAGAAGCTTCAACTAAAAAGCAAGGTCCGTCCATACAGACTGGCATGGATCGCTACATAAACATTAAAAGAAAACTAAGCCCACAGGGCACGAAAATGGGCAACGCCGCAAAAATCAATAGGGCTTTCCCAAGCCAAGGAACCGTGCAAAACTCTAATACTGCAAATAGATTTCAACTTTTGGCTGACACGTCCGATGAAATCGCTTCTACAGTTTTGGATACGGACAAAAAGAAACCGAGGCCGCCTCCGCTTTACATTCGAGAGAAAAACTCCAACAACCTCGTTAATATAATAATCGATCTGATTGGTAAAGATAGCTTCCACGTAATCCCCTTGACTAAAGGAGAAATACATGAAACAAAGGTCCAAGTCAAAAGCGAAGAAAGCTTTAGAAAACTGACGGAGCTCCTAGACGCCAAGAAAAAGAACTACTACACCTACCAGCTAAAAAGTAGTAAAGGTCAACAAGTTGTTATAAAAGGAATAGAACCAGACGTAAGCACTGCTGAAGTCGAGCAGGCACTAAAAGACAAAGGTTTTAACGTAAAAACAGTTATAAACATACGTAACCGAAATAAACAACCGCAACCTCTCTTTAAAGTGGAACTTGCACCTGAATCTAAGGCGCTTAAGAAAAATGAAGTCCATCCCATCTACAATCTCCAGTTTCTAATGCATCGCAGAATCACGGTTGAAGAGCCGCATAAACGCAATGGCCCAGTCCAGTGCGCAAATTGCCAGGAATACGGACACACCAAATCTTACTGCACACTCCGCTCTGTATGCGTCGCCTGCGGAGGGCTGCATACCTCAGCTAAGTGTGAATTAAAAAATGAGCCAAATAGCAAAAAGTGTAGTAACTGCGGAGGAGACCACACAGCAAACTACAGAGGCTGTCCAGTATACAAGGAGTTAAAAAGTCGGATAAACCAAAGAGTCTCAACAGCACGATCTCACCACACACCATTGATACCCTCTAAACTCACACCTGAAGTCTTCTTTTCGTCAGCAGCCCGATCATCACTCGGCAGTTCCACTACAAATAAAAACGTAAGTTTTGCAAGCGTTTTAAAATCGGGTCATGCGAGCCCCGCTTACAATGTCCAACCACCACCTTCAGTCTCTCACCAACTAGCAGAGCACACAGAAAATAGAATGGAAACGATGATGCTCAGTTTGCAACAAAGTATGGATGAATTCATTTCATTTATGCGGACGACCATGCAAAGTATGTTGACAAATCAGAATATTTTGATTCAGATGCTCCAAAACACTTTATCAAAATAATCAATGGCTCCCCTGCGCATTGCACTGTGGAATGCCAACGGTGTTTCACGGCACAAACTTGAGCTAGCACAATTTATGAACGACAATGAAATCGACGTAATGTTACTTGCAGAAACCCACCTTACCAACAAATATAATTTCCAAATCCGAGGGTATATGTTTTACAACACCAATCATCCTGATGGAAAGGCCCACGGAGGCACTGGAGTCCTGATTAAAAACCGCATCAAGCACCACTTTCACAACACGTTTGCTACTAACTACCTGCAAGCCACATCTATCAATATACAGTTGGGTTGTCACAATCTAGCTCTAGCAGCGGTATACTGTCCTCCTCGATTCATGATATCCGAAGCCCAGTTTACTGACTACTTCAACTCACTAGGCAAATACTTCATAGCAGCAGGAGACTACAACGCCAAGCATACGCACTGGGGATCTCGCCTCGTGACGCCGAAAGGTAGACAACTGTATTATGCAATTATAAATCCTAGCAACAAACTTGACTGCGTTTCCCCTGGATCACCTACACACTGGCCTAGCGACCCCAGAAAACTGCCAGACTTGATAGACTTCGCAGTTACAAAAAACATCCCACGAAATCTAATTAGCGCCAGTTCTCTCTCGGATCTATCATCAGATCACTCGCCTGTACTTTTTAGCCTAAACCAACAGCCAGTTAGTAATGACAACCCCGTCATGCTAACTTCTAGAAGCACAGACTGGCTCAAATTCAAAAAATACGTAAGTTCGCACATCGAACTTACACCACAGCTAACCGGCGAAGACGACATCAACAGAACCGTATGCATGCTAGAGTCAGTTTTGGCCTCAGCGGCACGAATCGCAACACCACCAAGGCAAAACACAACACATAACATAAAGAATACAAACGCAGAAATAGAGCAGCTAGTCCTAGCAAAGCGTCGTTCCCGACGTGTTTGGCAATCTCTTCGATCGCCATCTGCAAAGCAACAGTTAAAAGAAGCTTCACGCAGACTCACCAAGGCACTACGACAAGAAGAAGACAGGTCCCAACATCGCTATATAGAACAACTATCTCCATTCAGCTCAAAATTCCCACTATGGAAAGCCCACTCAACACTGAGCCCTCCAACAGTAACGGTTACGCCAATAAGGACTCCTGCAGGCTGCTGGGCCAGAAGCGACAAAGACAGAGCCGACACATTCGCTGCCCACCTTGAAAATGTGTTTCAGCCAAATCCAGTAACAAACGTGCGTAATATAAGATCGCAAACTGAAGACGACCTTCCTATTGCCGAACCAATTGTATTTCGACCATGCGAAGTCATAAAAATTATAAAAGAGCAGCTACAACCGAGAAAATCTCCAGGCTGCGATCTAATAACTCCAAAAATGCTCATAGAACTCCCACTATGCGCCGTTGGTACCATATGCCAGCTGTTCAACGCGATGACAAGACTGGGCTGCTTCCCAAAGAGGTGGAAAAAGTCAATCATCATAATGATACCAAAACCAGGAAAAGACCACACCCTCGCCTCCTCATACAGACCGATAAGTTTACTTTCCTGTCTATCAAAACTCTTTGAAAAATGCCTTCTGACCCGTATCATACCATACTTCAGAAGACATAATATTATCCCAGCACATCAATTCGGCTTTCGCGAAAAACATGGAACTATCGAACAGGTGAACCGCATAACTTCAGAAATTCGAAGTGCATTTGAAAATAGGGAGTACTGCACTGCGGTATTTTTGGACGTCTCCCAAGCATTCGACAGAGTATGGCTTGACGGCCTAATGCATAAAATCAAAATAATGCTCCCTAATAGCACGCATAAACTCTTGAAGTCATATCTTTACAACAGAATATTTGTGGTGAGATGCAATACTTCCATATCAGCTGAACGCAACATCGAAGCAGGAGTTCCTCAAGGGAGCGTTCTCGGGCCAACTTTATACCTACTCTACACTTCTGATATTCCTACGAGCAGTCAACTGACTATGTCCACGTTTGCCGACGACACCGCGATCCTCAGCCGATCTAGATGTCCACAACAAGCCTCAGCGCAACTTGCGGCACATCTAGAAGTAGTGGAGAAATGGCTCTCAGACTGGCGAATAAAAGTAAATGAGCAAAAATGTAAACAAGTAACATTTACCTTAAATAGACGAAACTGCCCAAACCTTACGCTAAACAACATCGTGCTCCCCCAGTCAGATGATGTAACATATCTTGGCGTACATCTCGACAGACGGCTTACCTGGCGCACGCATATTGAAGCTAAACGAACTCATCTAAGGCTGAAGGCAAATAGTTTGCATTGGCTGATCAACTCCCGCTCCCCACTCAGTCTGGACTACAAGGTCCTTATCTACAAAACAGTTTTGAAACCAATCTGGACTTATGGCTCCCAGTTGTGGGGCAGCGCCAGCAACAGCAACGTAGAAATCGTGCAGAGAGCCCAAGCAAAGATCCTAAGAATTATCACTGGGGCACCGTGGTACGTTCGGAGTGTAAATATTCAGAGAGACTTGAATGTACTCCCCGTCCGAGATGTAATAGCGCAGCACATGCAAAATTACTACACAAAGCTGTCAACTCATCCAAACCACCTCGCTAGAGCATTGACGTTGGTATGTAGCCGCTCCCGCCTTCGTCGTAACGACCTTCCCATCCAGCGATAATTATTAGGACCGTTTAACACAAATACAGTTTAACAAATTGTTAGAATAATGTAGTACTTTAAGATTTTAACACATTTTGTTAGTCTCGTAAGAGAAGATTCAAAATAAACAAGCAAAAAAAAAAAAAAAAAAAAAAAAAACATTTTCGTTTGAAATTGCAACCCATTGCATTCTATTAATTTTTTTTCTTATGACGTTGTAATGTTTAACTATCGTCCGTAAGGACAATCATTTTTTGTCATACTGGCATGGTTTCTTCCAGAACAAAGGTGTATTTCAGATTCAGATTCAGATTCGCATTTTGGTAAGAGGATATTTTAGTATCATTAAATGTAAAGTCTTACACAAATTTTTACTTACATGCTCGTCTGGATCAACTTCTTTGATTTCGGTGTCCTCGACATTGGTTGTGGGTTCATTTGATTCCTAAAAAAAAGTAAATTACACAGTATTTTACATAGTGAGCCAAATAAATGTTGAATCCGAACTTAAAAGACGATTTCAGCTTTTAAAAAAAATGGAATATTATTATCGCATATGAAAAATAGTTATTATTAGTTAATACTATAATTAAGCTCAATATTTAATTTTTTTTTATTACCTCGTTCCCGTTAACTTGTAATCACAAAAATCATTCATAAATTCAATAAAAATATTTTCGATGATTATGCGCATAAAAAAAAAATTAATTTTAAATCCATTATCAGCCTGAATTGTCTGCAAATTAAAAACAGTTTTGCTGCTTTTCATAGATGTTGGTTAGGCCATATATATTATATTATATTATGTATAATAAATTGTTCGTTACACGCGCAATTGTCACGGGATTATTGAACAAAATTGTTATAAAGGCAAATATAAAATAAAATTTCCAAGGGTATTTTAATATCAGTCAGAAGTTTTACGCTCAGTTGGCCGAAAAAACACCAGGGAAGCCTAAAATAAAAATACAAACGAGTAAAAACGAATTTGGATGTCCGAAAAACTACATCCAACACACAAAAATCATAAGCATTTTTTTACAATATAAACTATGTACAACTAATACCAATTTTTAATTTTCTTTCTTCGTACGACCTCAGACTGTTTTCACCTAGGTACTTGTGAATATCCTACACTTCCGCTCAGATAATTTGTTAATTTATTTCGGACTCCCGTACTTAAGACCTGAGGCGACGATCTCGACGGGGTTTCGATTTAGTCAACACAGTGTTACATCTACATCACATCTACATTACATCTACATCACAAGTATAACGGATGTACATTTGAAAATGCATGACTTTTTAAATAAAAGTTTTTTACTTTTAACTTAACGTGAATTACATTTTAGTTTCATGAAAATCAAATGAAATTTCAAAAAAAAAAAAAAAAACGCTAATGTTTAAAAATACGAATGATATTTAAAATTTTGAGCTCTTTGATTTGATTTTTGAATTAAAATTTTGTTTCATAGGAAAGATGACGTATATGAATTTAATGAACAGAAAACTACTCCTTTTTTTTACTATGTAAGGAAGATTTTTATATATCTCGGCCGACATATATACTATCTGCAATACCAACACAACTTTGTCGCGGATTTCACGAGATAACTTTAAATCTTAGTGACTACTTTGCAATCTTTTGACTGAAATTATAATACCCCAAGAGCATAACAGCAGCTGATGCAAAGCCCGATTTATAACTCCGCAGGGGTTACCGCTTATTTGAAGTTGAAAAATTAAACGTTAAAAGAAGCTGCATTTTATAAGGTTAAAGGCGTTGACTTTTTATAAGAGAAATAAAAAATACTTCTTCTATTGAAGATTCCTGCAACACAGTATCTTCGGTAGTTTCAGGCTTCTCGCTCTCAACTTCAATATCTGACGTTCCATGTATGGCAGATGAGTTTTCTACATTGTCATCTACATTGTCATCGTTTGTATTCTCCTCAGAAACGGAGGTTGGGTTATCGATTTTGATGTTAGCAGGATTTTGTGGTGTTGGAATAGGTAAGTCAGTTTTTTTGGGGCCCGTGGATTCTATTTCCGCGCTTTCATCTATTTCATCAGTGCTACTGCTTTCCGTATCCACTAACCCTGGTTCTTCGCTTTTGGAAGCCGTAGTTAAAGTCACAGTTTCTACTGGATCTGACGAAATTGTGCAGTCTCCCGTTTTGGTTACTTCAGTTTTAATATCAGCACCTTCTTCGCCACTAGTTTGGGTAACGGACTTATCTAAATCACTGTCAGAGTCTGATTCCGATAATATTTCGACTTTGTTATCGATTTCCTCAGGAGCCAATTCGTTCACATCCGCTTCCGTTCCATTTTTCGTTTCAACTTCTTTTTCCGTTCCACTTTTCGTTTCAACTTCTTTTGCCTTGGAATTGTAGAGAAAACTTTATAACATAAGGATATTCACTGTTTATACAAAAGCTTTTCTCTATTACAAAAGTATGCAAAGATTCCTCTTTTATCTACTCTATTCATTTTATACACTTAGCTCTGGGAAAAAAGGTATCCCGAGTCCAAGGTTATAATAGTTATGTTATCATATCAGGATCTTATGTCAAGTCTCGCCCTAAGATTCTTTTTATCACCAGTTAATTGACAATACAATTCGTGAAATAAACTATTGTACGAAAATTTTAATATTAAAAAGATAAATAAAGAAATTGAACTAAATATAAGCTATTGTAGAAAAGCCTAACAATTAATTATTGGATTCTATATAAGGTTTTTCAAATCAAAAAAAAAAATCAAAAACAGATTTAACCTTAACTGGTTTTATACATGATAAAATTTATTACCACAACAAACTAGGCAAATATTTAAAATATTTGTTTATTAGACATACAGTTTTTCATTAGATTGGTTTTCTCAATTAAAGCTTATTGAAAAATAAGTTGATTAACGTTCATATTAACCTATGTATAAACTGTATACAAAAAATATTTAATATTAAATATATGTATTATATTACAAAATCATTCGGATATTTAATAAAATTGTGTTATTGGCCTTACCGGAATATCGGAGGTAGAATCCATTTCTCAACTTTATCCAATCTAAGAAAATAGAAAAAGGAATACACATATAAGCTAGATTTTTGAAAAATCATTCCCTTATAAACAAACACATTTATTTATGAAAACAGCAACAGGTGTGAGATGAGCGCACTTTTGAACATATATTAAGATTGACATACACGTATATTTATTTATGTATGTATAAACTTTATTAATTGTGCAGGCATGTATAAACGTATTCCAATTATAGTTCGGTTGGTGTTCTTATGTAATACCATTAAATCACTAATTATGTTAATGTTGGAACAAATGTAATAAAAAGATTTTTATTTTTTACCTATCTTCACGATTACCTGTTTCTAAAAATGTTTTGTTCGAAAAAAATACAATCCTGTACAGCCAAATTATTGAACGATGATAATCAAACCAAAATTCGCAAAGACTAAAAGAATAAAGAGAAATAAATAGAAATGCCTTTGAATTTCGAGAATATGAGTGCACATCAAAGATAGCTTCCACACTGTCCACATTTTGCTTATTTACTACTTATATTATCGACTCATTTACATATATTTCAGAACACTTAAATTTAAATCTCACACATGCACACAAAGTTCTCACCAACACAAGCATCTTCATTCGAATGCTGTTATTTTCATTTGTATATACCCTGCAGTTCTGGCTGTTCACAAGTGAATTTTGGCAATTGCCAATCATGTGTGTAGGAAAGGGAAAGGGATATTCCTAAGTTTCCCTCTCTTCCTCACTCTTATAATACGATTTCGTTGCTTGCACCCGAAGGCAGCCCGACTCCAAATTTGTCTTCTATTCTTTCGTTTTTCTAATTGCACTGTTGTCATTCTCCGTTAGAAACAAAAAATTAGTTTTCGATGGAAAATACGGCTGAGGGGCGCTCGACTTATGTATACTCTTCTGATGCTAAAGTTCTTCAAATATAAATATAATATAACATATAATATATATATATATGTATACATATTATTATTTAAATTATGGAACCGAGGTAACCATAACATTGATTACAAATGTATGTGGATACATATAATATAACTCGCGTGTCATTTATGGTCGGTTACACCCAAAAAGAAGGGTATACTAAAAGGGTGAAAAATAAAATTTAACTGTGTCATTCTTTTGCGTAGTGCGTTGACAATATGTTGTCAAATTTCTTCATTTGTGCAACGGGAAGCGGAAATGTTTAAAAATCATGTAAGTGTCGTTAATATTACAAAAATATTATGTTTTTTACTACAAACTTATTTAAATCTTTTTAGGATTAAGCCATACACATGTTTGTCCGATAAATTCGTTTGAAAGGTAAGTTTGCGCTAAATTAAAAAAAGTAATATATAATATGTAATAACGAAAATATTTTTTGTACCATAGATGGACGCAAAACAGCCGATGTCCTGCAAATACTCTACATAAATGATAAACAAAAACTTTCGAATTTCATATTTTTAATGTGCTTATCTCTTATGTTACAAAATAAGGTATTTTATAAAATAAATAAAAAATATATATATATATTGTTTTTCATATGAATTTGGGGATGAAATTTTGAACATTGGCATATATGATTTCCCTAAGGGCGATCCTCGAGGAAAACCCCGCTTCCACTTCCGCTCCGAATTCCTCTATGCCTTATACGAATTTTTTCCATACAAAATTCGTATAAGGCACCGAGGAATCGTTCGATGAAACCGCCAAAAAGTTCATCGAGAGCTGCACCTATGAAGAAAACTTGAATCCCATACAAAATTCCTCGCGCAATTCCTCGGTGCGGGCATACCTTCGTACCCCGGTTCCTCGGTGCTTCCTCGCGGATTTCATATAGGAAAAAGCTATTTTGGAACTGCAGGGTATGTATGTACAATATAAGAATAAATTAGAGCATTTTGTACAATTTCAAACGTGCAGTGATGCGGTAAAATGATTAAATGAAAAGGAGCTTATAAATTTATGCTAATTTGTAAAATAACCAAGTACTGGATATATCTATTAAAAATAAAGAAAATAAATTAATTTCTGTTAGATTGATAACCACAGAAATATGGTGCATAAGTACATATGTATGCGTAAAACACGGGTCTAATTTTTAGCTCAGAGCAATGAAAGGTTTAATTTTTAATTTGCAGGAAAAAGTTTGGATCATTTATTAAGTGGATACTCATAAAAAAATAAGAAATCTTTAAACATTTCCGAATTGTAAAGCAAAACCGGGCTTGGCTTTCTTTTTATTTAAAATTTAATACTTGTGATTAGTGCATGTAAAACAAAGCCTTAGGTTACTCAAACAACAACCCGTATATTATCTGTATTAATTAAAATAAGTTAACACTATTCTAAATAAAGATGACAAAGCGAGTCGACCTAGCCATGCCTGTTTTATGCCTGTCCGTTCGTATAAACTTTACGGTCTTGGAAACTGTAAGATTTACAAGACTATTTAAAACTTAATGGAAATCGTGAAGCTCTGTCATCTCATCGTTATAAAACAGGCTTTAATAATTCATGTAAGTACAGATAAATGCTTGCTTCCAATTAACGTTATCAAAAATCTAATTGTTCATTAGCCCACAGAATCGCCAATCAACCGCCGTATTAATACATATTATATTTAGTGGTCAAAGCCAAATTTAAGGACAAAGGAATAGACACTCACCAATAAAAATGTTCTGCCACCCACGTATCGGCAGAAATCACTTGGTTACGCGGCTTAAATTAAGGTCACCTAATCCTGAGGAGCTCCAAGGGAAAAGAAGGGCCGCCGAAAGCTATGGGAGATTTACACGCACAAATCCTTTATCTTATTAATCGGGACCTTTTTGTTTTTAGCAAACCGTCGGTAAAATGATAATCTTGGGACTATTTTGCATTTAAATTGGATAATCAGGTATTCCGACACGGAACGGACTCCCCGGAGATCTGGAGTCCGAGAATGTGGACTGGGTCGTCGATGGTGGTAGGTGTTCTTTCCAAAATTGTATTTGGTCAAACAAAATGTTATGTTCCTCTTGTTTCCTCCAATAAAGATATATTCTTCCAAAAAGCTTATGTTCTTCCGACCCAAGTGGGTCTCCTCCAAAAATAAAAGGTTAGCAACTCCAAAAGAATTTTGGTTCCTGAAAAAATGTGGGTCTCCTCCACGAAGGTTTTATTTTCCTCCCAAAGAATATGGTTCTTTAAAAAAAAATACGAATTCCTCAAAACAATTTGTGGCTCCTCCAGAAATAATTCCCGGGGCCCTTTATATCGGAACCCCGGCTTCACTAAGGAAAAAATAATATTTTATATTTCCAGTGATTTTCGGTCCCGCCACGTCTGTTACGTCGATCTCTCCGGGCACTACTGAACGGTGATCCTTTTTATCAAGCCATGTTCCCTGCTATTTTCCCAATCCTCTCTCCAAGATGGATCAATGGACATCCTCAAGGCCATCTAAGAGAATCCCCTAAGCCGAGATTACATGGTTACATTTTACATGTTAGATGATTCGCAAATGGCCCAAAAGGGGGCGCTGCCCTAACCATCGCTACCTGTTCTAACCTATCGATAACGTCCTCCTGGAATCGACTCCAAATGCAACAGCTTCTCAAAACAGATGGCAAAATAAAAGCAAAGGAGACTACTTTTTTTAATTTTCCAAAAATATCAGTATTTCTGATAATATTGAAAGCGTTTTAGTTAGCAAAAAAGTTAATTGTTTTGCTTTTAAATATTCCGATTACTGGGACAAGTCAAAAAGAAATTTAACTCAGTTCGAGAGAAGAGATTGCTCTTGGCTAAGCTCGCCAGCATTTTTTACCATAAAATCACCTTTAAACAAAAAAAGTTGCTTACATCGAAACTATTCATATTTTTCTATTAATTTTCCATGTTTTCGACTATTGTTCGTATGGCAGCTATATGATATAGTCGTCCGATTTTAGAAAACTCTATATTCCAAATACTTGTTATTAAATACCGCTAGACTACTTTCTGTGGGGCTACGTAAAGTCATTGGTCTATACGGTCCAAGAAACAAATCGAACAAATCGAAATTATCGATATACGGCCACAAGTGTTGGAAAAATTCATCGAAAATTGGACGTCTAGATTGGACTACATCCCAGCCAGCCGTGGTGGTCTTATGACAGAAAGCATATTTATAATGTAATGGCACAAGATAATCTTTTGGATAAATTCATAATAGTCAAATAATCCATCGTTGTTTTATTGCAATTTAAATTTCTAACACTAGATATTTATGTATATACCCTTATAGTCGAGCAAAATGCATAAAGGCTAAACAATATCGAAGCTATTAAGATTTTTCTATTAATTATCTTTATTTGTACCGCTGTTTTTTTTTTCTTTGACAGCTTTATGATATATGACAGACTTTAGAAAACTTATGATTGCGTGATAGAAAACAACGATGTCTTAATTTTTACCTATGTTGTCAGTATGATTTCTGTCTCTCCTATGCGAGCTATCCGATATAGTCGGATGATCCCACTTCTGGAAAAGTTTATTCGGGGTTACTTTAAGCCTGGGAAACTTGGTTGTGTATAAACATACTTCTAGTTCGATTCAGATGGTAATACCGATCAAGAATATATACTTAATGGGGTCTGAGTTGTAATTATAATACCGTTTGCAAGGGTATTAATATAAGCCCAGGTGCAAAATGAAATGTAAGTCTTAAAAAAGACTTTTGTTGATAGGGTTATTTATAGACTCATCACGAAAAAGCTTTTTCTGTCCAAAAAGTTTGGGCAACGGTTCAAATCTCAGAAAAAAGCTTTAACCTGCTTTAACAAACGTGTTAAACGTATAACATCTAATCAGTCGTTCAAAGTTGTTAGCACGAAAAGATAGTTATTGAAGAAAAACGCTATTTTGTTGATTTGTATTTTGAAAAACAACGTTTTGGTTGAAGTTATTGTGATGCAGTCTCTGCTTTGTTTCTATATAATAACGCAGCTTATCTTTTTCTTTGAGACATCAAATGGAAACTTTATCATTCAACCAGTTTCTCAAGCACTTGAAGGCTATGTTGCACTTACCCCACAGCCGCTTCCTCAGGCCTTGAAAAGTGAAAGTCAGCTTGAGATCATTAATGAATGGAAGTATATGGATTTTGAATATCCAACATTTGTGGAACGTCAAAGGGCGATTTTAAATGGGTAACAAAACAATTCAACAACACAATGTACAATCATTTAAAAATACCTAGTTTAATTTACATTTTTTTGAAAGTTAAGAATAAAAAAATTAAGCCAAGCTCATTTTTATACACCTAATATAACATATATATTATCATTATATATACACCTCTATCCGTTTGTTTGTGTCTACGAAAACTTAATATCCTTAAAGATATACTTGTACGATAGTCTAATATATAAAATTCTCGTGTCACAGTTTTTGTGACCTTACTCCTCCGAAACGGCTATTCCGATTCTCATGAAATTTTGTGAGCGTATTGAGTAAGTCTGACAATTACCCAACGTCTATTTTTCATCCTCTTAAATCGTGTTCGACATACCAAAAATCGCATATAAAGTAAGTTTCTACCTCATCAAACTGACAAAAACACGCTAACATAGCATTTTAAATCAATTTAAACTGGGGCAAAAATCCTTCATCATTAAGTAAAATCATTAATTCTATTTATGAGTGTTTTGTCCAGTGAGCTATGCCAAGAAAACGCAAAGCGGGTACTTTGAGCCGTGATACAAGTAGATCTCGATACATGCGAAATAGAAGATCCGAAAGAATAGCGCAATTGCATCAAGAAGAGCCAGAAGATACACGAGCTGAACGCAATGAAGTCAGAAGGTTAGAACAACGACAACCACGCCGTGTCACAGTCAATAGACGCAGAACAAATGACCATCAACGACAACCGGTACATCGAGCATTTATAAATAATTCATTACTGCGTCTAGCATTCCAGTATGAGCCCGATATTGAGTAATATGCTCACTCAAAAGTGGTAATTGGTGCTATGGACAAGGAATGTCCGCATTGTCATGCTCTGAAATTTAAAAATGAGCCAGCTGGGATGTGGTGCGCGTCAGGAAAAGTGCAACTACCAGAAATTGAAACACCACCTGAACCATTGAACGGCTTACTTATCGGCACGGATCCAGATTCTAACGTGTTCCTGAAGTCAATTCGAACATTCAATTTATGCTTTCTACAAAAGTCTAGAACTGAGTAAATTTTGCACAGAAATTATAAAGTCATCTGGTGGCAAAACAACGTTTGCCGGGGTTTGCTAGTTATTATATATAATATTATTTAAATTATTGAACCAAGGTAACCATAACACAACATTGATTACACATAAAGATATAACATATAAAGATATAATATAATATAAAGATATTGTATATCTTATGCTCGGTTATAACCCAGAAACGGAGGGTATACTAAAACGAAAGAAAAGACTCGGATCAAAAAGTTGAAAAACGAAATTGACTTGAGTCATTTTTTGCCATAGTGCGTTGACGATTGGTTTTTAAATTATTTAAACAACAGGCAGCGGTGAATTTTTAAAAATCATGTAAGTGTTGTTAGGATTATAAAAGTAGTATTTTTACAACTACAAACTTATTTAAATCTTTTTAAGATTCAGCATATACAAAATTCGTATTAGCCACCGATGAATCGTTCGGTGACATGGGATAAAGTTTCATCGAGAACGTCTTGCATACCAAAAGCGGACATCCCTTATTAAAAGTCTATGAAGTGTCATCCGTGAGTCACCAGCAGCGTACCCCGCTGTCACCAATGAGTCATCGTACTATCATCGGCGACCCGGCACTTGGAACTGCAGGGTGCTATCTTCATGAAGCTTTTTCATGAAGCCCAACCTCATTCTTAGTTTTTGAAACAGTTAATAATATTAATATGTCACATTTTTACTAGTGTGAAAGGCATTGAGCTTACTAGAAGATGACAAGCACTGGGGCTATACTTCAGCTAAATCAGCTGTATGCAAATAGCCATTCTACTGCTTGATTTGTTTGCTGTGCGTGTGTGTGTTAATGAATTATGAAGGAGATAACGCCACACATATTTAGGAAAAGTGAAAAGAAAATTTTTCAGAAGATTTTTTGTACGAATGTGCAATAGTTTGCGAAGTAGATCTAGCTTTAATCGAAAAAGTACTTTAAAAAACGTAATTTTAAACGTATTTTAAATTTAAAATTGCCCAACCCAAATCGAATTGATAAACCATTTGAAAATTAAATGAAATAGATTATAATATTAGTGAATTAAATTTAAGCGAAGACGAAAGTTTCTTAACATATGAATATACAGTCGACTCTCGTTAATTCGAAACTCGAGGGACTCTTGTAATATTTCGAATTATCGAGTGTTTGAAATATCAAATGGTTCGAAATTTGCGAGAGAAAATAAATAGAACTTTGAACTATTAAGTGTTGGTTATTTTTTATTTATTAATATAAAAATGATAAGAATTAAGAGGTACATTCGTGTACGTACATGTATTCGTAATGTGAATTAATTAATCTTTCGAAATAACTTTGTTATACTGGTTTGCTTTAAAGCACAATTTTGGTGCTCACACTGCTCAATAACTTTTTGAAGAGAAAAAGTTCCTGAAATGCTTTTTCATCACTTTCGTTTTGTAGACATACATAAGCTTTGTAAGGTATCAAATGAGGATCTTGCTTCCTTAACTGACACCTCTGCCAATGGTTCTTTATACTCTCTAGGGCTCATAGCTAACACTAACTTTTAATATGCATACCAACGAAAGAGTAACAGTAACTGAATAACTACACAAACCAATTCGTAAGAAGTGTGTGCGTCAAATGGTCAAACTACATAATCAAAACAAAAACAAAGGCAAGTTTGAACTTGTCGCAAAATTTCCGACTTTTTTTTCTGCAACTTTGAATTGTCGAGTGTTAGACGCTGATGAGTTCGAATTAACACGTGGTTTTGTTAAATATCAATGATTTTTTCGTTCGAATTACCAAGTGTATGAAAATGTATTGATTTAGTTCGAAATATAAAGAGATTTCGTAGGGACCTCGTGATAACTTTGAATTATAGAGAGGTTCGAATTATCGCAGGTTTGAATTAATGAAAGTCGACTGTAGTTGATTGCTCCATATTGCTACATAGTTGATTGGAACTCATTTTGCTCGATATTTAACGTCCTAAGATTGAAGATTTTGGTTAGGTTGTGAAAGACATTCTTAGTAATAATGTTTTGATGGAAGAAACGTTTTAATTATCTCAAGATTTTTACAAATGCTTCCGGTTGTTCTTCAAGGAACAATGGCAGATAAAATGAAACAAGCATCAAGCCATATTGATTAAAGTTGCCTAAAAGTCATTTTGATTTGACGATGCAGTTCTTCCTTTCAATTAAAATTCGTTCTCCCACAAACACGTCTTACTCTATGGTCTTGTGAAATTAAGGACTTTAAGTTTATAATACATTAATACCAAACACAAAGGCAAGCGCAAGCTATATTGGAGAGATTTTCAAACTTAATAGCCGCAGGCGAAGCTGCGTAGGCCCTTGTTAGAGGGTAATAAAAACATTTTTTTTTTAAAGTTAAGACTACTTTAAAACACGAGGTACTATATACTTAATGTTGAAGGCTGAATATTACCATTGACATGTTATGAGTCTAGTCGTTTAATGGGCGTAAGTCCTAACTGGAATTTAAAAATTACTACATTTTTGGAATATTTTTTTTTTTCAGGGAATTCATACCGAGGAATAATTTACCTCTGGGTATTGACGTCTATCTTAATCGCCTTTTTATAACAACACCGCGTTGGAAAGGTGGTGTGCCTGCAAGTTTAGGTACAATCCCAAATCCACCGAAAGAGTCAAGTCCAGCAATTAGACCATATCCCAATTGGGAAGCTCATGGAAACCCCAATAACCCTGACTGCTCAAAACTAATTTCTGTTTATCGCACAGTAGTGGATACATGTCATCGAATATGGATGATAGATTCTGGAGTTGTAAATGCCACAATCAAAATTAATCAGATCTGCCCTCCAAAAATAGTTGTATACGATCTTAAAACTGACAAACTGCTGGGGCGACACAATTTAGAAGAGTCTCAGGTGAAACAAGATTCTTTGCACTCTAATATTGTTGTGGATATTAAGGATCGTTGCGATGATGCCCATGCTATTGTGGCAGACGTCTGGAGATTTGGTCTTATTGTATACAGCCTATCAAAGAACAGAAGCTGGAGAGTGACTAACTATAACTTTTATCCGAACCCAGTTGCTTCAGACTTTAATGTTTACGGATTAAACTTTCAATGGTTGGACGGTGTTTTTGGAATGAGTATATCTTATGACCAAAAAAGTATGCAACGTGTTCTTTATTTCCATCCCATGGCAAGTTTTAAGGTAAGCGTGTATCCCAACTAATCAATCCAGAGCTTAACCATTAAAAACCGCACCCTGAACCTTATTGATTTTCAAACAAACCCGAACCGAGCTTGAACACTATATTCGTCAACGCAATTATTATAAAGGTCTCATTTTAAAACTAGTACTTCAACCCGGAACGCATTGAAAATTTATTCCGAATTTCCAAAGGTCTCAATTGTTTTAAATTTAATTATGCGATAAATCAAACTAAAATGGAGTGTCACAAATATTTTAAGCTCGCAGAAGTACTACAAAAATTTACGGAAACTTTTTTTTTATTAACCCCTTTATGCGTTACGATCTATTCAATAGAATAATAAGTAAATTAAAAGATGTTTAAGCTTGACATACATATTTTAAATAAATTTAGTTACGTTTTTAGGGTTTTATAATACTAAATACTTCACAATTATTATAGGAGTTCATGGTTCCGATGGACCTTTTGCTGAACGAAACTTATTGGCTATCAAACAGTGAAGATCGGGCAAAGCATTTTACTTCGATTGGGGATCGCGGACCCAACAGTCAATCGTCTACCTCCGGAGTTACAAGAAATGGCGTAATGTTTTTTACACAAGTTCATAAAGATAACATTGGCTGCTGGGACACAACGAAACCATACACTCGAGCCAACTTGGGAAACCTACTTGACCTGGACGACAACACAAATATAATTCAATTCCCAAACGACCTTAAAGTGGATAACGAGGAAAATCAAAGTGTGTGGATTATAAGTAACCGGCTGCCAATCTTTTTGTATAGCAATCTAGACTATGAAGATATCAATTTCCGAATATTAAAGGGGAATGTGAACAAGATTGTGAGTAATAGTGTTTGTAATCCAAACAATGAGTACATAAACGGATCAAAATCATCTTTTTTGTTATTAGAAGAAGGCCAATGCTATTAATAAACAACAAAAACATGAACACCGATTTTATTTTTAATCATATATATAAAAAACATTTTTTTTAAATCGCCGCTGATGGTGATGATGATAAGGACAAACATATGAAAGGTGAGTTTTACCATCGAGGATTATTAATTTACTACATTAAAATCAAGAAATTAAGCTACATATACCCTTGCAGTCATCACAAATGTTGAACAAAATACATAAAGGCTAAATCTCAGGCTACTTAAGGCTGGGAAGTCTGAAATTATGTGTAGGGAGGTTTCATCCTCGCTATCACAGAATCTGCATGTCGTGCTGTTTACAATCCCTATATAACATAGGAGACTCTTCAGCCTGCAATGTCTGGTTAATAACCGGTAATTACCCCAAGTGAATTCTTCTCTAGTGGTATAAGTTTCTTGAACCTCTTCATGTCATAATTGACGATGAGGGTTTTGGCTTGTCTGCCGGTGAGAGGAGCTGCAGAGGTTGAGGGTGACTGCCTTTCACCCTTTTCACCCGCCTTCAGCACGCTGAGTATGACAGCGGATACCTTAGGGAGATGTCTTCTTGTCGCCGCCGCCTTTGATGTGCTTGGTTCACCAAGCCTTGGGGGGACGGGAGGGAGGCGGCGCTGCCTCTTTGTTGCCCTCTGATTTCGACCTTTTTGGGTTGTCAGTCGGAGGGGTGAGGGTACTGTTCGCCCGCTTGCTGGCAGGTGCACTGCTTAGGGGCGCTGGACGTGGCTCCTTCCTCAGTGCCTCGTCAGGGGTCATACCCAGCTGGAGGTATCTGAGGTACCATTTGACTTTTGACCCCGGCAGGCCTTTCCTGTTGGGGTCATCCAGGCCTCCTGGTTGTCCTCTGGCTGGGAGGGCGTCCTCCTTCTTTGTGGGCCTGGTGTTCTGTCCAGCCGCAGGGGATGGGCAAACCGGCCGGGATGGTCCTGTTGGTGGCCCACGTTCCCGGACTGGGACAGTTGACCATTGAGGGTTTGCCTCACATTTTGCATCGAGAATCGAACATCAACAGACCCTATCAATAAGATTATAGCTGGACTAAAATAAAAGGGTTTTTATGCCAAAATGGCAAGGAATCTATCTAATATATAAAATTCTCGTGTCACAGTTTTTGTTACCATACTCCTCCGAAACGGCTTTACCGATTCTCATGAAATTTTGTGAGCGTATTGCATAGGCCTGAGAATCAACCAACATCTATATTTCATCCTCTTAAATCCTGTTCGACATACCAAAAATCGCATATAAAGTGAGTTACTACCCCATCACACAGACAAAACCACGCTACCATAGCATTTTAAATCAATCTTCTGTACGTATCTTAGTCATTGAACTCCTCCTAAACGGCTAGACCGATTTTGATTTTAATGTTTTAATAATTTTATATTTCCGCTTATACATTGCAATCTCAGTAGGTAATTATACATAAGTATAGAACTGAGTAAATTTTGTACAGAAATAATAAAGTCATGTTTGGAAGACGACGTTGTTGGAACATAGGTCGTAGTACAGTGTACAATGCTAGAAGCGTACGTTGCCATCTGGTGGCGAAACGAGCGGAGAGCGACACTGCTAACTGGACTGGAGAACTAGAAAGTTAATTGGCATTTTAATAAGTTACTTAAACAATAAATTTATAACGATTATTAGAACCAAATCTCTTAACTTGGGGAAGCGGAGCAGAGCTACAAATCTCTAGGAGAAAACCTTCAAACCTGGACATGTTTAGGTAATATTACGAGTCCTGCACGCGTCGGGATGTGCAAGGACTTAACTTGTATATCTCTTTTATGAAAGAATAAATTTCACTTGGTCATATGAGTGCAATCAATAACATACATCGAGTGAGCCACATTATATTGTCCGATACCAGTGTGTGCTCAGACCGCAAAGCTCTTCAACAAAGTTGCGATTCGTTTTTGATCCGTCAAGCAAAACGTCATCACAAACGTCGCTTAATGACACTCTTATGGTTGGTCCAACGATACAACCATCTCTTTATGCAACGTTGCTTCGTTTTCGTTTGAATCCTTACGCAATTACAGCTGACATCACTAAGATGTACGGTCAAGTGGAAATTAACGAGACTCAGAGATGACTTTCGCTGACCTAAGAGGTCTGTTTTATCGTTTGTAGCACGTTTGTATGAACCACTTGGATCATTGTGTCCAATTGTTACTCGAGCGAAAAGTTAGCATAAGTTAGATTGGGATTGCCTACAGATTTAAAGGAGCTATTAAAATCGGTTACTAAATGCTTCTCGTCTAGTGAGCTCATGGAATCAATTTGGTTACGGTCCCATACTTACGGGAGAGTGGGGATAGGTGAACCACTTTTTTTTTTATTAACATTATTATGTCTGAACAATTCGACGTAAGGGTCTGCTGTATATAGAAATCTAAAAGAGCCCACATTCCTTGGAATATTAAGTATTATGCAAAAATACTATCTTTTGAGTTTTTGTTGGAACTGTTGTTGTAGCTGTTTCGTCTAGATTGAAAACGTTGGAAGGGTCGGAGAACCTGGGCTCCCGATCGTAGACCTTTTGTAAAATGTCGTAAAAAATCTTGACGTTATGAGCAAGCTCTAGTCATGCTGCAGTTCTCCGGTTTCCGATGAGTAATGTCTGGATTTCTTTTGCGAAATGAATGAAACCAGTCTTTACCTGCTGTTTCGTTATCTTTCTCTTTCTCTAAAATCAGCCTCCAGCTTTGTTTCCTGTCCTTCTTTTATCTTCATGACGTAGCGGCGAAACGTAGGATATGGAATGTTGTGTACTTTTGCTGCTTGGCGAATGCCATACCCCTTCTCCAGATGATCACGTAATGCGGATTGCATAGTTGCACTGGAAGTCAAGCCTGTTTGGGTTTTGCGTTTGTAGTTTCTCACCATTTTGGCAGCGTGCGATCGAAAATTTAGAAAATCAAATTTGTAAAGGTGGTTCATGTATCCCCACAAGTACTAGTTCATGTATCCCCACAAGTACTGGTTAATGTATCCCCACAAGCACTGGTTCATGTATCCCCACAAGTACTGGTTCATGTATCCCCACAAGTACTGGTTCATGTATCCCCACAAGTACTGGTTCATGTATCCCCACAAGTACTGGTTCATGTATCCCCACAAGTCATTAGCCAATTAGAAGTGATTTGAAGAAAACATGAAATATTTAAACTGCGTGAGCTACCCGAGGAAATATCATAATTTGCGTCTACTTACGATAAAATACAATTTTATGAAGTTCAATGCCACTGGCGAAGCACGATAAAATTTTTCCAAGAAAACGTTAGGTCACAATTGAAGCTGCAAACGGCGAATACAAACTTCGATTAGCGATAACAACGACAACAATCGATTGACGGGACTGTGCGTGCGTGTGAAGTTAGGATATCGACTAAGTAAGCAACCCACATATAGATGGCGCACAAAATCATGACAGAAGGTGAAATACCACCAACGATCTTTCTGTGTTAGAGAAGCGGAAGGATGCCACAGTCTTGACCGCGGCCGATGCACTGGAGAATCCATTTGTGGACCTCGTTAACAAGTCTTCGTCATATTAGAAAATTCTGCGCATCGTGTCGTATATGCTTCGATTTATTAATGGAAAATCGCACAAACAGAAGTCACTCGTGCCATCAGCAGAAGAACTTGGTTCGGCGTTTTTAGCAGTGGTGTTTGCATTGCATTAATTCCCGAGATTAACATATAAATTCCACAGACTAGATTTACACTGAAACATTTTTTTTCAATCGAAAACCCCCTCAGTGCCTTTAAGAACACTTTATGGAATATTTTGTTTTAATTTAAACATTTAAACAAAATGTTTGACAATGTTGAAAAGCATTTTATCTTAATTTGAGTCTTATTTAAATTTATAATATATATACATACAGTCGACTCTCGTTAATTCGAAACTCGAGGGACTCTTGAAATATTTCGAATTATCGAGTGTTTGAAATATCAAATGGTTCGAAATTTGTTCTAGGGCTCATAGCTAACACTAACTTTTAATATGCATACCAACGAAAGAGTAACAGTAACTGAATAACTACACAAACCAATTCGTAAGAAGTGTGTGCGTCAAATGGTCAAACTACATAATCAAAACAAAAACAAAGGCAAGTTTGAACTTGTCGCAAAATTTTTTTCTCTGCAACTTTGAATTGTCGAGTGTTAGACGCTGATGAGTTCGAATTAACGCGTGGTTTTGTTAAATATCAATGATTTTTTCGTTCGAATTACCAAGTGTATGAAAATGTATTGATTTAGTTCGAAATATAAAGAGATTTCGTAGGGACCTCGTGATAACTTTGAATTATAGAGAGGTTCGAATTATCGCAGGTTTGAATTAACGAGAGTCGACTGTATATGTATGTAAGCATAATGACACAAAATAAATTTATGATTTGAATCACAAAGAAAACATTGGTTGCACAAATTTATTTGCTCAAATCGATCCACCCTACTAAACACAATTTTAATATTTATTGTAACAGCTCTGGCCATGACCATGAAGAGCAGTATGCTGTATTTACATGCTTAGTCAACAAATTTTATTAAAACATATTTATGTACATACATACATACACACGAATATGTTTACAGCGTTTGCCTAGGGGCCCACACAGCGTTCTAATACAAAATATACTTAAGATATAACAATTTATGTTTGTTTTTATACAAACATACATATGTATGTATACATGTTCATATGTGTGCTTCTAAATGACTGGGATAATTCCAGATAGCGTATGCACACGACATTCGGTATTTTTTCACTCGTTGCCCGGAATGTTCAAATTCATAAATGTACATATGTACAAGTTCCGTTCTTTAAAAATTTTAATTTTGATCACAAGAGATGTATAGTTTGAAGCGCGCTATGTTTTCTCAATTTTTTGGGTTTATGTGTTTTTGGATAATTCTTCAGCAAGTCGCAGTTATATTAGCCAATGGTTAGTAAATTGTGTCTACATATGTATGTAAATACATATGTATGTATGTATGGACTGAAATGGTTCAACAAGTTAAAAATGTATTCATATGTACATACATACATATGCGTGTAGCTCGTTTGAACATCCTTATGTGCATTTATACACACGTGAGTTTAGAACGATAAAATATGAACATATGCATGTACATATGTACTTATGTGTGTAGGTATATATGTGACGTCATGTATGCAGCTTGCAAAGGAAACAAGAAAGGAAGCTATAGCTTCCCAGCGGGAAAAAAGATGTGGAAGATAGAGAGGTTTCTTCATACAAGCGGAAGGGCAAAAACCTCCTTCAACCCTTACATTTTTGCCGTCTCTCCTTTCAAAATACACGGGGGTGACACACAAAAGTAAGCAGGGCCGGAGAAACAGTTTTGAGTGGGGTGATGACGTCACAAATTTTCAATACCACTTTCCCGCTGGGTTCGGCATGCCGAAGCTTATATACTCTTGCAGTAATCAAGTACATGAGCATGATCAGCATCGCGATCTGAATCGAAATACGACTGTCCGTTTGTCCGTCTGTACGTCTGCCCGTTTGTCAGTCTGTCCGTCTGTCTGTTTCTATGTAAACTAGTCTCTCAGTTTTAAAGCTATCTTTCTGAAACTTTCCCAAAAGGTGTGTAGTTATTGCACGCAGTATATAAGTCGGAACGGGCCGGATCGGCTAACTATATCGGAAAGCTCCCATACGAGGGAATGGAAGAAAAAATTCGTAAACTTTTTCATGTTTTTTAATCCCACGAGTTGCGGAGAAAGTAAGTCCACCCGGGCAGAGAACCGCCATACCCGGGTAAGGCATGGTTAGGACAGGCGGTCGCCACTTGCCTGAACCCTCCTCCGTGAGAGACTGGGCTAGTTGTTAATCCGGGCCCCCAGCCAAGCTGACTATCGGCACGGGTCGGATGACACCTTAGTCCGGCACCGGAGTGAGATTGTATGGGGAGAGGAGTTGGTAGGTTGTCGTGAGGGAAGAGGACTGTGTGAGGATCAGCACACCGACTCCGGTGTACCCGCTGTTTGTCCGGGGTTTCTTATTAGCTTGCGCTTATTCGCAACTAACCTTATAAAAGTCCGTTCGCATCCGCAACCTGCGACCCGCCTGGTGGCCCCAGCTAAGCCCCCTCTTGAACATCTCACTAGTTCTCAAGGAACAGGTACCATTACCTTTACTTAACGTGTAAACTAGATGTAAATATAATTTAGTAATTGATTTGTAATTTTATTGATTTTTTTTTAGACAATATATCGGATTATATAAGGAAATGTTGCATAACTGGTTTGCGCCATGCGCGAACAACTGCCTCCTGCACAAATGTCGATGTATCCCCAACAATCATCCCAAAACTATGGCTGGGACTATGTCATTCAACGCTCGAAGTCTGCTGTTCCCAGGAACTGGACCGTCAAAATTGCGAACTGGGTCGGCTGGCTGCCCTGGAAGGTACTCGCTGCAGCAGTAAAGAAAATGGGACTTCTAGTTCTTATGCAACCTGTTGTCGGTCCTGTCAAATTGGATTGGCAGTAAAGGCCAGTAAGGTTAACTGCAAAGATCCATTATTTTCATTTTTTTCCTCAATTGAATCATATCGGGCCTGTTGCTATGAAACTGCAGATTTTAAGTTAGGTTCTGATACATTTCAAACTAATGAAATGTCTACTAGTGATGAGGCACGGAACCCATTAGAGTCTCAATATGATGTCAACGGTACCATTGTTTTATCTGAAGACGGTAAGTTTACTGTAATCCTAAAAACATAAATAAAATATAAAATATTGTTATATTGAAACACGTTCTTAGATGACATTTGTGGAAAAATTGAAAACCTTTGCGAACACATTTGCGAAAACACATTTGATGCGTATCAGTGTAAGTGCCACACCGGCTTTACTTTGGATAACAACAACGTTACTTGCTCACCGATAAAGACTCACATTTGTCCAAGCGGCTTTAATTTAAATAAATTGGAAAACAAATGTATTGACATTGACGAATGCAGGGAGGACCTTCATGAGTGCAAAATAAACCAATACTGTCACAATACGAATGGTGGCTACCACTGCTTAAATGTGAAATCAAAAGAATGTCCATCGGGATATCACTATGAAAGTGAATATGATGAGTGTAAAGGTGTGTATTTTTAATTGTTTATCCTAGCTTGTCCATTTTTAGTTAAGTTGCTTTAAAACATAGATTGGAATGCACTGTATTGGCAGAAGAAATAACTGGAGAAAAGACTTAAGACCTGTAATCTAAGTTACGGAAGGTGGGGAACAGGAACCAGTAGCTACTGAAAAGTATCCATGATCTTTTAAAGTATTTAAAAAAAATTTTAATAACAAACAAAATCAAAATAATACATAGCTTCGGCTTGCTGAACTTGTGACGGTAATACCATATTTATTTAAAAATTAGTCCAACAAAATATTAATTAACTTAAAACTCTACAACAATAGAGAAGTACTATATGAAACACTTATTGTACGGATCGAACTTACAATAGGAACTTTTTACTATAGATTTGCCTAGTAGATATTACATTATACTTTGACTGCTAGAGAAAGCTTTAATTCCATGCATTCGATTTTTTCAGAGGATAGTGAATGCAAAAATGATAGCTCTAAATGCCCATTTGTTAAAACTCAATCATGTGAAAATGGATTTAGCTTGAAAAACGGAAGCTGTACTGATATTGACGAATGTGCGCACACTTTATCGAACGACTGCGATAATAACAATCATCAGGAGTGCATTAACACTGTGGGGAGCTATTTTTGCCAATGCCAGACTGGATTCAACATGGATGGTAGTCTAAATAAGTGTGTTGGTAAGTTATGTTTTACATTTTATTTGGTGTCTTTAATTATTGGGCTTTTGCAGATATCAATGAATGTTCTATCAATAACCACAACTGCCTGCCAACTCAGAGATGTGATAACACTATTGGATCATATATATGCACGGTATGGTTGAACTTAATCAAAAATTATAAGTCCCTTACTTATCGTATCCCACACAGCGTCTGCAAAGCTGTGGTACAGGCTACACATTAAATGCGGAAACGGGAAACTGTGACGGTAAGAAAACTTATTAAACGCTTCTTTTATAAGTTAAATAAAAATGTTTGCATTTATTAATATTCATTTATTTATATAATATCCGGCTCAAAGGACCAGGGGGGGACGGTGGCCCAGCAGGTAGAGCGCTGGCCTCCGGTCCGGAAGGCCCGGGTTCGAGTCCCAGGCTCCCCGAGAAAAAGTAAATGTCTCTTTTTCCAAATCTCCACCACTTCTATGCTCTATCGCTCACTTAACATTAGTAACAAATTTCGGCTCCCCGGACCCGCACACCTTCTCGTCCACGTTACTATGGACCCAACAATAGATCTTTTCGTCACTCCTAGATGGCGCCTGGTGGCAACCCCACCGCTAGGATAAGTCGCTACTGGCTTATCACCAGTACGATCGAAAACCAAAGATAAATGAATCCTCTTCAAAAACTGTAGAGGCTCAATGCTCCCGGGTGGAGTTAAAGAATGTAATTTTTTTTCTAGGTCTTTTAGAAAAAAAAAAAATAAAAAAAAAATTGGAAAGGTCGCTAACACCCACAAATTATGAAAAAAATATTTTAAAAACCTTACCCCTCTTTAAGGGATCTGGGGTGTTTCCTTCACTGCGATGCAAACTTTTGCTCGATATTTGTAATTTCTGCAAAGGTATATCAGCTTCGGCTCGCCGAAGCTAGCTTCCGTTCTGGTTCCAATAGTTATAGCGGCTGCTAAATGTAGTACAAAATGCTTAATCTTGAAAACTTTCTAATTTCTTTAAAGATGATGATGAGTGTACACTGAATTCACATAACTGCCCCTCAAACTACGATTGCCACAACACGAAGGGATCGTTTCGTTGTCATCGGAAAACCACCACGAGCTCAACAACGTCAACCACAATGGCGTCTATAGTATCAAAGCCGGCGCCAACGGCAATTAATTCTCGATATCCTTATCCTTTAGCCATACAACTGGATAATATACGCCCCAAACTTGGTCCAATTGCAACATCAAGATCGGACTGTTCCGCTGGGTTTTACAGGAATAAGCTAGGTGCATGTGTAGGTAAGAAGTCAAAATTGCAACTAAAGGTAAAATTACATAATATAAATCACAGGCTTACCCGCCCTCGGCATCTTTGAAATAATCGTCGTTTACTAACACTTAACTTAAACTTAAAACTTATTTTTTTGTAAATTAAGGTGTTTTATCGAATCTTTATATCGGTGCCTTTGCTAAGAAATATAGAACAAATAGGATTTTGACTAGTAAAACCAACTTTTTTCAGTGAAAAAGTTTTATGAATAATGCCACGCCCACAGTTTGATGGCACAGCACATCCCGCCCCTCATGCAACTTCACATACCCTATCCATATCTGGGTAACGGGTATCTTATGGTCGGGGCACTAGACATTAGCGTTCCCCTTGTTTTAAATTGGATTCTTGTTCTCTCTAGCCTAAATTTATATTTTTTATTAAAATATTTCTCTTTCTTTAAGATACCAATGAATGTGTGGAAATGAATCCTTGTGGTAACCATCAACGTTGCATAAACACAAACGGCCACTTCCGATGCGAAAGCCTTCTACAGTGCTCACCCGGATACAAATCAACAGCAGACGGGAAATCATGCATAGGTAATAAAAACTGTCTAACTGTCTCTTTACCAAAAACACCTAACTAATTAAAAAAAAACGGTTTGACATAAAAACACTAAAATAATAACCCAATTCGGACAAATATCTTTGATACGTACAAAGATCAAATTGTGGCCAAAAACCACCAAAATGCTAAATTGTACCTGAAAATTGTGACCCTGTGATGCCGTTTAGTAACACAGAAATATTACCACAGTTACAGAAAATATTATACTGATATTTTTGTATAATCAAATAGTGCTGTTTCTAGTTTTACCTCTTCCAAAAATGGTCACTAGACAAAAACTATGTTCTTTCCGAAACTGTTTAAAACGCCTACTTTTTATACTCTTTAGTAAGAATATTAAATTCCTAAGCAACAGATAAATAATATATAAGCAGCCCCAGATTATTTTTAAAAATTCTTTCTGTGTACCAGTCCTATATATATATATATATATATATTTCTTGGGAGACCGGTCTGGCCCACATCCAACGATGTGTAAAGGAGTGTGAAGGAAGCAGAATCCGATTATTTTTGTACCCTTGCAGAGTAGAGGGTGAGAACTATCGATAGCGCCGACATCGATAGTCGGCGATTGTTTTTCTCAAACCCTCGATAGTGTCGATAGTGCCATCGATAGTTCTCCACCTCTATTGCAGAGGGTATTATAATTTCAGTCAGAAATGCAACGCAGTGAAGGAGACATTTCAGACCCCATAAGGTGTATATGTATATACTTTATGGGTTCTGAGGTGTCTCCTTCACTGAGTTGCAAGCTTCAGAGTTAAATTATAATACCCTTCGCTCTGCAATCTTTCCAGGGATTAGTTGAAAAATAGATTACCAGAAAATTAGTCGGCTGAAGGCCGAAATAAATAATAATTAATTAAGTAAATAATTAAAAAATTAATTTGAATGGTAATACAACTACTGGAATTACCGAATAAACCTTAATGGGACCTCACAGCACGGTCGATTATTCATGTGGGGCTAGAAACATGGACCAACTAAGCGACATTTGTTTCCAAATCTTTGACCCGTTTGGGAAAGGCATACCTTAGGCTCACATTCGGTCCAACTGATACTAGTCCGCTTTGATTAAGACCCCGGGAAAAGCTTTTGAAGAATGGTCTTGTTTTTTCAAAAACCTTAACTGTGCTCCTTTTAATAAAATAGGAATTCTATCCGCCCCTATGTCGTTCTGATGACCACCTGCGGGGTCTTGGTTGGGTGTTCTCGAAGAAACCATTTTCTATAGCCATCTGCTTGTGAACCTCAATGTCACTCGCTCCGCAGAATCAACCTACTTTGTCATTCATCTATCAATATTCACTGCCCGTGCCGGAGAGCAAAATTTTATTACAAGAAGGCGCTACCATGATAGAATAGGTAAGGAAGTCTCGAAGTCTGGGTTAAACAATATTTTTTAAATTTGAAAAGTGGGTATAAGGAAGTCTCGAAATCTGGGTCAAATTAATTTTTTTTATTTGAAAAGTGTAATCGTTTGGCCCCTGTTGACCGTACCTACAAATTAGATTTGTATGGTTCCCGATTCGATATATAACAAACTTTTTATTTTACTTACTCGATTTTTAATGAATAGATATTGACGAGTGCGAAACTGGAGAACACAATTGTGGCGAACGGCAAATCTGTCGTAACCGAAGCGGTGGCTATATTTGCTCCTGTCCTTTGGGTCATGAACTTAAGCGGCTTGTCGACGGGGTCAATACATGTGTGGACATAGATGAATGCGCTTTGGATCATCGCGTATGTCCATCAAATGCAAAATGCTTTAATACCATAGGCTCTTACTATTGCGAGTGCAAAGATGGGTTTCAAAAGAAAGCTGATAATAGTAACAATACACAATGCTTTGACATCGATGAGTGTCGTGAGGTACCAGGTCTTTGCCAACAAAAGTGTATCAATTACTGGGGCGGATATCGATGTACATGCAATTCCGGATATCAACTTGATCTCGACAACCGCACTTGCAATGATATAAATGAATGTGAAGTGCACAAGGACTACAAACTATGTATGGGGTATGTAACAGAACAATAATATAAATATCGAATTCTGAAATAATATCTATGATTTTAAAGATTGTGTACCAACACTCCCGGATCCTACCAATGCTCCTGCCCACGTGGTTATACCTTATCTGCAGATATGAATACTTGCCGTGACATCGATGAATGTGCAACTGATTCTAATAATCAAGTTTGTACAGGGCGGGTAAGTATTTTCAAAGGTTCTTAACGCAAATACGTTTTCAATTATTATTATTTAGTAACGTAACTCTTCAAGAAAAGATTCAATAAATAAAAATAAAGTTTAAAAAAAAATAATAGTGTAAGTAGTGTAAGTGTAAGCTTACAAACAACGATTTATTTGCGAACTTCGTCGATACAATAACATTAGAGTGTTATAGAAATCTCAGTATATAAGTCGGAACGGTCCAGGCCGGGCGTTTATATTAAACAGCACCCATAGAAGAGAGAGGAAAAAAGTTATCACACCGTCGTTTTTGATGTTATCGACTTGTTTTCTTCCAAATTGTGTTTTCTAACTTCTATTCGATTTGGTCATAAAATATGTCGAACAAAATAGGCGTTATGGCGAAGCTAGGACAATTTTTCTTGATTTTTAATGACACTCCTGAGTATAACATTACTGTAATATAATATTTAAAAATATATTACTTTTTAATTTCTCAGAACGACATTTGCACTAACACCCGAGGAAGCTACAAATGTACCACTGTTAATTGTCCATATGGATATTCTATTGATCCAGATCAAAAAAAGTAAGTATGAAGCACATACAGTGGTGGCCACTAGTTTAGCACACTATGCAATCCCCATTTTTGAACTCTAATTTCACCTTTACCCGGAGTTTAAAGTTAACTGATAATTCTAGTTGTCAATAAGATGGTATACAAATATGTGTTTGCAATCCCACCAGCTTCTTAGTGCTTAGAAGGACAGCAGGAAGTCATTCAGACTCTTAAGTCAGCTGGGAAAACGATTTTAGAGATTTCTGAAGACTTAAAATGTTTCCGTAAAATGGCTTACAATGCTCTAGGACATATTAAAAGCAATCAAAGTACCAAACCCACCAGGGAAAAACCAAGATCCCGAAAAACAGATGACAAAGAAAACCGACTTATCAAAAGTGTTTCTGAAAAATACTCACTTAAGGGCTCTAGAACAATAAATATCATCAATATTTAATATAGAATTATACTCGAGGACTGCAAGAAGGCGATGAAATGAAAATTTCAAATGAAGATTTCAGTTTGCAAGGGAGCGTTTGAAAAAACCACTGATTGTTTCGAAAAATGTTCTGTGGGATGATGAATCCAAGTTTTGTCGATTCGGATCTGATAGATCGATCAGATATATTTTTTTCCAAAACCATTTTGATCGACATATTCGATGATTGCAAGGGTATATAGCTTTTCATTCTTGTTTATAATCAATATTATCTTTTAACTTACAGCCGATGCCGACAAAACACAAACTTCTGTGAAGGAGAAGATTGTTACACCCAACCGTCAGCTTACACATATAACTTTATAACCTTCGTATCTAAGTTAGTTATACCTCCGGACGGTCGAACCATTTTCACATTGAGAGGTCCACTTTGGTATGATAACATCGATTTTGATCTCCGAATTGTTCGCATACAAGTTAACAGCAATATTCAAGGAGCAACTGATAAAAATTTTGAGTATGTTTTTGTACACATTTCTATCATTGTTTAATATATGAAAAAAAAACAATTTTATAATTTACAGCACCTTAAAAAACAACAACCAAGTGAGTGTGTTACTTAAAAAGCCGCTCGACGGGCCACAGGATATTGAACTGGAATTAAGTATGACCGTATACACAAACGGAATGCCTCGTGGAAAAAGTGTGGCAAAATTATTCCTCTTTGTATCCCAGCATACGTTTTAAAAATAAATAAATAAATAAATCAAATATGTGATATTTTCTAAACTTCGTCTTTATTCGATAATTAGCTCATTTAGGGTCTATCCAACGCAGAGGGTCTAAGCATGATCCATGTGCTGTTGATTAACTAAGTGAAAATATCTTTTTCAAAAAAAAAAAAAAAAAAAAAAAAAAAATAAGGAATTTGAGGGAAGAACGAATCCAAAAACAAACGCCAACATAGCAACCGAAAATAATTAATACTCGGCGTTAGGTAACGGGTTAGATATTTACAGCAACCGATGATAGCTTTTTTTTTTTTTTTTTTTTTTTGCATATACATTATTTTCTTATTAGGATTTATCTAGGACACGCGGTATTTCGTAAATGGGAAGCCATAGAGTTAGGTAGGCTATGACGATTCATTTCCAATATTGGTGATTACGCTGACCGAAGCCTTGGCTTTTGGCACCCACGTTGTACAATATCCGCAAATGACGCTAGCCTTGCATTATTTTCATGCCGGCTATGCGTGATCAGCTTGGCAACTTTTCAATTGTCGGGTGACCGTGTTAACTCCTCCCTTGCTTAGACGAAGGACGTTCTCTGACTTCTTGATACCATTAATAATAACTTGTAGGTCATACTGGCGAAGGACTCGCTTGTGTCTCTGATACAGGTTGAAAATAGAAAAACATATTGCCAAGAAGGTTATCGCGACTGCTCCAGATACTCTAGGTGTTGTGACAAATGCTAAATTGTCAATGCTGAGCGTCTACCGCTCTGGGGACTTTTATTTGACAAGAGAAAAAATAGGTACAACCGAAGTAACTTCAAGATTAATTTTATTTTAACAAATTTCACTAGATATCAAAACAACTAATTTAATTACGAAGGTTAAGTTATATCAAAATTTTAGGGTTCTTCAAGGTATAAAAATCAAAGACACAGGCCGACCAGCACCGAACACCGCTTGCCAAAGAGTGGTTTGTCGGATTTTGGCATTCGTCTTTTGTGCTGCTGGGACGTCTCGAGAGCGTAGAAAACTGCATTAAGCACACTCTTTGTCTCCTACGAAATACTCTTAATAGATGCTCGAACATGCCGCCCGCCAATACTGATCCCAGTATTAAACTCCAGTGCCTTTCCCTTTTTGCCAATTAAACGCTGTGAAAAGACAAGTGTTTGTTAGAGCATGCATGCGTTGGATCAAAGATGTGCAAAATAATTGTCGTTAATTTGATGAATCGAGACCTTTAGCTACTGAGCTGCAAACTAAAGGCAGAGGACAAAGTTTTGAAAGCGATCGCTTATATATTCCTGACGAGGTTTTAACGGAAGCCACACGTACGAGGTTGTCTGATCCGGGATGCAGTTCTATAATTCGCCCAAGTTTCCATTCCGCCGGGGGAATCGATCATCCTTTATGATGACTATATCATCTACCTTTAGATTGGGTTTTACTTGCAACCATTTTGGGCGAGCTTGTAAATGTGACAACCAGTCTGCGCTCCAACGCTTTCAAAACTGCCTTACCAGTCGTTGGCCGTCAAAAAACTTCAAGTCCAAAGATTTATCCGCTGTGGTGGGAATTGGTAGAGACATCATGGAATCACCGATCAAAAAATAAGCCGGAGTCAAAGCCGAGAGATCCTCAATATTGGACGTCAACGGGCACAAGGGTCGAGAGTTTAAACATGCCTCTATTTGCACAAGAACTGTGTTCAACTGCTCGTAGGTCATCTTGACCCCCTGGAAAGTACAAAACAGATGCCTCTTGACTGCTTTCACGTTCGCTTCCCACAAGCCTCCGAAATTAGGGCTGTGTGGAGGATTGAAATGCCACTGAATGTTGCGAGATGTTAATTCAGGCAGCACAGTCGTTGTCATTTCTTTTACAAATTCCTTCTTCCACAATTGAAGCGATTTATCCGCACCCATAAAATTTGTGCCGCAGTCGCTGTACATATGCCTGCAAAATCCGCGGCGTCCAATAAAACGCTGCAAAGCCCATAGGAAATGCTGGGTAGACAATCCTGTGACGGCCTCCAAATGGATTGCTTTGGTTGCTAAGCAAACGAAAACAGCGATATATGCTTTGTAGGTATGATGTCCACGAAACCGAGATGCCTTAATTTCCAAAGCGCCAGTGTAGTCCACGCCAGTAGCCTCAAATGCTCGTTTTGGGGGGTTTACCCGATGAAATGGTAAATCTGCCATTAACTGCGATGCTGGTTTTGGACGATGTTTGAAACAGGGAACACATTTGCGTAGGACTCGTTTCACTGCTTGTTTTCCGTTTACAATCCAGAAAATCTGTTGAATAGTCGCTAGTGTGAGATCCATTCCTCCATGTAGTGTATTATGATGAGCATTTCGGATCACAAGCTCAGTGAAGTGATGTGACTTGGGTAGAATGCTCGGAGTGCGTTGGTTAGCAGAGATGTGGAAAGCATTCTTTAATCTCCCTCGCACCCGCAAGATACTCTGCTGATCTACAAAAGGACATAACTGATGAAGTTTATTAGAGCCAGAAAAGGATTTACAGTAGAATCCGGTTATAACGACTTCCAAGGGACCGACCATTTTTCGTCGGTATAACCGGAGGACGCACTAAGCAAAAGGAGGAAAAAAAATTTTTTTTGGATTATTTTATGGTTGCTGTGTTTGTTATAGGTTTTTAAAATAAATCAAATGAATTTTTTAATTAAAACGAAAAATTTAATAAATTAAATTCAAAAACATAGGTTTTTATAAATACTGAAAACTGAATGAGCTTATTTATGCACATATTGCATTTGGCAAATTGAAACATTCAGTTTTACTCGGAAAAAAGCAGAAAAAACTAGAAATATAGAAATATAAATTTTGAACTATGGCACTCTATTTTTTCCGGCACGACGCAATATCCGGTTAAATTTTCCAATTTTCCTGAAAAATTTCATTCTTATAAGCGGTTTGTCGCTAACAGCGGAAACGCTCAAAGCGGAGGCCCTTTCATATAACTTTGTATGGGGACCAACCAAACCATCGAGTTTTCGTCGCACAACCCGGACGGACACTATAAGCGGAGTCGTTATAACAGGATTCTACTGTATTTGATTGTAATCTAGAAATCTCACATGGAAACGCTTCCCGCTGCACCAGTCGAACGACTTGAAGCATGGCATCTTGAAACTCGTGTGTCTTTATTGGGCCTGTTCGACGCAATGCCAATGCAGATTTGGAATTGTGTACAAAGCGAAGCATATAGGCCACAACAAAGATGAGTCTATTATAGGAAGAAAATGAGGTGATGATTGATTCATCAATCGAAGTGGTACAAGTGAGTGTTGATTTTTTAAGATCTCGCTGCTCAGCTCTGGCAACGTTATCCTCCGGTGGATCCAAGCGATTAGTTGGCCATTGGGTATCCGGTAGCTGTAACCATGGTGGGCCACACCACCACAAATCGTGATTTGCCAGCTACGTTGGGGTAAGACCACGGGTGGCGCAATCTGCGGGGTTCGTTTCAGTGGGCACGTGTCGCCACTGCGACGGTACGCTTGATTCCAAAATTTGTCCCACTCGATTGGCAGCAAAAGTCTTCAAGCGCATTGGATCTCCATTAATCCAGTACAGTATGATCATTGCATCGGACCAAAAATGAACCGACATTGCTTGGTCTTGTAAATGTAGCTGTTGGCAGCACCACTTTGCCAGCTGGGTGGCTAACAGAGCACCAGAAAGCTCCACTCTCGGAATTGTCATTGGCTTCGTGGGTGTAACGCGACTACGTGCAGTAAGTAAATGAGTATGTACAGTATCATCCATCCATTGAACTCTGAGATACGCACACGCAGCATATGCAATGGTCGATCCGTCACTAAATACATGGAGTTGAAGAGATTTTAGACTGCTACGTTTAACATTTAACCACCGAGGTACTTGGATTGCCTCGACATCTGGTAATCTCATGATATAATCGTTCCAGCGTTCTCGTAAATCTAGAGGAAGTGTTTCGTCCCACTCTAATGGCGAGGAAACTCCAGCACAACGTTCAATACGAACACTCCAGACGTCCTTCAAAATTGCTTTGGCAGTTGTGATAACTGGCACAATAAATCCTAATGGATCGTACAACCGGGCCACTGTGGAAAGTAATGCTCGTTTAGTAAATTCTTGACTAATTTTGAATTTTATATGAAAGCCATAAACATCTCTTTTAGGATGCCAATACAAACCAAGTGTTTTTATTGAATCATGATTATCGACTTCTAAAATGGTTGAATTCGACATATGTTCTTGCGCAATGTTAACCAGCAAGTCAGGATGATTAGATGCCCATTTCCTGAGACACATGCCAGCGGATTGCAGTGCAGCAATTAGATCCTCTCGAATTTTGATGGCTCCATCAACGGTGTCATGACCACTTTGAACGTCGTCAACATATATTTCCTTTTGCAGTACATGTTGTGCCAATGGATATCTCACACTTTCCTCCTGAGCTAGTTGATGTATAATCCTGATGGCCGTATATGGAGCCGACGCAGTTCCAAAGGTCACTGTAGTTAAACAATACTCCTGAATTTGATCCTGTTCGTTTCGCCAAAAAATCCGTTGAAACTGGGCATCATCGGGGCGCATGTCTATGCATCGGTACATTTTTTTGGATATCTGCCGCAAAAACATATCGATGCATGCGCCAGTTTAGTATGACTCCCCCAAGATCATTCTGCAAAGGACATCGTTGAGAGAACGGCCATTGGAAGTTTTGCAAGACGCATCATAGACCACGCGTAATTTGGTGGTGGTACTCTCCTCCTTTAGTACAGCGTGATGAGGCAGAGTGCATGCCGCAAAACCGACCAGCCCCAATGGCGTGTGAGTCCGATGTTGCTCCTCAGTGCTTGCAGCTTCGATGATCTGGTTGAGATCAAAATACTTTTGGATGACGGCTGAATATTGCTGATGTAACGCTGGTTGTTTTTGAAACTTACGCTCCAACATATGGAAGCGATTAAGGGCTATTTGCCGAGATTTCCCAAGAACTTGCGAGGAATCGAACTGCGTCTTGAATGGGAGCCGAACCATATATTTCCCATTGGGTTGACGTGTATGCGTGCGTTTGAAATGATCCTCGCACCATTGTTCTTCTGCTGTCAACTGTCGAGTTTCGGGAATTTTCTCTAGTTCAAAAAACTTATTGACCAAAGACTCCAAATTTGTCTGATGGCATCGAATGGATATGGCATGCGAAAGTATTTGGTTTGTCTTACCAAATACAATCCAACCCAGTTGCGTGCGCTGAGCTATTGGTTGATCCTGAGCTCCCTTCCGAACTTCAGACAGCATGAGCTGAGGTATGACATCCACGCCAATCAGCAAGTCGATTCGACCGGATCGCGTAAAGGTAGGATCTGCCAATTCGAGTCCTTGGATATGCGACCAGTTTTGCAGGTGGATATTCATCCTTGGCAGAGGCGATGTTAAAGAGCGAAGCACAAACGCCGTATCCACTGACATTTGGAACTGAGGGTGTATACATGAGCTTAATGTAAACCCCGTGCGATGCTTGCACTTATTTGTTGAGTTTTCGCCTACTCCCGTGATTTCAGCAGAAACAGGGAATCGCTTTAGTCCAAGGGCTTGGACGACATTTTCCGTAACAAGAGTTCCCTCGGAGCCGTGATCAATTAAAGCGCGTACTATCATAGACTGACCAGTGATGTTGTTGTGCAGTCGAACCAGTGCCGTCGCTAGAATCACTGTGGGTGACTTATACGAGGCCATTGCACTCACGAGCTGAGTTGTGTTGGCTTGAATCGAGCTTGCCGATGAGGATGAATCCCTCGTTGACTGATGCTGTGGAACATTAGATCTAGCATTATTAGGCTGACTAGGAAAATGTAAAAGAGTGTGGTGCCGTTGACCACACTGAGAACAATTCTTTGTACTACTGCACTGAGACCAATTATGTAAAGGGCTTAAACCGTTCAGACAAACCTTGGTGTTTTCCGCTATCAGTTTTCGAGCAAAACAATCTTTAGACAAGAACTCTGGACAACGCCTTAAAATGTGGTTGCCACTACAATGAGTGCAACGCATTGCGGAATTGGTACCGCTCGTGGTATGGTAGCTGCCGCGTTTATGTATGTTATTGTTGTTAGAGTTGTTCGGAAGCTTGTATGACGGTTTATGCGATGCATTTTGGACCGATGTGGGTTTTGCTGATGGGTTCCCTTTGCGACTTTCTATCATTTCGATGCTGACAAGGCGATTGTTTAGAAAACTTTCGAACATCGAAAAGGTTGGAATTTCTCCTGAGCTGCCCAGGTGATGCTCCCAGGCTTGGAGAGTAGTTGATGGGAGTTTCATCGCGAGATGATGCACTATCCAATGGTCACAAGTTGAGATTGCGATTTTGAGACGCTTAAATTCGTTTATACACACATTGGTGACGTTGAGTAGGTGCTTTGCTTCCGTCAAATCCATTTGCTGGACATCCTGATCGCAATCACCTGGCAAAGCTTGCTTAAGAAAATGGAATTTTTGAATGCTAGAAAGTGCCGTATTCTCGTTTATAAGCTGTGAAAATACATCAAAAAATGCTGTTTGCCAGAAAAAGTGGGAACCGGTAACTTAGGGAGCTGAACTGAGGACATTGCTGTAGAAACCACCGTAGAATTATGGCTCGGAGCTCCAACTGTTGTATCAGTATTTGTTGTTGTCAGCAGGGCATCGTAGGCATCCAAAATAGCACAAAAAACCGTGGTATAACTTTGCTCAAACTTATCTTCAATTGCATTTTTAAAATACGCATGCGTACGCGGACATTTAGAAATAACAATCAATTGGTGATTTTTATTAAATTGTCTAGAAAGTTCTTCCAATTTATCGCGACGGAGTTGAAAATAAGCTTTGGTTTTTCGAGCTGCACTATCTTTTTTAAAATTCGTATGCAGCTGTGTTAATCGTTTAAGAATATCAAATTGAAGTGCACTGAGATCTTCATAACCCGCTCTCTCCAATGAGACTTCTAGTTCACTTTCGTTTTTCTCCATTTGACTCAAAAATAATTGCACTCAATCTATGACCAACATACAAGCATGCAAATAACAAAACACTCACCCTTTCTGTGCAAGAACACCTTGTGTTTCGCAGTCGTTAGCGTTTAACGTTTGTTGTTGTTGTCGTCCGCCAGGCAGAGTAGAGCGACAAAGGCGAAAGCAAGGCGGTGATTTGCATGTCACTGCAGCTGCGCTTCCAGCGGTCCAGCGAAGTGACGTGGGTGTATGTGGTCCTTGCACTCGGCCGATCATCCAACGAGGCAAATGTTGAAAGAGAGACGCCGATATTTAGCGAATCACTGCAGCTGCGCTTCTCGCGGTCCAGCGACGTGACGTATATATGTACAGATATGTGGCCATTGCACTCGGCCGATCATACGAAAGCACAAAGTATAGAAAGAGACGCCGGTAACTTAAGAACGGCGTCTATGTAGTTTGGTAGTTGGCTGACTCTTTTTGGGTGCGTGCTGGCACTGAACTTTTAGATTTTTATGAACACACAAAGAACCACTTTTTGCCAATTTATGGGCAGATAACTGTTGAAAATTAATTTCAAATGTAATCACGAAGTTATGATCAAATGGTTCCCCTCATGGGCCACCAAAAATGTTGTGACAAATGCTAAATTGTCAATGCTGAGCGTCTACCGCTCTGGGGACTTTCATTTGACAAGAGAAAAAATAGGTACAACCGAAGTAACTTCAAGATTAATTTTATTTTAACAAATTTCACTAGATATCAAAACAACTAATTTAATTACGAAGGTTAAGTTATATCCAAATTTTAGGGTTCTTCAAGGTATAAAAATCAAAGACACAGGCCGACCAGCACCGAACACCGCTTGCCAAAGAGTGGTTTGTCGGATTTTGGCATTCGTCTTTTGTGCTGCTGGGACGTCTCGAGAGCGTAGAAAACTGCATTAAGCACACTCTTTGTCTCCTACGAAATACTCTTAATAGATGCTCGAACACTAGGTCATGTTTAATTTCTGCAACATCTAGGGCGGGGAATTTAAGAGTAAACCAGAAGTCTAGGGCAAAGAAAACAGCACTTTCATCTACATTTTCAGAGGAAGAGGGTAATGCAGAATCTTAAAACACTCTTCGACTAGAGTGCGGAAAAGCAAGAAGACCGAGAAATAACGGCGCTTCGCTGTGCAACCCTCGTACCAAAACATCTATGTTCAGGCCTCTCCCGCTCTCCCTCTCCCTGGGCTTCTCCCCACAATGCACTCTTCCTCTCGCGGAGCTTTGAGCGTGTCGCGCTCGGCCGTCCAGGCTCTCCACTCCCCGAGCGCAAGAAGTCTCCGCTGCGCCTCCAAGCGCTTAGCTTAGATAAGCTTAAATTAGTACCAAAGAAGTCAATCGTGTGAATAAACGCCCGGCCGGTCCGCGCCATTACCGAAGTCCAAAGTCTTTTCTTTTCCGCGATCGCCGAGTGTTTTTTTCTCACCCCCACAGCTTACCACCGCCAGCCGTCGCTGCCCACCAGGAGTTTTCTGCCTTCAGTCGGACGCCCCACCATTTCAATCTATATTACCAAAGCTACGGGTGTCGTTAAGATCGACTTCACAATCGACATGACATCCCCAAAAATTACTTTGCGACACACAACGGTGTTTTAGTCAAACAAATATAAAACAACTAAAAATGCATTTTTTTTTCTGTAAAAAGTTACAAATTCAACCAAAGAGCTTCGTAGAACTTGATCCAAAATAAATTCGTGAAACCAAGTAGCCCTTAAGAATGTATTCAGACCCGATTATTTTCAACGGTAAGTTTTATATTGAATATTTAATTTCCTGATTATTTTAACAATTAATTTTCACAACTTAGGTTTAATACATTTAACTTCAAAATACATAAGATCTGGAAAATTAGTTAATTTTCTATCCCATCGTTCTTGCCTTATCGTCTCTTATCGTAATTCTGAGGAGTTATTGCCTAAATCACAATCGTCGACAAATTCAACGTGCGTGAATGGAAAGTGTCCGTTTCTTCCATTTAATTCACCCTCCCACTGTCCATTAATATTTGTTTTTGTGACTTTAATAATATCACCAACTTCTAATTTTAACGCAGTCTTATCGTAGGCGTTTGGAACCCTTGACTGTTTTACTCGGGCATATGCAGGTAGTTTGCGCTATAAAAAAAAGTGTTAAATTTGTTTAACTATTTTTTTTGCACTTACATTTAAATCTGTCCTTTTCAGAGTGCTTCCGATGAAATTGCTAGATCCTGCCAGAGAATCTGATGAATTTAAGCGCTCAATATCTAATCCGTATTTGTAAAATGCAACTTCATTCATACAGTCATCGTGCTAAAAACAAATTTAAGAAACGATAAATATTAAAACATTCTCGTCGACTGGCACTTTTTAACAACATAAGTTGTGTTATTTCCTAAAAGCGAGTTAGCATTAAAAAAAAAATAGAAAGTTAGATCAGTAAGGATTTTTAGGATTGTGTTCGTAAAAAATTTGCAATGCAGTGAAAGTATACCTCAGACCAAATAATGTACAGTCGAATCCCGATAATTCGTACCCCGTTAAATCGAAAATCGCGATAATTCGTAAAAAATTCTGTTCCCTTGAAAAAAATCCCTTAAAAAAATCTCGATAAATCGAATTCCCGTCGAATTCGTAAAAAAAAGTGATCCCCTTGCCATTTCGAATTATCGGGACCCTACTGTATATGTATTTTGAATCAGCATCACGATCTAAATCGAACTAGAACTAGGGCCGAATCGAGCGACTATGTATATCAAAAAGCTCGCATAGGAGAGATCGAAAAAAAAATAGAAAACATTGAAAAATCAATATAGAATTAATGGAAACGAAATGATTACGTCGTTGTTTTTTGTATTGTAACACGACCATGATCTATGAATACCAAGTTTTTAAATGGGGGTAAGGTTTTAAAATTTTTTTTTCATTTTTTTTCCAAAATCGAGAACATTGTGTAAAAATTTTGAGTCAATAAGAGTCAAACTAACGAAGTTACAGCGTTTAAAACGACCGAATTTCGAAGTATTTTGACCTATAAAAATACTTTAAATCGATTTTCCTGACAACGTTATTTTGAAAGTCGATGAACATGAGAACTCAAAATCTACTAAACCGATCCTTTTCAAATTTTTAACACAAATTCTCCACACAAATACGCAGGTAATCAGGAAAATGTTGTTTTAATTTTTAATTTTTTTCTATTTTTAAAAAATAATTTAACAGCTATTTTTTCAGCTAAAATCGCACTTTTCACCTTCAAGTGCTCCCAAAAATAGAAAAAAATAAATTTAAAAAAAAAACACCGGTTGCACTCCGGGAGTGCCGGCAGAAGTGAAAACTTCAATATTAACGTTGTGTACTATCATTTATGAGAGAGGTAGAATACAATGTTTATTTATTGCGCTATCGTACACAAATATGGCAATTTATATGTTGAACCATAGGGGGAAAAAACCCGAGCGATTTTGCAGCCGACGAGACCATGGTACAATTATACAAGGTAGTCCCGTCGGCTGCAAAATCGTTCGGGTTCTTTCCCCCTATGGTTTAGTGCATGATACAATTATACAAGGTAGTCCACTCGGCTTGCCGAAGTCGTTCGGGTTTGGTCCCTTATTTTCCTTGTGCGTGCCTGCTTGTATGTAGCCGTTTCACTCACACTTACTTGTCAAAGCTAAAAATAGGGGACTACCTTGTATAATTGTATCATGGTTCAGTGCGCTCGGGATTTCGAAGAGAGAGGTCGTACGCGGACGATTTTTTCTCAAAACGTTAACCCTTGTGTGCTTGTGAAAAATACTTGTTGCAATTATTGCAGCAAGCACCTACAAGGCGTAACATGTAATATTGCAGAAAAATATTTTGAAATGTGAACAATATGGGAGCGAGTCCTGAAGGGCAAGCTTTGTGTAAAAACCGAAAATTTCGGAAAAATTAATACTCATGGTCATATAACAGTCCTTTTTAAACCACGTGCACAGCACGGTTGATAATTCAGAGCAAGAATATATTTTCTTTTTAGGGTCGAAAGGGAATAGTTTTTAACAAACACTCTTTTACTCTGCAAGTTACGGGTATAAATAATTTTAGTATTGTGAAAATAGGGTTTTCGATTTAAGGCATGAATATCTTAAAAAAATATAAATCTTCAGAAAATGATTACTTGAATGTAGAAAGATTTTTCTACACACCGAAAGCACATAAGGGACAGGTATTTGTCCAATTTTTCCAGATGAGTTACGTGCAGTCCACCATTGGTCCTCGTCTTTTCTAACTATAGTCAAAACTTCACCTTTATGAAATGGTAAGTCATCTTGATCCTTTATAAAAAAATATACACATTATTTTACAGAAGTATAATTTGTGATAAATACTTACGCTGCCAACAAAGTCGAATTTTCCTATTACTTTTTCAACTCTTTTAGATGCAGGCCTTCTCAGAGGCGTTGTATCCAAGTAATGAAGCGTGTAAAAGGTCAATAGTTTTGGAAGATTATCAAAGGCTTGATCCCCAATGCGGTAAACGATGTGATCCTGTTGTTGAACTTTGTTAATGATGTAGTTGCTAACTTTCGTATCTTCTCTGAAAAAAAACAAAAGCAAAATATATATGTAATATTTACTTTACTTTACTATGCCAGCGATCAAGGAATTCATTTTACTTCGACTTTTATCTTAGCTATTTCTGATTAACAATTTTTATTGTGTAGCATTTTTTCTAGTCAACATGTAAAATATATCAGAACTTCTATATTAATTTGTTTAACTTTATTAACTTTATTTGTAATTATCTGTAATTTTTTAGGGGAAAATCCCTGCTTCCATACGTCTCCCGTAAGCTAGCAGGAAGAGAAATAAAATTATTAATTAATTACACTGCTCTGCAAATTTCATCTTTTGCGATGCGAATAAGATGCGATATAGTGTGAAAAGTTATACAGGGGCAGTGTTTATACTACTACATATAAACACGCCCCCTGCCCTAACGGTGCATGCGAACATTTGATTTTGGTCTCGTCTGAAAGATCACAAATCAAGCTTCAATTTCCAATTACTTTCCAATTACTCAATTTCGTAGCGCAGAATTTTGGGGTATAACAAACGGGAAAAACCTTTCGGAAACACTATATCGCATCACCCATTCAGAGCAGTGTTATTAATATTAATTGATACAGTTATATCGCTCCATTCCCGGGGCTAAGGGCATCATGGCAGTGGATACGCAATTTGACGAAAAGTCAATCCAATCCATGGTCTTACTAAAAAAATAAAAAATGCCTGATATCGGTGTTCAAGGTTAAAATACATTTTTTATGCTCAGCGCTTTAGGAGTTTGACGGCATTATCGGGCTCGACACACTTAAACAATAACGGATCAGAAAAAATGCAGTTAACCAAGTTTGAAAACGTAAATTGGGTACTACAAAAACTTTTTGAAGCAGGCAAGTGAGTATCCCAGGAAAAATCAAAGTTCTTTAAAAAGAGCGTTAAATGTTTGGGATGTTTGGTGTTTGGGTGTCACAAAGAGGGCTGCGAATATCACCTGGAAAAATTAGGGCCATTAATAAAAAGGAATTTGTTTCAGAAAGTTGAAGTTTAAAACACCTGCAGTCAAATCAAAAATCTATAAGTAAATCTTAACGATTTTTTCCATTTTTGATACGATACCCAAAGGGTCAGCAATAACGCGCACTTCCTGTTATTAAATAAACTGTAGTTAAACTTACCTGAGCTTTTTTTTTCTAAAAAGGTAAATATTTTAACAGAAACGGTACATAAGCTTCACTCCAACCTAAATTTAACCCTGATTTTACCAAATCAATCAATTTTTTATTTCGAGTAAGTCGAAATAAAAATGTTTGTATCCAGTACACAAAAGTATGCTGGCAAGTGCAAATGCAATCGGAATGATAAGTTACCTTACACAAAGTACATAATCTCCTGCTATAGAGTTACTGTCGCGGACTAAAAATACCCCTCTTTCGCGTTCATTCATTAAAACTTCGGTAGCATCTTGTCGAGACATGGAACCAAAATACCAGCTATAAAAACACAAATTAATATTCAGTACACATTAATAATCAAAACACAGGAATTGCATATACAATTTTACCTGTTCCTATCCGACACATCAAATGTATCCATTTCCGTTTTATATATGGGTCTGGCTTAATACAAATAACGTCAAAAACATAAACAATGCAGTTATCAACGCTGATTTTATTTCAATATTTGACAATTGTCTTCCAAAGGGTCATATTCGGATTCTTTTCTTTAAAAACATGACAATAATATTTTCAACTTGCCAAATGTTTGGATTTAATATGTATCTACTGTGTGAAAGCGTTATGGTAACAAAATCTACCATTTAGTTTTCACATATGCTTTTAAAAAGCGTCAAGATAACGACGTGGAGTTAGCCACGATTGGAGAACGGTGAAATTAGGAGCACGAACAAATTTTAATTTTTTGTTTAATCGCTTTACAATTAGTTAACTGTAGTTAAAAAAAAAGGATTATAAAAATAAACTACCCACAAATCTATTTAATTTTTTTGAATATAATACTTTATTTAATAAAGTTGTGCTTTAGGGTCTTTTCCTAAAAATGGGCTCGGAATTTTTTTTAGAGCTTCCTTGGAACCTAAACATTATTAAACAAGTGTCGGAAAGCGTTATTTCTAATCATTAATTTGTGAAATTAGGAATTAAGACCCCACCGAGACCAAACGTTTTTATAACATTGCCATGTTTGTCGACGAAGAGTGCTGCAAATGCGTAAAAAAGAAAAAAACAAAAGAAATTAAAAAATTTGACCATGTCAGGATGAGAAATGCCTCTGAGTGATTTTATGGTACTGAGTGAAGATCAAGAACAGCTACTACCAGATGCTTTTTTCCTATTTTTTTTGGAATTAAATAATTATACTTAGGTTCCAAGGAGCTCTTAAAAAAATTTTTTTTGAAAAAGCCCAACAAATTCATATTTTTTCGGAGGTACAGAAGAAGTAGTGAGCAAGCCTCGACCGGAAATACGTAATAACAAAAATGTTTATGAGCGATTTCTTGGCTTTACATTTTTCGATTTTTTCTAATTGGCTGGAAAGATGGAAAAAAAAACTGTACGACCTATCGAAATGTGCCAAAAGTTATGAATAAACCTTAATTTAAACAATATAAAGTAAAATTTTAAACAAGAAATTTTTTTTAAGTTGCGAAAAGTTATTGAATTTTTCACTTTTCTTTGAATCTTTTAGATTCAACTAGAAGGGAATTTAATCCTGAAAGTTAAATTTTACCAATCCCCATAAGGCTACAACTACTGGTATAGTACCATTCCCACAGGCTAATTTATAATTATTATTATTTTTCTCTCACGCGCACAACGCGCGGTTGGCAGTCGGTTTTTTATAAAAACTAAACTAGGTGGCAACCCCACCACTCTGGCTAATCACCAGCTCGATCAAAAACACCAAAAATTTACCGAATTCAACACAAGCGACCACGAGCTGATCATTGGGGAGCTTTCAAATATGCTGGACCAAAAAAAACACAGCAAGGTCAGACATGGAAACTGACTTGTAACACACTAAGGAAGCAGAAGACATCATTGACACACAGCAACAAACAAGAACCAACTGGAACTGGACTCCATCAACAAATGGAACTCAATGAAATTACTAGCTGGCCGAGACTATAAGATATGCTTCCCACTAGTGACGCAAATGGGAACCGGAGAATATTACCCGCCCCACCCTCAATGTGAGAAATCGGAAACGCAATAAAGAAGTTAAAGAACAAGAAAGACTGATGGTATACCAGTAGAAATCAAGTTGAGACTCAACTGATGCCAGGAAAGATGACCTTAGCGGTTGAGTGATACAAACACTTCCAAGAGGTTCGTAAACGTGTTGGACGCTCCGGCGTCCATCGACGTCAACAGATGACTATCCTTTGAAGGAATTAGTGCTGAAAAATCGTCGGTTAACTGTAAAAGGTCTCTTACAGTGATACTGATATCATCAAAATATCCAAAGGTTTCTGCATCACGAAAATGTACCATCTCAAACTGCATACAAGAATTCGACGCATATTGTTCTGCACGTATTCTGCTGATTTGGCTCCGTGTGATTTCTGGCTATTCCTTGGGAACTCTGGTTTTGGAACACAAAAAACACTCCGGGGAACGCGTTTCGAGTCGGTTGAGATAAAAGCTAAGTCGGAGAAGATCACATTCCTTTTTGCGCACAGTATGTAACATATGTAACAATACTATAAAGTTTAATAAAAATAAAAAGCATGTATTTAACCGGTTTTTTTTTAAGTGTAAAATGTTACAACACAGTAAACAAAAATTGAATAATTAATTGTAAATATTGGCTATGCGTTATTATACAAAAAAGGAAGCTGTAATCTTATATAGCCTGACAGTTGCACCTAAAATCTCTTTTGATTAAAAATATTAAATTAAAAATAATTACTATTGTGCGTATCCAGTAAACATTTTTGTTGGTGAAATATAAGCTTTGAAAAGAATTCTTCGAACACTTGGAATGGTATAAGACTATATACTAGTATATACTATATACTGGTATATACTAGATCGGTAAAAGGGTGCTTCCCTAACGACGCCTTTTATCGAAATATAGTACTATAGACTATAGTTAGCAAATGTTTTTAACAAAGTTTGTTATAACTGTATCGGTTTAAAGAAAAAGCTGGGACCCCTTTTTGTTTTATAATGAATATGTCTTGTAAAAAATTAGGACCGGAATTGTTCTTTTTGTTTTTCATCTGCATCCATTTTTCTAAACTGCCAGTTACCGAGGCCATCGAATTCCAAAATATGTGTGTGATATTTCCTGAAAAAAAAACACAATTTTTGTTTAAGCTAATTATGATAATTAATAAAATCTTACCACAGCGTAGGCCTGTGTGTTATTGTCAGCAGCGTGATTCCCATTTCTTTCGCGACTTCATAAATCGAGCTCTCAACATCTATCGAGACGGCGCTAGTGCATTCATCAAGAAGGGCATATCGTGGCCTTAAAATGTATATGGTATAGTTTATATATTTGGATTAAATTATTATACAAAAATTAAGGAATTGAATTTCAAATACAGTTTGTTGATTAAAAATGTTTCTTCTAACTGCAAGGGCATATAAGCGATAATGACAATTACAAATATGAATTACACTTGTTGGCAAAATAATTTTGACGAGAATAAAACTGTTCACTTCAGCCTTTTAATTGTTTTGGTTAATTTTAACTTTCTATGTACAACTGATACAGACTTAAGAATAAAGGAAGCTAGCCTCGACGAACCGAAGACTATATACCAGCAGTGCTCAACGCCTATACACTGAGTGCACTTTGGTTTTTGTAGATGCTCTGTGCTTATGGGTAGTGCGCGCATAAGCACCGTGCATATGGGCTTCGATTTGCATGCGAAACAAAAACAATTTTGCTTGTTTCGCTGAACGCAATGTATTTTGTTTTTGTTTTTTTCTCGAGCACATGTACTGAAACTTATTTTTCTGTCTGCGTTACACTTATATTTGTGAAAGCGCTTTTTCAATCTTAAAATTAATAAAAAATAATTATAGAAATCCACTAAATAATAATAATCTGGAAGCTCAATTGAAATTATCAACCAGTAAAATTAATATAAATATTGAATCTTTTTTAAACCAAATGTAGAAAAAAAAAAAATAAATAAATATTTAAAACTTTTTTTTTCTCTCAGTGCACAGCTGCGCCCCAACACAAACGCGCCGCTACATATGTACACGTTTTCTTGTGGGTGTGTTAGTAAGAATTAGTTAGAATTTGAGCACCCCTGCTGTATACCATTGTGTCATTACAAATGTCGAGCAAAATGCATTAAGGTTAATCATCAAATTTAGGACCATTTTTCTATTAATTCTCTATATTTTCACAGATTTTTCTTATGACAGCTATGTATCAAAATAGTCGTAAGATTTTCATGCAATTAAATTATAATAATTAATACTATACTGGTCTGAGGCTTTTTTTTCCCTGCGTTGAAAGCTTCTGACTAAAATTATAATACCCTCTGCAAGGGTTAACAAATGCGTCCCGCAAATTAAAAGAACAGAACACGTTATGATGGTAACTAAAAAGACTCTTCTAAATTGTTCGCGCCAGAGCGGCGCTTTCCAGTCCCTTTTGAACCGCCCCTGGAGTCTTAACAGTCGTGAGAGCAGTTCTTCCAGATCGCTCTCTGGCACTGTTAAGGGTCTCCAATCCGCTCTCCAAGCGGCCCTTAAAGTTTCCACCCCGTAGCTTAAGTTCAGTTCTAATTTCCAAGTGTAACCGCGCAGTGAAATAAAAAGTGAAGTTTTATAACATTATGCCAACTAATGTATGTGTAGTATATAGCAATAAATGTAATTGATTTGTTCATACTTATGGTAAAACAAGCGAGCTATCGCCATACGTTGCTTTTCCCCACCAGATAGTATATCTTTCCAATCGCGAATAACATCAAAACTGTCTCTGAAAGTAGAAATAAAAAAATAGGAATATGTATTACTTTAAAAGTTTGTATAAAAATATTGAGTACCTTTGTGCAATGTGTCCAAGGCTGACCAGTTTCAAAATATTTCTCAGTTCGTTCTCGGTTATTTTCTTGCGGTTCATATCATCCCGCGTATCGGGGTATATTATCTGGTCGCATAGGCTGCCGATTGACATGTATGGTCTCTGTGGAATGTAGAACATGCATGGGACATCATTTACAGGCCGTGGAATTTGCAACTCTCCAGCATATATGGGCCAAAGTCCACTTAAGATCCTGAACAAACTGGACTTTCCACAGCCATTCGGACCAGTTATTAACAGATGCACGCCCGGTTCGATGCATAAAGTAAGTTTTGGTACAACTATATCACAGTTGGGTGTCACTACTGGCACGGCACGTAGGTTTATGGACATATTTTCGGGATCATCCGAATAAATTATCCGGCCTTTGGCTATTGGCTTTCCATTGCAGAACTCAATAATGCCATTTGACTGACCATTATCCACCACACTCGTCTTGCAATAGACACCCTGAGCAGTTTCTTCAAACACATCCATCATGCCAGCCACGCGATAAGTATAGCCGGCAAGCGAGACGATTTCCTTATAAGAAGACATCAGCCGTTCAATCGCATCTGCTGCAGAAATAAGTAAATTTCTGGCTGTAGTTAAATATTGGGTGCGTTCGCTGACGTTTGACTCTGAAGTGGCCGTGTTACGAACTTTTCCAGATTCAACGTCACTTCCCGTCAAAATTGGAAGGGATACCATAATCATTCCAGTGCCAGACCAAACGTATTTCATAAAGAATTGTTCGAGCATTATAAACCACAGTTTTTGGTTAAATATAGTAGTCATCTGGTTGACAAGACGATTGTATGCCTGCCTCAGCTGTTGCATTTCCACCTAATAATAATAAACAATAAGCATTCTCTTAAATTCTGTAAAGCAATTTTATAAAATAAGTTTTTATAATAAATTAATCATTAAAAGTTAAAAAAAATAATTATGATTTTTTTTTTAACCTGAAATAAAATTATTAAATAAATTTATAGCAAGCGTAAACAGATCTGGTATCCAAATGAGCAAACAAAAAGACTGTGCCTTCAAAACTGTAGGCTCCACTTAAACTTGCGGTTTGTGGTCCTAAAAGTGGGCGTGGCACTTTCATGAAGACTTCTTTCGCTGCGAATTTACCACTTAACTCAGTAAAGATAATAGCAACAATTGCGTCTTTGGATCGATTGTTTGTTTTCCTAATTGTAAATCTAAATCAAGACGAAGTTTATAAACCTTTGCAGTTACAACTTAAGCCTATACGTTTTATTCTTTTTTCGAGTTTTCCATTATTTTTTTTTTTTTTTTTTAACGCAGAAATATAAAAAAGCAGTGCGCTATTTCATAACTTATTTTACACTAAACTATAATAATAAATTACCTCAATATTGTACTAAACATTAAAAAGTTGAGAAAATCTTCTATCTTACCTTATGGCCTCCGTAAAAAGCAATTTCCTCAGCATTTGTTATTATGCGGGAGTGAATATGTCTCAGGTAACCATATCTGTTCGCCTCTTCTGATACCAACTGTCCAAACTTCGGCGACACAATTCGCAATATATGAGCTGTTAGGGCAATAACACCGACTGACAAAGCAGGTCCTGCATATTGGAATAAAAGTCAGATCTCAATTGCATATACATTTAAGCATTACTTAACCCGTTATAATGTTGGCTTTCATTTTTCTCGACGATCTCATTAATGCTAAGCCAATTAGCATTAGATCAAAGCATGGTTTAGTCAGACTACTATACAAATGAGCTACAGAGCTGGCAAATACAGAGATATCCTCGGTGAGTCTATAAAGAAATATTTGTGTGAAATAACTTCCATTTTTGAATACTTGTGGTATCGTAAAACTTACCGATGATCTGCATTTTCAATACGACCGTCCAGATTCGACACTCTATAGTAGTTTTGATTCTTAAAGTAAAGCCGGTATGAATGGCGTACCAGACGTGTTCTAAAAAAATATTGAAGTGATTTTACAAGGATGCTTTTCGATGTTAATCTTGTTTTTTACTTACCGGAAAGCAAGAGCCAGTTTACTTTCAAGGAATCGTATCATCGAGTTAACAAATGTAGCGGGGATGGCGATTCCAAACCATTTGAGCAACACCAGACCAAACTGTTTTATATCCTTCCGTACTATAAATTTAACAAGGGCCCCTTCCAGTGCCGCCACGTAAATACTTAGAAATGTGCGCGAAATTAGGCAAAACGTGTGTGTACGCTCAGTAATCCAGTTTCGTAGCACAACGTTTGTGGGATCATTATTTTTGCGAGCATCTTAAGCTGTTTTAAAAACTCCTTGTTCAATCCAGGCTCAATAAAATGAATTTTATTCTTCTTTTTGAGTTGCTGAGCAACCAACAACTTTTCGGCCTCTGCAAGCTTGGAATCCTCCTCTGAATTTTCCTCTTCCGTTGGCGTAAGCGATCCATCATCAGCAGTGAATTTTGTATTTTTAGTTTTATTGTCTGTATGGGCGTTTTTAACGTAAGGAATAGTAACTTTAATGGTCAGCGCTACTATTGCACTAGTCACAAGAGCATAGCTAAAGGCATGCTTCGTCAGCCCGTTGTGTTCACATGTTTCTGCAACCCGGTCGAGGTATTTGGATAGAATACTCATTGTACCCTGTAAACCTGATGTCTGGCTTCGGTCGATGGTTTAAAAAATCAGAGGAAAAGAAGCCTGCAATTTAGAATTTAACTATTATGAATATTTTATATTGCAGGTCACACTATTTTAAATGTTACTGAGTAAGTTATATAAAATAAGGGTAATTGTTTACAACTGTGGTAAAAAATGCTCAAGGATGTGATTCTGGAGGACTGGAAGAAAATTACTGCAGATGAGAGAAAAAACTGGTGGATTCCATGCCGAGAGAAAAGGATACCCTACCAGCTACTAAAAATAATATTATTTATGTTTAAAATAGGTGTACGCAGACTTTTGCGGGTACATTTTTTGGAAGAGTTAAGTTAAAAATTAAAAATAAAATATAAGACTCTGTTGAATAATTAAAAAAAAATACGTCAAGGAAGACAAAAAATTATAATTATGTTTAAAAAAAGAATGGGCTTAATATATGCATAAATTTCCGAACAGCTAGGGTTTAGAGTTAGATTTTGAAATTTTTTTGCGGTGTACGCAGAGATATGCGGGCGAGTGTACTTTACTTATATAATATAATATAATAATATAAAAATTATAATATCCTTTGCATGGGAATACTTATAACGCCATTGTTTTATATTAAAGAGGAATAACTTTGATAATAAAAAGCCTTAAAAATCTGACTTATTTACTATAAAAAAATGGTTGGAACAAAATCGTTGTTTTCATCATGATTATTTGGATATGGAGTTTTCCCTTGAATTTCGAATCAAATTTGAATTAAAACTAAACTAAACAAAAACTAGAAACAAAACTAATAACTTTTAAAACGCTGCTTATATTGACCTAAAATTTTAATGAAATTTAATTGTTCAAATGGCCATGAAAAGTTAAAAAACTTAAAAAAAATTTAATAGAACGACGGGGGAAAAACTAATTTAAATTTATTTATTACAAAGTTTTTTTAAATCACTTTTGGCTGAGTTTTAGTAAAAAGTATTAGTGTTTTTCAAGACGTTGCTAAATGTATCTTAAAGTCTTGGTATGCATACCTTTTATTTAAGTACGATTATTATTATTATGCCCTTTTGTATTTGAGTGCAATAAGCCAGAAAGTAAAATCAAGAAATTATACGAAATTACAATTTCTTGGTCGACTTTGCACTTTGGGAATTGATAAATTAGCAAGGTGCAATTCTTGAAAATTGATAAGCTGACACAAAATCGAAGTCCGCGTTCACCGCGCTGTGTAGCTAAACTGACTTTTCAAATTCTTTTTATCAATGGAAATACGATTGATTTGGTAGGTGGCCAAAATTGATGATAAGAACTGCTCCTCCGGATATACAAAAATAGTATTTTTAACTTACAAAATAATCAAAACGATGTCTTTGTAAATATTTCAAAAGTTCGTTTCCAATATAATAAATTTATATAATACTTAAAACTGTACACATAAAAACTTTTCTATTTATTTTATATGTTATATTATATAATTTTATTTTGGTTAATGGTTTTTATCGTAGTTTTCACACTTTAAAACATTGCCTAAATTTTTTCGATGAATAAATTTGAAAATTACACAGATCAAAGATCTACATACCTACATATGTCTTTAACCTTTCCATAATAAATAACGAACAAAAATTAACTATTATAAATCTCGGTCAGTTATATCAAAAAGAAGGCATAGGAACGTTTGAAGAAATATCCATCGTTGTTATTTTAATAAAGGGTATGTATAGCTTCGGCAAACAAAAGCAAGCTTCCCTTTTTGGTAAACACGACAAGGCCAGCTATTAGGTAACAGCTAAGGAAAAACTCAGATAATAGTAATGATAATCTACAAATGGCTTTAACGGATTAGATTACCAATACAGTCGAATCCCGATAATTCGTACCCCGCTAAATCGAAAATCGCGATAATTCGTAAAAAATTCTGTTCCCTTGAAAAAAATCTCGATAAATCGAATTCCCGTCTAATTCGTAAAAAAAGTGATCCCCTTGCCATTTCGAATTATCGGGACTCGACTGTAAATCGTAATACGATGCGAAATTTCTTGTAGTTAAAGCACCGTTAGATTTTGCAGACAGCTATGCCGCCTTTTTTTCGCTATGCATTATGAATTTTGTGTTCGCTCGCTGTTATAATTTTATGTTATTGTTTAATTTTTCTTTAATATAAAAAACGTACAAGTGAATGTACATACTTATAATGTTTGTTTAATTTTAGTAAAGTTAAATACATATGTAAACATGATGTGAAATGTAAAAACCCCGTTTATTCGACTTTTTCATTTTTGAGCCCCGTTAAATCGAATTCCCGTCTAATTCGTAAAAAAAATTGATCCCCTTGGCATTTCGAATTATCGGGACTTGACTGTATACTCATTCATACATGTACCTAACACACTGTACCTACAGAAAAAAATTGTACCGAATGAAATAAAGCATTAAGTGTAATATATAATATATAATATATAATATATAATATATAATATATAATATATAATATATAATATATAATATATAATATATAATATATAATATATAATATATAATATATAATATATAATATATAATATATAATATATAATATATAATATATAATATATAATATATAATATATAATATATAATATATAATATATAATATATAATATATATAATAATATAAGTAATTAGAACGTTTCTACGCAGTTTTAAAATCTCTGTGCAAATTAAAAAAAACCACTCATAAAAAGATTTACTTCTTTTGAAATTATTTCAAAACAAACAAATTAAATGGGTTCTGAAATGGGTTCTGAAAATGAACGCAATTTAAAAATGTACTTTTCTTTGAAATCCTAAGGTAGTTATAAAGCATTTGAATAACATAGTTATTATTTTTTGTCCAAGGCTATATTTTACATAACACATTTTTAAATATACATATACGAATTTATTTTTTTAAAAATCTGATATAGCTGACATAGGAGGTCTCGCAAAAACTACAGCAATTTCGGTTTTTGTTTACCTTCATTATTTAATACAATTGAAATCCAAATTGAAGTCCTTAACTATGACTGTTTTCAAGGGATCAAAAGTCCTTGTGGGTTATGTTCAATTGTATCTTCTATTTGTAAATAAACAGTTTTGGAAGCGAAGCGTTCGGCTCCCGGATTCTCCTAAAATGGCAATACAAAAATATGTATATATAAATGAATTTACCAGACTTAAGCAAAATTACCTTTGAATGTGAAAACCAACCGATTTACTGCAGAAATTTGTAAAATAATAATAAATAATAATATAAAAAGAAAGGAAACTATATACCCTTGCAGTCATCAAATATTTCGAACAAAATGCCTAAAGGCTAAACACATTAAAGCCATCACGATTTTTCAATTAATTTTCCATATTTCCATATCTATGACAGCTATATGATATAGTAGTCTGATTTTTATGAAACTTTTTTCTCGATTCAAGGGTATTTAAAAAACTTGATGTTTAAAAAATCATACTCGTGGAATTAAAAAAAGTACGTTAACATTTTTTTTTTTATTATTTATATACAGTCGACTCTCGTTAATTCAAACCTGCGATAATTCGAACCTCTCTATAAATCAAAGTTATCACGAGGTCCCTACGAAATCTCTTTATATTTCGAACTAAATCAATACATTTTCATACACTTGGTAATTCGAACGAAAAAATCATTGATATTTAACAAAACCACGCGTTAATTCGAACTCATCAGCGTCTAACACTCGACAATTCAAAGTTGCAGAGAAAAAATTTTGCGACAAGTTCAAACTTGCCTTTGTTTTTGTTTTGATTATGTAGTTTTTGACGCACACACTTCTTACGAATTGGTTTGTGTAGTTATTCAGTTACTGTTACTCTTTCGTTGGTATGCATATTAAAAGTTAATGTTAGCTATGAGCCCTAGAAAATATAAAGAACCTTTGGCAGAGGTGTCAGCAGGGCCGTAGCTAGAGCCTCGGGGGCCCTGGGGCAACAAGTAAATTTGGGGCCCCCTATACGGGAGTCTTTTGTCAAATTTTATTCATAAGAAAGATCGATTTCAGCCAAGCGATCGACGAATTTGCGGCTTGCAAAGCGAGAAAGCGGCGTTTTTAATGGTATTTACCAAATGAGATACTGAGATATGTATGTTGAAATAAAGCGAAAACATGTAGTTTTGTACATTATCTAATAAAACTGTAAAAAATTTAGAATTTTTTTATTTTGTTAGATTATTGTGATCCATTTAAAGCCCATTCAGAAAGTCCGAAAGGCATGGTAAGGCTTTTTCAGAACTAAAAAAGGAAGCCCCGGCGGGGCCCCTTCCCTTCGGGGGCCCTGGGGCACCGCCCCACCTGCCCCATGCTAGCTACGGCCCTGGGTGTCAGTTAAGGAAGCAAGATCCTCATTTGATACCTTACAAAGCTTATGTCTACAAAACGAAAGTGATGAAAAGGTATTTCAGGCACTTTTTCTCTTAAAAAAGTTATTGAGCAGTGTGAGCAGCAGAATTGTGCTTTAAAGCAAGCCAGTATAACAAAGTTCTTTCGAAAATTTCGAAATTTCGAACCATTCGATATTTCAAACACTCGATAATTCGAAATATTTCAAGAGTCCCTCGAGTTTCGAATTAACGAGAGTCGACTGTATGTACATATTTATTTTTTGGTCTTTCCTATGACAGCTATATGATAGAGTTATCCGTCTCTCCGTTTCTCTTTAAACTAGTCTCTCAGTCTTAAAGCTATCTTGCTGAAACTTTACCAAAGTTGTGTAGTTAGTCCACGCAGTATAAAATTCGGAACGAGCCGACTATATCGGATAGCTCCCAAACGAGAAAATGAAATAAAAAATTCTCACGCCGTTGATTTTGATGAGATTGACTTGATTTCTTCCAGATGGCGTTTTCTGAGAAAATTAAAGATTTTTTCCGTTAATTTTAGTTAATTTTATATAGATTTTTCGATCTTTCCTATGGTAGCTATATGATATAGTTGTGCGATTTTTATGAAATTTTTTTTTCTATTCAAGGGAATTTAAGAACTCGATGATCTAAAAATCAGTTCTGCTTAGACCCTTATTTTAGTTTTTTACATGAAGCTTATATTTACATTTGTTTAAATCTGTTCCTGTTAACTTGTTGCTTGCAAATACCATATTAATCGATACTGTGTTCTAGTCGAAGAAGGTGTGACGTCCCCAAATATTTTTTCACTACCAATAGATATCATTAAACATATTGTTGAGTTGTAATTGAACCAGTCACAGGCGGTTCTACATATATTTTCTTGATCAACATCATAAGTTTAAGCGGCCCGATTTAGACGACTATATCATAAAGATCCCATCGAAAATATGGGAAAAATAGTTTTCAAAAATTATTTCTTTTGTTTTTCTACAAACACTGTTTGTATACTCTTATATATACAAAACAAAGTCGTGTTATAAATAATGCTGTACCGATCTGGTTGAAAATTGGTGGGGAGGTAGCTTAGAGCCGGGTGAGGGGTATGTTTAACCCCTTCGACATCGTAATGGATTTTCAGGAGAAATGTGAGCAGGAGCGGACGCAGAAAAATATTTGTGGGAGAGGGGCTCCGATCGAAAAATTTTGTAGTTTGGGTGGGGTCCGTGAGCTGTAAGGGATTTTGAAAAAGTCTGAGATTTTAAGGAGGTTCGAACCCCCCGGACCTCAAATAAAAAATTGAATATCGGATGTCAATGAAACTATGTTAATTATTAAAGCAAGAAATATTTTTGGAAAATCGACATTTGACTTAAAAATAAAATTCTATCTAAAATGAAGTTCAAATTTTAATTCAAAACTATGAAATCGTTGCTTTTTGTCACACAAACATCGTTTCTGGAATCTAGAGTTGCCTCCTCTCTGCTGCATTTCAGGTTAAAGAAATTTCAAAAAATATGTCAGCTATTTAATTGGAAATTAAACATTAGTTTAAAAACACCATCTGAAAGAAATGAAGTCGATATGAACAATAACAACGGAGTGATATGGGAGCAATTCGACAGGGTCCGCAAAAAATCGCCTTCCGACCATATCTTGGCTGAGAGTATTTTTTGGGCCACACAACCGATCACGCCCGACCCGTGCCAGTGCTGTCATAGCGGCTGTACGGGATAGTGTTGTGAAGGACCCGAACAAAATACAGATATCCCAATGATTGTTGCCCGAAGACAAGACGCGGCGGTTGGTCTTCGCCTAAAAAGTAGCCGAGATTCTTGAAACGGAGCCGAATTTTTGGCAATCCATTTTGATGACCGAACCGCATTTCTTTCTGTCTGGTGGCGTCAATAAAAAGAACTGCCGGTGTTTCAGCCAAAACGGGTAATTGGAAACACAAAAACCGAAAAGATTCTTGAAGTGTACAGAACTGTGCACAAAATGAACTAGGTAAAGAAAAAAAAAATTAAAACTCCAAATGTTATCAGTTTTTGAAAAAAATTTCGATTTTTGCGTTTCGCGTTAATTATTTTCTCAATTAAACAGTTTTCAATATTTTTGGATAATCCTAGTTCATTCGTTAAACGAAACAATTGGGAACACTTAAAAAAAATTTGATGACAACTGGTTAATCCCAACGCCTTCAATCACTTTCGTAAGGTCCGAAAACGTGGTTCTAAGATAAACGCGTTTAAAGTTCTGGCTTCAGATGACCGGTGCTCGACATGTGCTCAATGTAAAGGCCTGTAACCCTTGTAATTTTTCAAATTTTGATCTGAAATTTGTTGAGCACATTTTTAAAATATACAAAAAGCCAAAAAAAATTAATTTTTTCCCCACAAGGTGAGAACCTGCCTTAAGGAAAATTCCCTTGGGACCAATACATTAATAAAAAACATGGCGGAAAACGTGATTTGTAATCATTTACAGTAGAATCCTGTTATAACGACGCCGCGGGTTTTGCGACGAAAGTTCGATGGCTTGGTTGGTCCCATATAAACTTATATGAAAGGGCCTCCACCAAGTACGTTTTTTTCCGCGTTTAGCGACAAACCGTTTATACCGACGAAATTTTTCGGATATTTCGACGTGCCGAAAAAAAAATACAGCGAAATAATGCCAATAAATTTAATTATTTATCAGTGCTCAGTATTACATGAATGTTCTTAGATTTAAGGACATATTTTGGTTATTAGCTCAAAATAAACACTTTTTAATAAAAATTTTTTCGATATCTCGCACCGTTTACGAGCTATCGAGCCTTAAATATTACACGTCACGGCGGGTGGGTAGCGAGTATAATAAATATGTCTGTTACTTATTGCACATATTTTTCGGGGAACTCGCGATATTCGCGAGTATGGATGCCGTATTTTTTTATTTCGTTTATATTTTTTTCTTTTTAAGGCTATATGGGAATGGAAAGTGATTGGAACTTCAGGTTAAGTTTGTTTCGTTAGTTAGTTTAGTTTTTTTTTTTTTAGAAAAATTACTGAAAATTTTTTTTAATATGGAACATTTTCGTTTGTTTTTTTTTTCTAAAAATTAACTAATATCATCAAATATATTATTGATTGAGGTAATTTTTCTAAAAAAAAACATTAATGTTTAGGTTTGAAGGTAGATCTTTAAAAAAAATTCCTAGCGCATTTTTAGCAAAAGCCCCCAAAGCACAATTTTACCTAAGTCGGTACCATAACTACATATATATGTAAGTAACTTCAGAAATTGGTGTGAACAGCCTACAACATTTATGTTATTACATATGTATGTACATACATACGTACGTAAAAATGTATAAATACTTATTACAAACTCTTATGAAGAGTTTTTAAAATAAAATAATTTTCTCTGTAAAAACGTCTTTCACTAAAAAATAACAATCCTAATGCACCATAAAAACTAAAAAGCCCTGAATTTTACATGCATAAATCGACTTAAGTTTTGTTTTATTGCAAAAGCTTACCGCAATTTCTGTGTGCCTCAAAAATGAAATTGATACAAATTGACGGCAATGTGCATTTGTATTTGTTGTTGTTGTAGGAGGAGCGAGCATAGCATCGACTCTAAGTATCTGAATATTTTGACGAAGGAGTGCAAAAGCTTTAAGCTTAATGTTTTACTACCTGTGTACGTTCATATGTACATATGTTTATTGTGTGTGCATATGTGCATACATACATACATTTGTGGTATGAACACACGTCCCTTTGTTTCGGAATTAGTAGGCTGAACTTTACTTCTACTTTTTAGTTATGCGTTATGATATATTTCTATAGTATATCGCCTATTCTTTTTAATCTGAAATTAATAATCGATTCATCACACATAGTACATACATACTTACAATGTTAGATATGTACATACATATTTGTTGTTCTGTACACTTGGTGTGTTGAGACAAAAGTTACATAAATACATACATAATTACATGGCAGCTACATTTGTATGTAATTGTATGATAAAGTCGCTTGATCCCAATTAAAGTAAATTTGTAATTCTTAACTTGTACTGCTTAATTTTGTATACATATGTACGTATATTTGTTTACTATGAAAACATGTTTTTAATTTAATACTCATTAAGATACATATATCCTATCGTTTTAAGGCTTGCTTTTATGCTAAACCTCAGGCATAACAATCAAACAATGTGTAGGTTCTTTTGTACTTTTCTATGGCATCTTTTTGATATACAATCCGACCCATATTGTTTCTACAAATATACATATGTAACAGCTGATAAAGTTTCAGCAAGATAGATTTAAAAGTGAAAGATTGGAGGACGGGAGAAAACGTAATTGCTAAAGGGTCTTGTGCACATTAATAAAGGCATTTATAATTCTTCTAGAAAAACATATCGCTTTAAAAAGTTACCATTGAAAAAGTAGGTTTAAACAAAAACGCTTTAAAAAATACATAAGCAATACCGGAGCTGCAGTTGTCACAATTAGGAAGCAGTGATGATTTGGGGTAGTTCATTATTAGACTGCTGGGCTTCAACACAAACCAATTGCAACTTGGCGAATCAGCTGGGCTAATAGGTTATTCACACTAAAATTCGAAACGATGAAAATGTTGATTGAGGTCCACAATGCAATATTTATAACTTACGGATTTCGTCTAAACATACTGTTATGAATAAAAAGAATACTAAACACAAAAATTAAAAACTTTACGCATATACACTATTTATAGGGGATGGTAAAAAAACGCATGTATCTCTTCGATAACTTAAAACAAATGTATTCGAACTTGCAGATAGTATTACAAATTCAGTCACCAATCAGCATCTTCATCCCAGTTAAACAAAACATATACTCTTTTAAATATTAATCTTGGAATATGTCTAGTAGTTTTATACTGTCTAGTAGTTCTAACTGCAAGTGTATAAATGAATAGATTTAGTTTTAGTTCCAAGAACGATATATATTTTTCGATTTGCTGTTTAGCGTAGTCGGTTGATTATATAATAATGATAAACGTGGTCTGCGCGTATCTTATCTAAAAATCCACTTATTTTAGTTCACCAAAGTTTTTATATCTTAAGCTAAATCGATTAGCAAAAACAAAGTACAGAAATGTTTTTAATCTTAATTTTATAAATTTTATGCCGGGTGATTTCACTATTTAAAAACAACATTGATCTTTATTGGCCACTGCTAACTGTGCTCTTTCCATCACTCCTTAAAGCATCTCGGTTGGCAGCTATTTCGGCACGAATATTGCTCTTGAGCTCGTCGATGGTTTTCGGCTTGCTGGAGTAAAGTTTACTATTTAAATAACCCAACAAAAAGACGTCTGGGGGGTTTGATCCGGGATCTTGGTGGCCACTCAATATTCGCTCCTCGGCAACACTCTCTTTTACGGCTTAAATCATTTCATTGGAACGTCTTGGACGTGGATGATTGTAGTTTCGATTGCCCACTGTACCGTGCATAAAGAAATTTTTACCCAGTGCCCGAATTGTTTTGAAGTGAATTTTTTGAAGTGAAAACTTCTTTAGCGGCGCTGAGCACTTTTTTTTATGGGTAAAAACTTTCAAACTCGCGTCACGTGATGCTGATCAAAAAAGCGTAAGATCGAGGGGAAGGGAGAGGAACTAGTATCTCCCACTCTTTCTACCGTGCCTGAGTCATGGTACCATGGTAAAATAAGTACAAGGTTGTCTCGTCGGCTTTTTTTTCCCCCTATTGGGCACTACAATGAGTGCGAGTGAGAGGGTGTTTTCCCGTAAGTGCGAAAGAAACAGAAACAAAGTGTGTTGTTTAACCCATATACTGTGCATAGGGTTTTAAAAGACTGTTATATGACAATGAGTATTAATTGTTCAGTAATTCTTGGTTTTTACCCAGAGCTGCCCTTTAGGACTCGCTCCCATAGTGTTACCCTGGCCATAACTTATATTTTTTGATCTTTCCTATGGCAGCTATATGATAGTTATCCGATTTTGAAAAAAAAATGTTTAAATTTAATCCAAAATTCAATAGTAATTAGAAAATGCCATCTGGAAGAAGTCAAGACAATTCGATGAAATACAACGGCATAATAATTTTGTTTCCTTTATTTTTTGACCTCTTGTATGGGAGCTATCCGATATAGTCGGCCGATCCGGCTCGTTCCGACTTGTATACTGCGTGCAATAATAAAAGATATTTAAATGTAGTATTTTATATTTATTTTGCGTGGCCAGCTTAATTAAGATAATTACATTAAGAATACGCATACATTTTTTTCTTTGTCAGTTTAGAAAATAAAGATTAATTATAATTTGGAAATATTATTGGTAAATGTTAGTTTTTTAAACATATTATTATTCCATAAAATTATGAAAATATATACAGATGTTTCATAGTAATTGTAATTCATTTATGGCTTCCTAACATGTATATTATGTTTTGATGGTGCTGCATAGAAAGATTAAGACTATAACATTATATATGTTACTCTTATTGCAAGTTTTTAGGAATACATTTATGTTTGATCAAGTTAACAATAGAAAATGCATAAGCCTTAACTAATCAGTACTATTATTTAACTTTTATTTTAAACAAGCTGCTTTACTTATAATAAACGCATTTTTCGAGCCTATTTCTTAGTATATATGTAATAAATCTTAATACTCAAATAATAAATTTATTTTAAAAATCACTTTTCCCCTGGTTTGTAAGAAACAAAGTAAAACGAAATTTATTTAAAATATTATGTACTCCTGCCTTTTGAAAACGATTTGTGAAAATTGATATGTTAAAAAACTGGATTTTTTACGTGCGTTTTAGTAATTTTTGTTAAATCAAATGTTCATACAAAAAATATTCATAACTAATAATTATTAATGTGAGATTTTGTTTTTAAAAACACTTAAGATTTCATAAGTATTTTTAATACATAATTTTTGAACAAATCCTTTATCAAAATGTTTACTATTCTTGAATAAATATTTTTTGTGTGAAAACGGGGAACAGAATTTATTAGTAAAAAAAAATTTGGCAATCACAAAAAAGTTTTGAAAATGAAATAAAATTAATATTCGAATTATATATCAATTAAATCAGTAAGTAATGGATCGGTTCGACAAAATATACATTATGAACAGTCAAATTTATCTATGGGTTATAAGATAAATGAGCTTGTGAACACAGAAACATTATATAAACTTGAAACTTACATCTTAGCATTAAAATATTGTTTGTTTTATTTAAATTTAAATATTTCATCGTTAGTATTATAAATTGGTATACTGAAATTTCGTATATATATTGAATTTATTCAGCTTTTCGCTTTTATTTTGTTATATATATATATATATCACAAGTTTGAAGATAGTAGAAGGTGGTAATTTAACTACTTTTATTGGCATAAACCGACGACAATCAACACAGCAGCGTTCGATTGATAGTAAGTTAGAAAAACAAAATTATGACATGCAAAGCTAAGTATCAGGGGTAAATTAATCCTAGCAATCAATGCCATTGACAGTCGCACTGCAACTTTTGAGACGAAGCGAAGATACAACTGCCCTTTCACTATCCACACTCGATCCATTTTTAACGCCATTTGGCTCCTCGATGGACCGAAATCGCAGAAAGCCGTGGTCTGCCACCAGCATACTGTCAGAAGCACTTGATGTTGTAAACGAATTCGAAGAGGCAGACGCCACTGAGGCCGACGAAGCAGTGCACAACTCGGAACAGAGCTTGCCATTATTTTGAATATGATATTGGGTTTGTATATTCGAATGTAAAAGCGGATCATTTGATAAATTTTTAGCTGCTGCTGGGCTGGCATGTGCTAAGGACGATTTGCTATTAGTGGAATCGGAATTTGGATTTGAATTTTCGGCTGTTACAAAACTAGCATCATTGTTTATCAAATTTGTACACTCTACATTGTTTCCTGATATTATGTCTTCGTCCTCCTCCTCCTCTTCCTCGGAGTTATGGTCATAAGGTAGCTGTTGTAGTTGATTCTGCCTAATGGGTTTACTTTTAAAAGGATCCGTACCAGTACCACCCTGCATTGATCTAAAGTTCGAACGACGTCCACTACCTCTCTGGTAATAGTGTGCTCTATCTCTTTCGGAAATGCCCAAAGTCTGCGCTCCATTGGCACTAATCCGTTGAGCTCCAATGGAAGCATTTGGAGGATTTGTTATGACACCACTGGTAATACTGCTGAGAGTTCCACTTTTGCGAACACCACTGAAGAATCCTCGCTCACATGAGTTATAGCTGGCATATCGTCCCCCTCCACCATTCGATGAGGAGCAGGAATTGGTTGAGTTCGAACTTCGGCGCTCGGGATTCTTTTTTTCAAAGAAATTACGCTCAAGTGTTGTTCCATTGCCATTCAACACTTTCTCGCGATCAGTTATCTTTATCTTTTGTCGATCTGGATCACCGTTCGATTGAACGTTATTAACTGATTTATCCTTGAACACAGGTCGCTCAAAAATATTAAATTCATACCGCTTCTTTTCCTGCTCCATTGGCTCCGAATAACAACCGTCGTTCTGCAGATGCGAAGATCCCGAACTACTTTGTTCAAAGATTTCCTTCTGTGATTTATCTCCTACTGCACTGCTGTGTAAATTAAAATTTGGATTTTCGTAATGGTCTGGCACTGTATCAGTCGTATAATCCGTGCACATATATGTCTGCTGCTCGTGAAATCGAGATTGATGGGCTTGATAGTGTTGCTTGAATTTCTGTGTACCTTGACACCCATAGTCTGTTGCGTTTTGGCTATTAAGACCACTGCCAATCGAACCAGTCTCATATGGCCTTTGGTACATTGGCTCCTGCAGTTGATATTCACAAATGCGACCGTTTGAAGATAGAGCGCCAGTGGGTCCTATAGAATTTAGGGCATAGCTGTCGTCATATATCAGCTTTCCCGTCCGCATAGTGTATGTATGAAGATTGGTATTGGCGTTGCAAATAGCTGGATAGTCGGTCTCAAACTGCTCCTGACTAGAGCTCGATGTGCATGGCAGAAAGAAATTGGACACATTTGAGTTGTGGCCTGCAGTACCGCCGTTACCCAAATTTTTCTCCCTGATTGGATTGTTGGTTGAGCTGCCATCCTGGCAGTATGTAGCTCGAACCGCAGAGCCAACCATTCGAACGTCACCATTTACAGCGGTCAAGGAATCGTGCCCAATGCTGGTCTTGAGCCCAGTTACCCAAGATATTAACGTTATTATGGCTATTTCTATAAGGCGCAATGAGAACTGATATCCCCATTGTAGCCAGTCAACATCGACTATATTAGTTTGACGGGACGGCGAAATGCATATGGCTCCAAATATTTGGAGCGCAGCCAATAGGACAAACAGAAGAGCTGTGGCAATCGTTATATGTATGGCGTACGAAAGGTTCTGATAGCCATGAATATAATTTTGAGATTTACTGCGAAGAATGCGCTTTAAAATTCTGTACATGTAGAGATATAGAAGCCCCAAGCTGAGGCATATAAAAATATAAATTATCTGACATATCAGAGTCAACACTCTGGGGGTGGTGGTACAATGGCAGACGGAGATGTGGTGGCAGTCAATTGGGCTTGATTATAAAGCTGCTGCCGACGAATATACTGTTGCTGCTGCTGTTGTTGAAAATACAAATGATGATTTTTCAATGTATACGATTCAACATAGTGCAGGGTAATGCAAAGCCCAACGTGTACTCCGCAACCCACGACCACGGTCAGTGGTCTTATTAGGGCCGAATATCGATTGTTCTTGTGGTTCAAAGACTTAAGAAACAGAAACAATATAAGTACTGAAAAAGCCACTGTTAAGAATGTAGATGGCAGGTTGAGCAAGAGTTCTGATGTGAATATATTAAAAGAACCATGGACGTTGTATGCATCAAAGCAAAGGAAAAATATTCTCATTATACAGATCACAATCAGTATAAAATGGATACAGACAAAATATGACTGGGCAAACAAATGAGTAAGCTTGTTATAGGTAAGCAGCTTGTAAAGTGAGTAAACCGATAAAATTGTAAAGAGTACCACGGACAAGTAAATATGGATATTCCAGGCCCAAGTCCAAGTCGTGTGTGCAGATGCAGCTGCTGCTGAGGCCGCAACTGCATCGCGATCGCCAATGCTTGGACCCAACCCATTGGCAGAGTCTGCTGCCTTTTCGGCATGTCGATCGAGGCTCGCGTTTGTGGTGGCCGAGACATCACCAATGGCAGCAGCTGCCGATGGCGTTGTTCCTGTTGTCTGATTTGTATTCTCATAGTAGTCCAATTGTCCGGGCTGGTATTTGCTCTGATTAATGTTCGCACTAGCCGTGAATGATCCACCAGTATTTGTGATCTCCTCATTTGTTATGGACTTGTCGATCAATACAATGGGGGAAGATGGTGGTTGCCGCATGGTTACAAGGGGTCGCTGGGTTACTTGCTTTAACAGCACAGCTGGTATGTCGCTATTCTTTCCATTCGAGCCCAAAATGCGCCTTATATTGGGTAGAACTTCCTGTCGTTTGATGGATTCAGTGACACCCGGTTCTTGAGACCCTAGGCCCCCCTTTCCGTTGGATGTCTTTTCGTTTATAAAGTCTTCACTGCTGGCACGTGCTGGTGTATTAAGAGCTTTCTTACGATCCCTTACCGACAAATCGGAGACGGTTTCATGGGCAATAGTGCCGTCATGAGGGTGCTTTGCATCGTAGCCAGAACTAGAGTAATTTATTTCCGCCTGCGGACTCACAATTGCATCGTTACTATTGCTTCCCAGATCTGGCGGTCGAATGGGGATCCGGTCCTGACTAGGCATTAAACTAGGTGGTGGGATTGGACGCCTGTTCATTGCAATTATACCTTCATTATTGGTCCCCCTCAAGGTGGGCTTGTCTGCAAATGGGTTTTGATATTCCGGCGGCAGCGGCGGTGTGAAAAAGGCTCGTGATGGCGGCGAATATGATGGAATATCCCCGGGATACATTGGTATAGTGGGTGGTTGCCCTCCGTTAAACTTTTTTAATAGGTTGGGCACTGCGAATAGTGTGTCTTAAAAAAGGAAACATTTAAAAAAACCCACATGTTTTTTTACTTACCGGATGGGTTCGGCGTCGAATACTGCACTGTGTTTCTCTGACGATCTCTATCGTGCGAATGGTGACGATTTGGATTTGGATAAGTAGGATTGTTGTTACTTTTAAGTATGTCAGCGTTCGGAGCGGAAGTTGGCAACGCATGGTCTCTCTCTAAGTCTAGTTCATAGTTTTTCTGACGACCACTGATACTTTGTTGTTGATGTATTTGCGTATACCTGGTAATATATCAATTAAGAGCAACTGTATTGACATGCTAATGATATTATTCATAGAAGAGAACATTTTACATAAGAAGAAAATAATTGCGAACCGATTAATTATTAATTATCGGGGTCATCAAAAGAGTCAATCTGTCTGTCTCAACACTGGTGGAGATATCAATAACTGTAAAATCTAGTATTTTAGTAAACCGTTACTTTTTAAACCACTGAATTAGAACCGATTACTTGAATGATGATATTTTTTCCAAATCTGTCACTCAGTTTTAAGCCTTCTTATACCTTACCAAAATACTTGTTTCTACTGAAGGAACATACCTATATTGTAAGTCGGATCGGAAAAAATTTAATAAAAATATAACGAAAATACAAGAAATCTACCACAGTGTTGTTATTTCAACGAATTTTAAAGAGTGCAAAGACCTTATTAGGAGGTTTTCACTTATTGCCATTCTGTTGTGATTTTTGGGAATTTTTATTAAAAAACTACTTTATCAATTACTTCAAAATTTTCAGAATATATTTATACATGTTTTAAGAATATGCAGTGCATAATACCTCATAGGGATTACTTTGAAGGGGACAAAATAGATATTCATAAAAAAATAAATAATTTTTGAAAAAGACAAAATTCGCGATACTTTTTGAACACAGCTCGTATAGAAACAGATCGACTCATCATCTGTTTGTGCGCTTAAACGTCGCGATCTCGAAAACTTTAAAAACTGAAATATTAATATTGACCACGAAGATTTAGCAAAAAGTGTCAGAAATAAACTTACAACTTCAAAAAACAACCTACATATAATAAATCAGAGTCGAAGCTTGCAAACCTTTGTATTTGAAACTTAACGAACGACTAGACTCTGCGAAAATGTTAAAAATTTAAATGGGTTCGGTCGGCTATTAAGTTTAAAGATCGAAAAACCCATGTAGAAATAAAGGAAATAAATTGAGAAAGTCGTTGTTATTTATCACTTGACCATGATTTTTTGAGTGACAAGCTTTTAAGCTAGAGCTTTGAATTATGAAAAAAATTTCATAAAAATCGGAGAGCTATATTATATAGCTGCCATGGAAAGATCCAAAAATCTATATAGAATTGATGGAAATAAATTGATCGTTGTTTTTCATCAAACAAACATGATTTACGAATTTTTCGAATTTCATCAAAATCGGACTACTATATCATATAGCATTGTTTTATTTCGTTAAAATCAATTAAAAACCACATTTTTATGTTTATTTGTGGGTAAAAAAGAAATTGTTAAGCAATACTAGTATACTTTTTAAAAAAGAAAAAAAAATTAAAACTTAAAAAGTTAAAACAAGAAGTAAGGTTATAATAGTCATCATCACCAAAATCTAAATTGTCAATTTCAGTTCTGTACCATCGAACCAGCTTTGCCAACTTAGCTATTTCCCCGCTAGATCTGGCGGTTTTCAAAAGCGAAATGCGGGATATATTGAGAACTAGTGGCTAGCGGGAATTATAGCTATTTTTAAAGCAAAACTAACGGAATTTTAGCATTTTAAATATGTATTTTTTTTTTTACCTTCTTGAATTTTTATGTTTTACGATGCCCCACTTTGATAACATGCTGTATTTTTTTATCCATTTTTACTAGTTGTATACCATCGTTATCTGGGTATTTCACAATTTCAGCACTGGATACTCAAGCAAACATTTAAATGACATCATATTTGCAATAAATTCATTAAAAAGTAAAATCATTATTGATACATATTTTTTAAAAACGATTTAGAACATTTGGAAGCACGATTGCTCAAGAAAAAGCTCAAAGAACATAATGAAAACATCTCGAACGAGATTGCAGGACAATTTTGAAATATTTCAGCAAATTTATTTGTTTTCCCTCAACAAAATATTTTGTCGAAAGAAGGCATTTTGCAGAATATTGAAGAGATTATGTTCCAATATAAAAACGTCCATCCTTTAAAATGGTCCAGTTTACTGATTACCAAAAGTTTATCGGTCGCAGTGTCTAACTACATGGATGTAGCAGGAAATATAATATAGCACTTAAATCGGACAATGCTAACTATGTTAAAATCGTCGTCAGAAATCAATAAAGAAACCGGTATGTCATTACCAAACAACCTAATATTTAACCAAAAAAAAAAAAAAATATAATAAAATATTTGAAGAAGCTTACCTTTGCGTTGTCAGAAATGGAGTGGCAACAGTCGTTAGACTTGAGGAATAATTAGTATCTGGGATGCTTCGCTTCGTTGTAGAGGTGGTACCATATGCTACTTTTATTAAAACGGCTGCCACACTGCGCTCAATGTTATTTAATTTTTCCAAATAATCCTTCTGTACTATCATAGAGGTACCGGAAATCATTTTACTTCCCGTGTTGTTGCCAAAGTTACTATTTTCATTCGACTTCTCTTGCGAAATGGTTATATTATCTCTTGAACTTAATTCATCCATTAATATCGTCTGCGCCAAACAAAGTTGGTGAACAGAAATCAAGAACAAAAATAAGAAGACCGTATCATGACGTTGACGTAAAACCATTATTCGACGTAAGAGGGAGACAAAGATGCGACCAAAGTAACTCAGCTTTAACCGTTTGACCTTCGTTGTACATTCAACAACACCAGTGTTCCGGGAAGCATTTTGCGGGAATAAATCGGTTTTAAATACTGATGTGATTTTGTGGTTTGTGGATTTACAACATAATTTCATAACTTTTTTCTCAACCTCATTTTTATTATCAATTTGTTTTCCTAAAAGAAAAAAAACATTTTGTTAAAAATCAATATATTGTTTTACCACTTACCCATTTCCAAAGGTTTCCACTTCTTAATTTTTGTTTGGAAGCTATGGGTTTTACACATGATATTGAACTTCCTTTTATGAGGCCGACCAAATACAGGGACTATTTACTAGATTAATAAATCTAGAGAGGCTCGTTTTTACGGGGCATTTTTTGTAAACCTGTAAATGAAATATAACAGTTATAACAGGTTAAAATAAAAGACCTTGAGAATTCGTGTTCTGATAAAAAGGGCCTAAACGATGGAAAATATATGTTTTGAACTGACAGATGCATTTTTGTTAAGGCCTCTCAAAGGGCAAAAATGTTTACTCTTTAATCGTTCATAGAAAAGATCGAAAAATGTAAATAGAAATAACGGAAATAAAATTATAACATCGTTGTTTTTCATCAGACAAGCATGATTTTTGGAATATAGAGTTTTCTAACGACTCTTGAATTACATATTAAATTTCATCAAAATTGGCCAACTATATCATTTAGCTGCCATATGAACAATAGTCGAAAACATGGAAAATGAATAGAAAAATCGTCATATTTCGACATATCTGATGACTGCAAGGGTATATAAGCTTCGGGTTGACGAAGCTAGCTTCCTATCTTGTTTTCAATGATACCTTTTATAAACTCTAACTCGCCGACACCTGCAGCGGACTTGCAGCCCCACACTATGATGCCTCCAACACCATGCTTTACTGACATAGCAAGGTTTTCTTTTAGGAGTTTTGTATAAGGTTTTTTTTTTCAAACAGTTGGAAAATATTATCAGAAATGATTACATTAGTCCAAAAATCAATTCTGATTGTTGGCCTCAGAAATAAGCGGTTTCCTTTTTGAGACCCGATACATGACCCAATACAGTTAGCTTAAGCCTTAATGCAACTACCGTTATGGGAAGAACCGTTATGGGAAGAAGTTTTCTCAAAATCTTTTCTCTCTTTTTTCTCTCACTTAAGTTCAATAATTTTTGGTCGTTCCTGGTCGCGTAATACCTTGTGTCGACCTGTGCGCAGATCACTTTTCAAGGATAAGGCGCTCTTAAAACGCTGCCCATATCCATAATTTCTCCGATCTCAGCATAAGAGTTTCCAAGATTTTGGAAATTCCAAATAATTTTCCGGTCCGATTCTGAAGAGTTCTTATGTTTACCCCTTATTTTATAAAAAAAAAAAGGTTAAAAAGTCAATATTATGCTTTTAGATGAAAAAATGAGTGACCGTTTTTGCAATAATACGCCACCAGATGACTGCAATAATCGGCACATCACATGCAAATACGGGCACTCAGATCCGAATTTGTACTACAAATCGCATTAATAACAAAAAAAAACGGTGCAAAATTTTCACTCTCCGCCAACGGATTTCGAAGTTTTAGAAAAAAACACATCGTTTCTATATTTTACTTTATTTTTTAAGCTATATTTACCGTGCACCGCACTTGTAAACAATTACCGGAAGATTCGGCACTTGTTTTCGTTATTTTAATTTTAAAAATTAACTGTAAGATGTAATTTATTGAAAAAAAACTTGGTTGTGTTTAAAATAATAAATTATATTATGTAAATAAATTTTGTCTTATATAAATATGTCCATGTTAAGAGGAGAAACTCAAAGTTGAACAAGCCAATAATTATGTTAGTCACTGTACATACATTTCAACTAATAGAATAAAGCCTTTAATCTATTAGCAACAGGTATAAAAACCTATTTCACAAAACAACTTTAGCAAAGGAAATTTAAGCACGTATCCCTATAGAACATTTTTTAAATAGGACATTAACAAATTTTTATAAAATATTTTGTTTCGAACCTTTCAAACCCTTGTGGTGGGAAACTTAACTCAGAAGTTTCCAACGCAATGTAAAAAAAGAAAATAAAGAAGAAATGAATATACACTGGTCGGCATATATGTTTTGACTATAATAAAAGTGAAATATACTCGAAACTTGAACTTGCTTCTTTTAACTTATGGTGTCAATGGAAAAGTAATTTAAATACCGTTTGAATACCATACTTTTCTTAAAAAGTAAAAAATTTCATAAACATCGGACAACTATATCATATAGCCGCCATAGGAAAGATCGAAAAATCTATATAGAATTAACGGAAATAAAATGATAACATCGTTATTTCTAATCAGAAAAACTGCAAAAAGAAATTTTCAAAAATAATTTTTCTTTTATTTTTTATAATTTTTTGAAAATGTTTAGAAATACGCATTTAAGCCATATTTTTCTCTTTTCCATACAAATTTTTTCCGACATTGTCACCTTCGAAAAATAATAAAAAAATAAAAGAAAAATTATTTTTGAAAAATTCTCTTTGCAGTTACTATCATTTTTGTTTAAAGAAACTTTTTGCATCCAAAAATTTTAGTTTTCAAGACGAGGGAAAAAGTTTAAAAAGTAAATTTTTTTTTGTAAACTGCCCTTTTTAATAAATATCAAATGAGTTAAAAAAAAGTATGGTATCATTCAAACGGCATTTAAATTACCTTTCCATTGATACCAAAAGTTAAAAGAAGCAAGTTCAAGTTTCGAGTATATTTCACTTTTATTTTGTCAAAATATATATGCCGACCAGTGTATTATCTTGATCAGCATCACTATCTTAACCGATCTACCCATGTACGTCTGTCTGTTTCTATGTTTTAAAGCTATTTCGATGAAACTTTATATTTTATTTCATATAAATCGGTCAACTATGTTATATAGCTGCCAAAAAAAAAAAAACAATCGGAGAAATTATAAAAAATGAACAAAAAATATATGTATTTAGCTCCGATATTGTTAAACCTTTATCATTTTGCTCAACATTTAGCAATTTGTTGCGAGAATATATATTCAAAAGTTATTTTTATAAAGATCGGACTAAGGAAGGACCAAAGAACAGTAAAATTGATCGCTGGCATTGTAAAAATCGATCACACAATGGGAAATAATAACGGTAATCTTGTTACCAAATAATTAGTATAAAAGCTTAGAATCCCCAACGATTCCTTTCTTGTTTACCAAAAAACAGCTAAAAGATGACAAAAAGTTTTTTTTGGGAATGGTAACGTCCGACTACATCATAAAAAAGAATAGTTCAATTTAAAGAAAGAGAAGATTAAACCTTTTTTAAATCCTACAAAAATTAATAATCACAAACTTTTTAGGACAATTAACACTACATACATTACACAACTATTATTCTTTAGACAATATGCACAAAAAACTTGTCTCTTTATAAGATTGTTGTATTGTGAATAAAAGTTTAAAAACCAAAGAATTGTTTTTAAACAATTAAATTTGCTCATCAAAATATTATAGTTTAGGCCCAACAATATACATATGTATGTACACACTTATGTAGCTTATATTTAAACCTTTACCAATTTTCATGTTGTTTTCCAAAATTATTTATGCTGCCAGATTCCCGTCCATTACGTTAAAACACACACACATTTACAGACCAAGTCAGGTCATAGGGTTTTTACTTCAGGATTGAATAGAAAAAGTAGATGTACATATGCATTCAGATGTGTACACTCAAGTTATTCATAGCCCAGTTAGATGGCTGGTATCCACAGCAGATTATAAAACACAATCAATATGAAAGTCCTTCATGATATTTTATTTCATTTAGAAAACAATCATTCTGTATCAATCACAAATAATATAAGTTTATTATGACGTCTGGCCTTTTCACTTAATGCAACACACATCTACAAAATGGCGGATACAAAACCGATCAATAATCGGTAACCCCGATATATAAGCTAGCATCATGAGCTGAAACGTTACTAATGAAATTAAATTTCTTACAGCACGCTCTCACTAATACACATTTGTCAACCAATAAAATTTGTGGTTTTATTTTTTATTCCATACCATGAACTTTTTAGGAGTCTATTTGCAATTAACTACAAAATTAATTGTTTTCAATTAATTTTAAAGCACAGTAAACACCCAAAAGTTCAACATTTTTAAAAAACCATGGGTTGCATTGAACTTAAAGAGATTTAATTTTTCGGCGTTTTGACGGAGTGACGTCGGAAAAAAGTGCAACAACATTAATTGTCACTTATATAGTATTTTATTTAATTTAAAAAATTTGGTTTTGTATTTTTAAAGTTAAAAAATAACAAAGGGTATGCATAGTGGCTGGATCAGCTGTTTAAATTTGGACGTGTTTGGAAGAACTCTGGCAATTGATCAGCTCCGCACGGAGTTCTTGATCCAGGAATGAATTGTCCGTCAGCGCTTAAGAAATACAACGAGCCCACTGGCGAGTGTTGATCTTGCGGCTGAAAACGATTGGAATGTACAGTGACCGCGGTTTCACGGCAGAGTGTATGCCAAATTCTGTTCATCCCGTCTAGAAAGAAATCATTACATTGACTGCATTCAAAAATAGTCAATAAACAAGAAGTAGGGTTGTGATGATATGTAAAAAATATCGTATCAGTGATATATCGTTTTCCATAAATCTATCGAATTGATAAAAATATTTATCATACAAAAATATCGATATATCAAGTATTTTTGATATTTATTACATTTACATATTTATTTTTATTAATCAACCAAATTTTACCAAAAAATTCTTTTTTTTTTTACGATTTTCGCTGCACATTTGCTTAATGCTTTATTTTAAATACATACATTTATATATTATCCTGATTTTACTTTGCCTTTTTCCTACAACAATTAATTTATTGAAAATTAAAAACGAAATCACTAACATGAAATTAGCGGAAAAAATCTCGATAGCAAATCAAATCAATTACACGGAAATCGTGTACAAACACAAAAATTCGCGGAAATATACACAAATCCACAGAAAAATAAATTTTGGATTTAACTTTGGCAGTTTGCAACCTAATCTAGCCACTTAACCTATGACAGCTGTGCTGAAATATATTTATTTAAATTATTCAAAAAAATAAATAAAAAATTAAATTCTGTCACTCCATCCATCTCTGCAATTATTATAGGATTCATTTATCTTTGGATTTTCGATCGTACTGGTTATAAGCCCATAGCGACTTATCCTAGCGGTGGGGTTGCTATCTGGCGCCATCTAGGAGTGACGAAAGTTCTATTGTTGTGCCCAGTGACGAGGGGGTGTGCGGGTCCGGGGAGCCGAATTTTGTTACTATTGTTAAGTGAACAATAGAACAATTCCGGATCGGAGGTCAGCCCATTTACATTGTTAAATAGCCTTATTAATAACAAGTCAAGAATTAATTGTATGTTAACGTATAGATTATTTTTTAACGATTTGTTTTATATCACCATTAAAAATAATTTATTTATTTATCCAAAAAATATTAATAAAATTTATTTATAACAATGGTGTAATAAGACAATAAAAAACAACAAAAATATTTAATTTCATATTACATCTTATAAACTAAAAATACAGATTCATTAAAGTGGGAGGCCAAATTTATATTGACTTAACATAATTTGTTAGAAAATTAATGTGAATTGCCAAAAATGTTAATAATGAAATAGAACGCTCCTTTGGCATCTATTACCTTTTGTAATCGTGCAGGAACAGATTTTACTAAATTTTGAAGCGTTTCAAGGGAAATTTCCTTTCATAGTCCTTCGACTTCATCAATTGTCTCCTCTCGAGTTCCTGTTAAGTTTGGACTCTTCTTACGTTTTATGTAAGCCCACACATTCTCTATAATGTTAAGATCGGACTTTGGGGTGGCGAATCTATGGTAAAGATTCTACTTCCAAGTCCCTCAAATATGTTGTAATTTTTTTGCTTTATGTCAATGGAGCATTATCCTGTTGCAGGGTAAAGTCTTGTCCAATAAGTCTGTCGCCGGCAAGCAATGCTTGGACATTCAGAGTACGCAAAGAGTGTTCTTGATTCATCGTCCCATTGATGGGGACCAAGTCACAGAACCCGAAAAGGTTACCTCGACCCAACTGGATCTATTGTACCCCCTATCTGAGCTTAGAGCTCACCCATCAAGCCGGCTCCTCCGATAAAGTTAAGGAGATTTGTTGGGTCGATGCTTCCAGAGGTCCCAAGTGTAAGGAACCTGGACCCGAGGGTTCTGCTCCTCAGGCTACTTAGTGCTGGGCAGTCTGATATTATGTGTAGGGAGCTTTCATCCTCGCTATCACAGAATCTGCATGTTTTTCTGTTTGTAATCCCTATATTAAATAGGTGTCTCCTTAGTTTGCAATGTCCGGTTAGCAAACCGGTAACTACCCTAAGTTAACTCTTCCCTAGCAGTATAAGTTTCTTAAACCTCTTCATGTCATAATTGACGATGAGGGTTTTGGCTTGTCTTTGGCCTGTGGTGTTATCCCAGTAGGCTTGCCTCATATGTACCTCTTCTGTTCTTAGGTAATCTTTGACTGTGTGTCTGCCTATGCCACTCGGGTCCTATAAGGGGTCGTTCCGCCCCTAGTTTTGCTAGCCTGTCGGCTAGTTCATTCCCGGATGTCTTTATGTCCTGGAATCCATCTTAAGGACAGCCTGTTGTTGCTGCCCAGATGGTTCAACTTTGTTCTTACTTCTCGAACCAGCTTCGGGGTGATTATATTACTACAGAGTGCAGTAATAGCCGCTCGACTCTCCGAGAGGATCGGAATGTCCTTGTTTGTGTACCCGCGCTTCATATTGAGCTCTGCACACCGTCCTATGGCGCATACTTCAGCTTGAAATATGCTGGTGTATTGGCCTAAAGATTGATGGTACTTGATTCGTGGTCCTATTACTCCAAGGCCAGTGCCTTGGTGTGTTACAGACCCGTCCGTATACCACGCTATAGTGTGACTAGCCATGAAGTGTACTTCCTTCATGGTGGTCCATTCTTTCTTGTTGCTCAGATGAGCAGAGAAATTCTTTTCGAAGATGAATTCTACTGTCATTTCGTCCCTGGGGTGGGAACTCAGGGGAAGTTCGACTAGTAGTTTTGCCGCATCCCTAGAGCTGAGGATGCGGTCACTGCCATTACCACAAGAAGAGATTCTTAGTAGGGTGGCTTTCCGCTGTAACTCTACTACGCAGTGGAGCGGATTGAGTTCCATGAGAACTTCCAGTGCCGCAGTGGGGCAGGTTCTCATTGCTCCTGTCATACATTTCTGTGCGGTAATGAGCCTAGCTCTTTTACCCCAGGCTACTGAACCATATGTGAGTATTGGCCTCACAATTATAAGGTATAGCCATCTGATGATTTGGGGTGAGGTCCCCCAAGATTTCCCTGCAATTTTTCGACAGGTGAAGAGCGCCCTGAGGCACTTGTCCACTGTCTTTACCATGTGGCTTGCAAACGTTAGCTTCCTGTCGAAGGTAACTCCGAGGTACTTCACTTCCCGGCTTATTGCTACGGGAGTACCTAGTAGTATGATTTGTCTCATTTTTTATAGTTTGTACTTCATTGTAAAAGGAACAATGAGTGTCTTTGCGGGGTTGAGGTTAAGCCCAACTTCCCTGCACCAGTCAAGAGTTATCTTGAGTACGAGTTGGACAATATCGCAAAGCGTTTCTTCAAATTTCCCTCTGGCTACTATTACTATGTCATAGGCATAGCCCTGGCATTGTATCCCTCTATCGGCGAGTTTCCTTAGTAGTTCATCTATTAGTAGGCTCCACAGTAAAGGAGACAAGACTCCACCTTGCGGACATCCTCTGCTTGTGGCAACGGTCATGGTGCTATTGCCAATGGTCGCCATTGCCTGCCTGGAGCTTAACAAGGCTCCAATCCACCTTTTAAAAAAAAAAAAAATTTTTTTACATTTTTTTTTATTTTTTTCTAAGAAAGCAATATGTTGAGAACATTGTTGAGCTAATAAGCTTTTTTATTAGCTGTTGAATTAAAAAGACGAAAACTTAGAGTTCGATTTCTGCAAAGGCAGCGAATTTATTTAGCAGAAGCGATTAACAAAAATGGTCCGCGAGATCGAAAGGAAGAGTTAGAATTGAATTAAGACGCGGATCAGCCGATTACTGACCCAAAGTATAAACCAACAAGTAACGAGAGAGAGCGAATAGAAAGATAAAGTGAGAGAGAGCGCGATGGTAATTATGCAGATAAGCTAAGAGCTAGCATTAAGAGAATCTAAATATCTGCTGCGGCTGGATGACCCGACAAACATTGTGCAAACATTTTTAGTCAGAGTCAAACTAACGGAGTTACAGCGTTTTAAACGACCGAATTTGGACGTATTTTAACGTATAAAAATACTTTGAATCGATATTCCCGAAAAAGTTATTTTGAAAGTCGGTGAACATCAGAACTTAAAATCTACTGAACCGATCCTTTTCAAATTTTTAACGCACACATAAACACACAGGTAATCAAGAAGAGTTTTTTTTAATTCTTAGTTTTTATACCCTTGCAGAGCAAAGGGTATTATAATTTTGGCCAGAAGTTTGCAACGCAGTGAAGGAGACACCTCAGACCCTATAAAGTATATATATTCTTGATCAGCATCACGATCTGAGTCGAAATCCGTCTGTACGTCTGTCCGTCTGTCTGTCTGTCCGTCTGTCCGTCTGTCCGTCTGTCCGTCTGTCCTCCTGTCCGTTTCTGCCTAAACTAGTCTCTCAGTTTTAAAGCTATCTTGCTGAAACTTTCCCAAAAGATGTGTAGTTATTGCACGCAGTATATAAGTCGGAACGAGCCGGATCGGCCGACTATATCGGATAGCTCCCATACAAGAGGTCAAAAAAATAAAGGATAAAAAATTATTACGCCGTTGTTTTTGATCAGATCGACTTGAGTTCTTCAAGATGGCGTTTTCTAACGGTTATTAAATTTCGGATTAAATTTTATCAAAATCGAATAACCCTATCATATAGCTGCCATAGGAAAGATCAAAAAAAATATATAGAAATAATGGCAAAATAATCATAACGTTGTTGTTTTTTATTCCACGAGCATGATTTTTACAACATCGACTTTATGAACTACCCTTGAACCGAGAAAAAAATTTCATAAAAATCGGACAACTATATCATATAGCTGCCATATGAACAACAGTCAAAAATATGGAAAATTAATAGAAAAGTCGTCATAGCTTCGATGTTGTTAGCCTTTATGTATTTTGTTCGATATGTTTGATGACTGCAAGGGTATATAAGCTTCGGCTTGCCGAAGCTAGCTTCCTTTCTTGTTTTTTACTATTTTTAAAAAATAAATTGATAGCGATTTTTTGAACTAAAATCGCACTTTTCACTTCCAAGAGCTATAATCATATAGCAGCCATAGGATAGATAAAAAAAAATATATATAAATAATGGAAAAAAAATATAACGTCGTTGTTTTTAATCCCACGAGCATGATTTTCAAAATAAAGATTTTTTTAATAACCCTTTGAATTGAGAAAAAAATTTCATTAAAATCTGACAACGTTGTTATATAGCTGCCATAGGAAAGATCGAAAAATCTATATAGAAATTATGGAAACAAAATTATAACATCGTCGTTTTTCATCAGAATGGTTTTGGAATATAGAGTTTTTTTGAAATACTCTTGAAATACGAATTAAACATAAGTCGAAAATTTGGAAAATTTATTTATAATTATGTATATTATAACTATACCTATATAATTTAATCGTCATAACTCCCCCCAGTTCATTTATTTTGGGACAAAATACTTACGATAGATTGATATTTCGAATTGATTGTTCATTCATTATCAGATGAAAGATTATTTATAGATTCTTTCATTTAAAGATCAAAGCTATTTTGGTTTTATTGAATAAACACATTTTTTTTTTAATCCATTAAATGTATTGATTAGATGGCAAAAACTGACTTTCTCATGTAAAAATATCGTACTACCTTAACAAATTGATTCTGTTATATGTATTTGCAGAAAATCCCTGATATAATATAATTCAATATAATATAATTTTAATTAAAAAGGGCAAATATCAAGCTACACTGAAAAATCATATGATCTTCAATCACTTGAGGTTCGAAGTTGTTGGGGGAAATTTCTAATTGAAAAAATTTAATTTTAATTTAACTCAAACCATGAAACAATTTATGAAAGTTTGAATTTATCAATTATTCAAAATTAAACTTTTCACGCCGTTTTTTTTTTTTATCATAACGACTTGATTTCACCCAGATGGTTTTTTTTTTAACTACTATCGAGTTTCAAATTGAATTTCATAAAAATCGGACAACTATATTATATCGCTGCCATAGGAAAGATCGAAAAATCTATATAGAAATAACGGAAATAAAATGATGGCTTAAAGTTTTCTAATGACTCTTGAATTTCGTATTGAATTTCTTAAAAATAGTCAAAGATTCGATGTTGGCCAGTCTTTATGAATTTTGTTCGATATATTTGATGTCTACAAGGGTATATAGCTTTCTTTCTTGTTTTCGATCTTTCCTATCAAACATAACAAAGCTGATATTCCAAACAACATCCTTGTGTAATAAAAAACAATGACGTTATAATTTTTATTTCATTATTTTATATAGATTTTTCGATCTTTGTCATGTCGGCTATATAATAGAGTCATCCGATTTTCAAAAAATTTAATTTGAAATCGAAGAGTCCAATGAAACGTAACTACTTTATGGAGTCCCAATGTGTCTCTCTCACTGGGTTGCAAACTTCTGAATGAAATTAATTAATTAATTAAGCAATTAATTAAGCAATTAATTAATTAATTAATTAATTAATTAATTAATTAATTAATTCACTCTGCAAGGGTATAAAAAAAACATGAATATTCTTTTACATAAAAAGTTTTAAAAAAAGTTGTCATCACAGTTCTCACGTAATTGATAAATTTAAGTTATATGAAGGGTTATTTAAAACGACTTTAATTTAATATTCATTAGATAAAAATAGATTAACTTAAAAAATACTTTGCTTATAGCGAAAAACTTAGTTAACATTTACAATACAGGGGTGTACTGAAGGGAAAATAGTACAAGTGGTTGAAGAAAAGTGGTGGTTATAGTAAAAACACACTAGTCTGAGTGTGTTCACCTGAAAGATAATGAGTGTGTACTAAAATAGGGTTGTTGCTGTGACCTTACTGGAAATCGAGCCATTTGTGGACATTATTTGGTCGGCAATAGTCGGCTCAAAGGAAACTAAAGCAGGTATGACTACTATATATGCTTTTCGACCACCCGAGCACCATTTCCATTTCGACCCTATAAGCCCGAGAGAACTATGTAGCTGTACCTCCTACAAATATTTTCTTGGGTTTATAGGAAAATTGGGGTTGCTTATAGACCAGTTATACAGGTGCAACGGCCGAGGGCACTTCAACTTAGTCAGTATTAAACTAACTTAAATAACAGTCCCAACTAAATTTAATGTGTATGGTCGCTTAACCGCTTATCATTGATTATCAGGTAAGTATTTTTAAGGAAGGAATAAAATACATTTTTTTTAGCTTTGAATTTAGTATTTAATAAAGTTGGACATATAATGACTCATCAACAAAAATCCCCTAGCTCTAAAATTTTAAATTACGCTCAACTGAATTTGTTCTGTGGAAAAATATTTATAGTTTAGTATAATTTTTTTTAGGACTTGATCGTATTAATTTAGCCCATGGCGAAAGCTTTGCACAATTGTTTTTCCGTAATTCTTTGTAAAATTTGTTACGAATATATTTGATAACGAACTGCGTATATAAAATGCTTAACTGATTTTTGCTTTGATATATTTACAGAATTTAATGTAAAATATACTTGATCTACGACTATCAATATCCGAAATTACGTCGTTTACGGGTACACACTTGTTATAAAAAAAAATCAAAAAAATCAATCAGTCACTGCTTTAGCAATATTTTCAGTCGAGGGTATAAAACATCGGTTTTCATTTTAGGTTTTTTTTTCATGTAAACATTTTTTATTAATTTTCTTGTGAAAATAAAAGGTTTTGTAACTTCAGTCGGAAGTTTAGATACACACTTAACAAAATGATCAGCGGCACCATCTTAATAAATCTGTCCCTTTCTACGAACCCAAGCCTCTCAGTTTTTAAGCTATCTTGCAGATAGTATATATGTCGGATAATCAGAGAAATCAGAAAAATAATGGAAAAATATTTTACATCTTTGTTTTTTAGTTTATAGCATGATTTTGTGGATATGCTGTTGTGAGAGACTCTTGAAAACCATGTAACTCTCATAGGAAATTGAAAAAATGTAATTTAAAAAAGTGTACGTTTTTAAAAACCTCTTGAAATACAAATCGAGTGCATCAACAAGTCAATCTATATTTTCCGAGATCGCGATTTGCCGGAGAAAATTGAACTTTGTTAAATAAGTACTATATTGTACACCATTTTGCTAATTCTGTGTTTATCGGGTCTAAAAATCTTGTTAATATAGATTTCTGATGAGTCCAATTGTTTCATAGACTGAAGTTCTAACTGAAGTATGTATGTATAAGCTCTGGCCCACCAAAGTTTGCTTTCTAAATAAAATAAAAATATTATATTAGGCAATAAAGCCACATTTTTTAATACATTGAATTTCGCAAAAAAGGATGCTTCACCAAAAAGGGTCTTACTCTTCAAAAGTTTACAAGATTCAAAGCTGGTAAGGGCTCAAAGTTAAAAAAATGCGGCTACTAAAACTAATTAAGTTTTTTTTTAATGAAGTTTAAGCTTAATGAAGTTCTCCAAACTAGTAGCTGAGCTCGTTTTTGATCAAAATGAAATAATATTTAATTCATTTATACTGAAAAGCCGTTATGAAAGCTTTAATTTTTTTTTTATTATAGATTATGACAGAAAACCTGACCTCATTGATTAAGAGCAGTGCTTTAATAATGATAAATAAAGAGGTGAAGCCTTCCCAACAAAGTGGAGATGACTCCGATGAAGAGCGTGAGCTAACCAACCTCAACTGGCTGTTGCGGAGTCAGAATTTAACTTGGCCCAGAAGCACTGATTTGAACGCCGATGAAAACTTGATTACAAGCTCAGCAGAAAAAACGAATCTGAGAAGAATTGTAAGTTCGAAACAACCTTGCAATAGAGGTGAAAAGACAGTTCAAAGGTCACAAATATTTTTGGAGTCCAAAGTACATAGGGCAACACCAAACCGGCCAACTCCATCCGAACGCTTTGATATATTTGTCAACAAGGTTAAAAGGTAAACAAATTTTTAGTTATTTTTTATTATTCTTGCGTATTATAATGATGCAGTTATTTATTTATTTATTTTTTTTAATTATGGTATTTAATTATCGAACCTTCTCTTGATGAGACTAACGACAAGTATTCAATTCTTAGCCTAATACATATAATTAATTAATTAAAATTAAGTAAGACGGCCCTAGCTATTGTTACTGGGTGGGGAGATCTCTTCGCCGGAGTCGTGTGTGGCTAGTGTTCCACGTTAAAGACCGCGCCAGCCTGTTTGGATGAGCATATAACTTGATCTTAACTTTGCTTTTACTCTGTCGATTTCCTCTTTAACAGATTCCACGTTAAGTCCTTGTGAGTACTTTTGATTGGGCTCTCTGGATCACTTCTAGATTACTAACGCATGCGTTCCCCCATAGCTCGGAGCCATACTTCCAAATTGGTTTGAGAAGTACATTGTACAGAAGTACCAGTGTAGGCTTCTTGCTTTTAATTTCAGCTGTGTTCTCTTGGCTTCGATGTGCCTTCTCCAGGTAAGCCGTCTATCAAGGTGGACTCCAAAATACGTTACTTCCGTTGTTTCTGGAATATGGATGTTGTTCAGAGATGGTGGGGGGCAAGTTTGTCTATTACGGGTAAAAGTAACGTGTTTGTACTTTTGCTCGTTAACCTTTATGCGCCAATCTGCTAGCCATTTCTCCAAAAGCCCGAGATGAGCTGATAGATTTTGAGTTGCTCTCATGGGGCACTTAGATCGACTTAGAATGGCAGTATCATCAGCAAATGTTGAAGTTATTGTAAGGCCGGTTGTCGGAAGGTCTGCTGTATAGATTATGTACAGCGTTGGTCCAAGCACGCTTCCTTGAGGTACTCCAGCTTCGATTGGATGGTAATCGGAGAGGAAATCTTTCAAATGTATTTCGTATCTCTGAGGTTATTCGGTTTACTTGTTCAATGGTTTTGAGTTTCTCGCGGAAACCGAATTGGTGGCTTGGGATGGCATTGTGGGACTGCAGGTGTTCTATTATACGATTCAAGAGAAGCTTTTCAAATATCTTTGATAGGCACGGCAGAAGACTGATTGGCCTATATGATGAAGGCTGGGACTTCTCCTTTCCAGCTTTATGGATCATAGTGATGACAGACTTTTTCCATTGTTGTGGATAATAGCTCCATTTCATCATGCTGTTGAATATCGTGGTGAGAAGATTTACTGCACAGCTCGGCAATTCCATAATCATTTTAGGGGAGATTAGATCGTGTCCTGGCGCTTTCTTTTTTTCCTGAGCCTCGATCACTCTTGTCACTTCTCTTGATTCGAATGTGATAGGCAGGGTAGCCTCTGGAGTGATGTTTGTTGGGAGCACAAAGCTGTTTGTTGATGGAAGCGGTTTGAAGACGTTGTCCAGATGCGCAGCAAATACATTCGCCCTCTATTCGTTGCTGCGAGCCCACTCTCCTGTTTGTGTGTGTAATGGCGATTCGCTTTCGATTGGTGGATATCGTCTACTGTTAGAGGAGAGATTCTGCTAATGGAATAATTGAGATCGATTATTTTTATCTTCTAGGGCTGTGCGTAGCAGATAGTTGCCTGTTTTAAGCCACTCCTTCGAGGCAGGCGATCTGTGGGCTTGCCACTTCCTCCGAAGCCGATATAGTAGGTGTTGAGTGTTGAGCAGCTAGTGACATAAAAGACACTAGTGCTGCAACTGAGCTGTCAATCTCTTCTTTTTGGTGCATGTTTGGGAAACCATCAATATGGGTACTTACATACTTTCTGTATTTAAGCCAATCTGTTTTACTGGAAGTTAGAAGATGTGCTCGTTTAGAAAGCTATGGATGGTCGTAGAGAAGAATTAAAATGGGCGAGTGATCCGATGAAAGATCTGATAAGTGTTCCACATGAACATGACCTCTAGGCACTCTTCTTGTGACGGCAAAATCCATCAGGTCAGGCTTCTTGTTAGGATCTGTTGGCCAATATGTAGGCTTACCTGGGCAGATAAGTCAAGCTTGTTTCTTGGTGTTATTAAAGCGTTGTACAGCTGTCTTTCTTTCGGGGTCGGGGGACGGGCATTGGGCACTCCACGGCTGTTTTTGTGATGCGCCGCTTGGGCATAATAAGGCGGGAGAGAGCGAGCGTGCTCTCTCCGTACTCACTTTTAGTGTTGCAGTTGTTGTCGGTTCCAACTCTTCCGCTCTTAGAGAGCGAGCGTGCTCTCTCCGTACTCACTTTTAGTGTTGCAGTTGTTGTCGGTTCCAACTCTTCCGCTCTTAGAGAGCGAGCGTGCTCTCTCCGTACTCACTTTTAGTGTTGCATTTGTTGTCGGTTCCAACTCTTCCGCTCTTAGAGAGCGAGCGTGCTCTCTCCGTACTCACTTTTAGTGTTTCAGTTGTTGTCGGTGCTAACTCGTCCGCTCTTATGGAGAAGTAAGCGTTGTTTCTAATTGACGAGAGCCGACGTTCGTCTTGTTGTTGTTGCCGAGCCTTGCTCATTATCGCTCTTCGTTACAGAGCTGGTGCTCTTAAACGCTGGCTTTGTTTATGATCAGCTGTATTATTGTTTGTTTTCGTAATTTGAACACAACTTGAAATAATTCCATAGGCAACACGAGTACATGTACCCATGCGTTACCTCAGCGTCTTTTCGCGAAATGGAATTCGGCTATTTACGATGTATTTTTAATTACACGGCGGAGCGATATAAAAAAACCTCTGTTCTGATTTTTTGTTTTTTTTTTCAGGGATTTGACAGAGTATGAAAAAATGGCAACTAAGTATGAATCAGATGACTCGGAAAAACCTCCTTTTAACTATTCTCATATAATTGGAATGGCAATGCTCAAAAATGGACGCGTAACATTGCAACAAATATGTGCATGGATAGAAGATAAGTTTGCTTTCTTTAGAGGACGCAAAAAGTGGAATGTAAGTAATTATTAATTAATTATTAATTAAGCTAATTAATTTGAATTTTTTTCCAGAACTCCATAAGGCATAACTTATCATTGCACCATTGCTTTCGCAATCGAAAAAGAGAGGAGAAGGGGAAAGGCGGTTACTGGGAGCTCGGTGTTGACCCAAAAAAGTGCGACAAAAAGCGCATTCGTAACAGAAAATTAGGTCACTCAAAACTAAATAGGTCTTCTAAGTGCCATAGTAACACTGATCAGCTTTCACATAAACAGCCTTACTTATCAAGGTTTGGCAAGGTGGATAAACAAAGTATGATTGCAGAAAATTCTTTAAAAAATTCGTCTACGTGCACTAAAATTGAAAACGGCGAGTCACAAAACAAAAGAACTGACCATGAGAAAAGTAAAGTGCATTTTGAAAAGTTAACACCGCGTATCGAGGAAGAAAATGTAATAAAAAAGGTTGAGTGTGACCAAGTTAAAAAAAGCCCTGCAGAATATATTTCTGCAGCTCAAAGCCTCAATTGCTTTATCTCACACAATGTCGACAGTAACAACACGGTAAGACCATTATATATATTTTATTTTATTTATATATATTTTATAGTTTTAACACAATAAAACTGACACTTTATCAAAAGTTATCTAAAAAGGGCCCAGATCGAACGACTATATCCAATAGCTCCCCTAGGAGAGACCAAAAAAATAACGGGAAAAAAATTATTATTACAAAATAACTTTTTGATGACTGTATCATATAAAGGAAAGATCGAAATATCTACATATATAATACAGTAGAATCCGCTTATAGCGACCTTCAAGGGACCGACGATTTTTCGTCGTTATACCCGGAAGACGCACTAAGCAGAAGGATTTAAGTGTATAAGTCTCTCTGGGGACCAATCAAGCCATTGAGTTTTCGTCGCAATACCTGGACGGACACTATAAGCGGAGTCGTTATAACCGGATTCTACTGTATAACGAAAAGGAAGCTTGCTTTGGCTCGCCGAAGCAGTCATCACAAATGTCGAGCAAAGTGCATAAAGACATCGATAACATCGATGTAATGACGAATTTGTGATGATAGCTTTGTGATATAGATGCCCGATTTTCATAATATGTATTTATATCTATCTACATCTTATTTTATATCCAACAAATCTTAGCTTTTTCCTATGGCAGGCATATGAGACAGTTTTACATGATTCAAGGCAGGTTAAGATACTTGACACTTAAAAAAAAACACGCCGTTATCATTTATTTTCCAGTAATCCTATCGAAATTTTTCGATATAGTTGTCCTATTTTTCTTCAATTTTTTTTTAAGATTTAAAGCGAGTTAAAACTTAGTACTAAAAAAATCATGGCCATGTTATTAAAAACAAAGACGTTATCATTTTATTTCCATTAATTCTATATAGATTTTTCGTTTTCTACTACGGCATCTATATGTTATTTCAATTACATTTAATTCAAAACGCATTTTGAATCACAAAAAATCTGAGTAAATGATTGGGTATGATTGAAAAAATGTGATATGTATCGTTGTTTTTTATCATGATTTTTTTGATTTACAGTTTTCAAACGACTCTTGAATTTTAAACTAAATCTCATAAAAATCGGATGATCCTATTATATAGCTGTCATAGGAAAAATAAAAATATTGAAAATTAATTTAAAAAATCGACATATCCCCTATGCATTTCCCTACACATTTGTGATGACTGCAAGAGTATATAAGTTTATTGTTTTGACAAGACTAAACTTAACCAACTAATTAATTAGTTGATTATATAAAATCCTATAATGAGCTACGCTAGCTTGCTCACTTATTTCCAAAATAAAAATAGTATTACTACAGCTTTTGATAGATCAAATGTGGCCAGGACTGAGTTATTATTGTAACTTTATCAGATGATTAATGACGTAATATGTATACAAAATGTTTTTATTTAATTACAGCAGATTTCTGGAGACGATTTCTCTATATTTAATGTAAATTCCGATCTGACACCAGTGCTTGCATCAACTTCAACCGCAGTAGAAGACCAAATTATAACCACTCCCATCCATCCATGCAATATAATAATTAATTATGATTGCACCAACTTCCGACCACTACTGGACAGCATTGATGAACAGTATCAATACCTTCAGAACGACGCCGAATATAGTCGAAACGATGACACATTAGATAACATTCTTGATGTTTGTATTTCTCGCTATTAAAAATTAAAAGTTGTTTAAGCTTTAATACTGATCTTCCCTTTTTTGTACTTTACAACAAAGCTTCATTTCTTGTTGTTATACTTATGCCATTCGTGTAGAAAAAAAAAAAAAAAAAAAAAAATAGGGAATCTGCGTAGAGTGTAACAATTTGTTCTTACACTTTCGAAACCAACGATCTTGCTCTAACATACTCATCTGTCTCGGGAGTCCTTTTTAATTTAAGCTCAGCAACAATTTTCTGAATTTTCTTATCCTGCCGTTGTATAGAAAATAACCAATCAGATTCGTGAGTCTTTCAAATTTTAAGGCATGCTGTGTCCATTTGTCGAGTATCCTCGAATGGAGCTCGACTTAGTGCGTGACAGCTGCTAGTGCCTCTAATTCGTAACTGTGGTAGTTCTTCTCCGGTTTAGAAGTAGCTCGACTATAGAAGCGATTGGTTTCAGCTGATCCTTTACACGTTATAGCAGTTCTTTGCCTTGCAGAGCAAAGGTGCTGTAGACCTGATCTGCCAAGTCCGATGATCGCTGCTTCAATAAGCTGGTACCGCTCTCCAATGGCTGACATCCTGAAACAGTATTCCTTGACCGTCTCCTTATGTCGTCTGGTTGCATTTGCCATCTTGAAATGCACTTCAGCTTCATCTGGGCTTGCTTCGAACTCTTTCTATATACTTTCTGCGAAACTGTTCCTGTGGTGTGTAAAACTGATGATAAATCAAGCAATCAAGCACGATCAATGAACTGGCTAACGGGATCAAAGTTGACATACTTTGATCACAGTAATGAAAATAATAAATTAAACAATAAATCGAAGGCTTTTCGGACTTTTTGTAAAGAGGTCCCATTTGCTAGGACTTTTCTTATGTTGAAGTACCTTCCTATTTCACGTGGAACAATAAAAACTTCGAAGGAGAAAAGTCTGTAGTAATGACCAGGCTAACGTGGAGGTAAAATGGTTCAATAATTCGATTTGGCTTTTGCACAGAATAGACTTAGGGGCAATTCGCTCTTTTAGACAGTCTTTTGTCTTCAATTTTTTTTTCATTACCACTGCATCGACTACGCCAACTTTTGCGCATTCGTAAAAAAAAATACCTTTCCCAAAGATGTGTGCTGTTGGCCCCTTGAAAATGTACTAACATAACAGCAAATAAATTAAGCAATTCAATAAGCGATTTACATAAAACTGCTTGATCTGTGAAGTACAATTTAAATATTACAAATAAAAAAGAAGAATTCACTTTTTTCGGTTTTATGGTATACCATTACCTCCAGAAAAAACCTGGTCACCTTTCTTCCTTGGTGTTTCTTTGTTGTCCCACTTAAAATAGCAAGGTACTTTAACATAAAGAAAGGAACTTGCCCATAGTTAGAGTATACGTCATTCCCTCAACAACAAATATTGGCCAACTAATATTAAAGCGGTCTCATCCTTGCCACTAAACAAATTTAAAGAAATCGAGCTGGATTTTTAGAAAATTGGAAAACTTTTAAACCAAATGACAAACTTGAACTGGTACTTTAATTGTAGGCATTCTATCACTAGTAAACTAGGAAGCCATTAAAAACTTTTTCAACAGAAGGTTTCAAATAAAGAAATTGACGGTTGATTCGTTGAAATACTTAGAAGAGGATGTGATCATGTGTTGAATGGTGTAAACTAGACTTCCCCATCTTTGCAAAAGATACCTTACATAATTGCTTTTCTGCCAAAATTAAAGGGTTGTATACCTTTTTCTCCAGAGAAATACAGGGTTTTATTTATTTTTTTTTAGCATGTTAGCATTGTTTTATTTAAATACACTACAAATTTTATCAACGTACGTGTCCTTAAGTAAATTCGTATAAAATTTCGAGTGAAAATTTTCATAACTGTTGAAGTTATAGTCCTTGCCGCAGAAGTCCTGAAAACTGAAAAAAAACTACGTTAGTATATAGTGTTACCTAGTTCGCCAACGAAGGATTTTACGAAAAAAAAATTTTTACAGTTACAGTGATTTTTATACCCTTGCAGAGCAAAGGGTATTATAATTTTAGTCAGAAGTTTGCAACGCAGTGAAGGAGACCTCAGACCCTATAAAGTATATATATTCTTGATCAGCATCACGATCTCAATCGAAATCCGTCTGTACGTCTGTCCGTCTGTCTGTTTCTCTTCAAACTAGTCTCTCAGTTTTAAAGCTGTCGTGCTGAAACTTTCCGAAAAGTTGTGTAGTTATTGCACGCAGTAGGTATATAAGTCGGAACGAGCCGGATCGGCCGACTATATCGGATAGCTCCCATACGAGAGATTGAAAAAAAATTCTCACTCCGTTGTTTTTGATCGGATCGACTTGATTTCTTCCATTTATTTTTCGATCCTTCCTATGGCAGCTATATCATAGAGTTGTCCGTTTTTTCATAAAATTTAATCCGAAATTCAATAGTAATTAGAAAACGCCATCTGGAAGAAATCAAGTCGATCTGATCAAAAACAACGGCGTAAGATTTTTTATTTCACTCTCTTGTATTGGAGCTTTCCGATATAGTCGGCCGATAGGAAAGATCGAAAAATCTATAAAGAAATAACGGAAATAAAATTATAACATCTTTGTTTTTAACGGACAATCATGATTTTTGGAGTATAGAGTTTTCTAATGAGTCTTGAGTTTCAAATTAAATTTTATAAAAATCGGACGACTATATCATATGGCTGTCATATGAACAATATGGAAAATGAATAGAAAAATCGTCATAGCTTCGATTTTGTTTAGCCTTAATGTATTTTGTTTGACGTATTTAAGGACTGCAAGGGTATAAGAGCTTCGGCTTGCCTAAGCTAGCTTCTTTTGTTGTTAACTTTAAGGTTCAACTAAATTCAAATAGTCAACACCAACCCCCATAGCCATAATTTTGATTTTTACTTTTAAGCTTTTTTACCATTTGGAGTAAAGGGCAATTGTTTTTCCTGGAGTTTTCGTATTATTTATTTTAGTTTATTTTTAGTTTAAGCGATATCCCTCGATCGGTATATTACCTATTATGGTAAGACCATCCGTCGGACTTTGAATTTTGCAGCTATTTATGTAGTCGCCGTCGCAAACTCTCTCGTTGCTCTTCGTCACTACGTGTAATAAGACTTTGAAAAATAACTTGTAACCTTTAAAAATAGGCCTACAAATATCGGTTATAGTTTTGAGTTGAAAACTTTAAAAGTACCACTGCTTAAAGTGTATAAGGTGAAATATGATGTCGACTAGTTAATAAATGGGAGCTGCTTAATTTAAAAAACCAGCCAAACCACATTTGTAAGGTTCGACTGCAGAGCATCAACCGGATGGGTCTGTTATTGTGTCAGGGAAATCAGTTATCTGACTTTCGTTTCTATAGATAGACCTGCGTTCCTCTTTTCCGATTTGATTACAGTTATATCCGGTTACACAATTTATAAAACAAAATAAGAAGAAACAATCACACACATCTGACCTGAATCAGATGAAAAGTTACTGTTTTAAATAAATCTACAAGTGGTTTTAATCATAGCTCGTTTTAAAGGAGACAACAATGCTACAGCCACGCAAAACCCACAGGATAATAAGCCCCTGCCTGAGAAACCACCTTTCATTTCAATTCAGAACTAGAATGGTCATAACTCTCTTAAATATACTTATTTTAATTACGGTCAACACTGCAGCTTCGCAAACAAGCAGTAAGTATACTTCGCTTTGTGTTTTGTAGTGGCTCTTAAAATAAGAAAACATGGCAATTAGCGTGACGAAATAAATAATACTAATGGGTTTAACACTTTTACTTAAATCAGCTTTAAAAGATTGTCATAAGGTTATAACATCTTGTGTTAGTATTGTAAAAGACTATCAGCTTTAAAAGATTGTCATACAGTTATAACATCTTGTGTTAGTATTGTACAATTTCAGTAACGTGTTTGTATGTATTAGTATCACGTATTCACTTTTAACGGGCTACTTGCGATGTCTAAACAAAAAAAACCAGTTTTACTGGTGCTGTGCCTGAATTCTGTGTTTGGAAGAAGGAAACCAATATTTGGCTGGCCAAAGCTTATATACTCTTTAGGTCATTCAAAATTAATTAATATTAAAATAAAAGCAATAAATGAAAAAACTAACAATGTGCATTCCAGAAACGTTTTTAGCAAAATAAAACAGATTATAAACGTTTTTATATTAAATATTTTAAGCACTTACAGACTCTGGCACAATACCAATTAAGTTAAATATTAAGTTATTTAGTTAAATAAAACATTTTAATATTTTTGTTACATTATTTTTATAATTATTAATTATTTTCTGATTTTACATTGGCAGTGTTAAAATAGGTATTTTAAGTAAGACTTAGTTATTGTTTTCCAATTACATAATTGTAGTTTTAAAATATTTATTAATATTTATTTATTATTTAATTATAAATAAAACTCATATTAAGCTAAGACTTTAAGCGTCTTAACATTTGTAGTAATTTTAAAGCCATGAACTTAAGCTCGCTTTCCTATCAGTTTGAATTTAAGCTTTATTCATACACAAAAGTGAAGCTTTTGAATGTTATAAGAAAACTTTAATATTAAAATTTGGATTTGGATTATTTTAAAAAACTGAAAAGATTTTTTTGGTCGGAAGCAGACGGTTATATTAGTGTTTTCCGAAACAAAAAGTATGCAGTAAAGTTCCAACAGTTAAAAGCTAAAAAAATGATTTTATATCAATTATATTCGCACCAAATATAAAACCGATAACTGTAAAGAGATTTTAAAGCCAAAAAGGCAAAACATTTTGTTTGTTAAAATATACAAATATCTATATTTGAACAGCTACTTAGGGCTAAGTTAATCCAACTTCAGGTTGCTCAGGCCATAAACCTGGTTGAAAACCGATCTCCGCTTGATATCCGGCAATCCTTCAACGGCGATCCGGCAATCCGTTCTCGTGAAATCTTGACCAGAGCTTCAAAAGAACGCGGTTCCCAAATGGGCAAATCAGACAGCGTTTTGTTGTTGAGTAAAATATCAGATCGAGCCAAGCCCTCCTTAAAGGTTTCCAGACCAACTCCTGTATCAGGATCTTCTTTAGTGTGTTCTCTTATGATTCTCACTACGAACTGACTCGCTGCTCGCAGGCAGCTAGCTTTCAACCCCCGTTTATGCTTAGCTTCTTACTCTCTCGAGAGAGCACATCCTCTCTCGAGAGATCAGAAGTGTGACCAGCGCTTACAATATAATCTAATAATATAAAATAATGATATTAATAATATAAGTTAGCATACATAATTAATACCCAGCCTGTTACACTCCGTACTGCTGACATCCCGGCTCCACTCGTGTGGTCCACAGTTGCGCCATGTCCAGTTCCTTCAGCTTTCGTCCTTTAGAAGCGTACGCCAATGTCCTGTGAACGCTCCTAACCGCGAAGGAGTAGACATTGCGAGTGCGACTTCTGTAATGCTAAAGGAAACATGTGTATTTGTGGATTTGTTATTATTGTGAATGGAGTTGTCCGATTTTTGCTCAATTCGTAGGATTAAACACAACGACGTTATAATTTTTTTTTTATTATTTATTATTTAATATATATATTTTTCGATCCATCCTATGGCAGATATATGATAGATTATCCGATTGATAAAATTTAATTTGAAATTCAAAAGTAGTTAAAAATTTAGGACGAAATCAAGTCGATATGACAAAAAACAATGGCGAGGGAAGTTTTTTTCTTAAGACTTATTTCCCCTTCCGACTTATATACTGCAATAACTACACAGCTTTTGGAAAAGTTTTAGCAATATAGGACACAGCATGTTGGACGGGTGGTGTTTTTAACTACTATCGAATTACGAATTAAATTTGATCAAAATCAGATAACTTTATCGTTATTATTTCTCTTCAAACTAGTCTCTCAGTTTTAAAGCTATCTTGCTGAAACTTAACAGAAAGTTGTGTAGTTATTGCATAGAAATAAAATATATTGCCTAAGTAAATAACTATTTTTTGAACCCCATGCTGGCCCGAAAGCCACCTTAGTTGCCTTTATCTAAAGGGGGCTGCCTTTCTGTCCGTTTGTCATCCTATCTCTCTTTCCGGACGATATTGGCTTGTTGTTTTATTTTTGCACGCAAGAAAATTCAATTGCGTAAGATATAAATAAGCACCCATAAGCTGCTGCCACAGAACATCACAACAATTGCCGACTAGTTAGAGCCGGAACAACGCGTGAGGGCTTGCAGTTTGGGATATCATCTGCTTACCGTTTACCGTTTACCGTTACATAGCTGTAAAGAAGAAGATGGGAATAAAACGGTTAACCAAATTCTGCTCCCGCACGGCACTACTAAGAAATACATATATAACAGGATGTAGGCCGTACTGGCAACTGTTAGCTCCAGCCAAAAAAAAAAAAAAAAATCAAAGCAAGTTACTACTAGGGTCAAAGTGAGTCAACAGATTGCTGACGGCAGAGTGATGGTCGTTGTCGCAGTTGTTTTATTAAAAAAGTCACTGGAATTTAGATAACGTATACATATTGTATCAGGATCTTCTTTATTGTGTTCTCTTTTAACTTTCAATGCGAACTGACTCGCTGCTTTCAACCCCCGTGTATGCTTAGCTTCTTACTCTCTCGAGAGAGCACATCCTCTCTCGAGAGATCAGAAGTGTGACCAACGCTTACCATATAATCTAATAATATAAAATAATGATATCAATAATATAAGTAAGTATACATAATTAATACCCAGCCTGTTACAATATTTAGATGCCCGGTTTGCAAGGCTTACACTTGTAATATTTAACATGCATCACAATATCCTAGATATTAAATAAGAATTAAACTTTACAAAGTATACTTTTGTCAGTAATACCTTGGAAAATATTTTATAACGGTTTTCTTGTGGCAAACATCTTTTTGCGCTTACCCAGAGCTTGAACTTGATCAACTAAGTAATAATACAATTTTGTTTTACAGATCAGCCTTATCTAGTGAGTCCGACACCAACATTGCCAGCCAAAGTTGTTGACGGTAAGAATTATGAGGCAACCGTGTTCCCAAGCCATGTTTAATATCGTAATTTATATATCTATCTTGTTTTCTTATTTAAAACTGATTTATTTAAAACTTTTTTATACATTTTCTTCATTTCTTTCTATGATTTCACCATCTTTTGGAATTTACATTCTGGAAATATTGACTAACACAAACCTTTTAAAATATAACTGCTCAAAATAATATTATGTATATATTTATATGTTGTTCACTATTCCTTTTTTTTTGTACTTTATTACCATACCATTGATATAATGCTTTATGAATATGAAGATATAACAACAGTACTCTTGCTAAATAATGAATCAGGACATGTGGGTGATATTCATGGACGGTTCCTGACAGTACGTCCAGAAATAGGTCTATTGACATCGACAGCCAGGACATTTATTCAGGATGGAATAACAACAGAGTTTGCCACAAAAATTGTAGGGACAACTTTGAGTAACGGTCGGCTCTACGCACAATATATCAAAAAAAGTTCGAGAGTTCTTTTTGAAAATGAGCATTTGACTCCATCTGTGGTTACAAGTTGGGTGGGTGAAAGGGCCTCTCAGCAGACCCCACAATTTCTACAGAGCCACAATGACCTTTTCAACTCTGATGATGCCGACTGGCAGAATGTCGATGACAACCTTGGCGTTCAACAGGTAGAATTCGTAGGCAACACGGATTTTATTACGCCACAAACTACAATAGTTAAATACTCTATGACACCTGCCCTAAAAGAAAACAAGCCTATTACTTCTTTAGAATCTGTAATCACCAGCAATGACACATTGAACTTTAACTTAAATGGAATAATTGAAAAAAATAAATTGATAAGTGATAAAGTGTTTTCAATTACAAATTTGAAAACATATACAATTAAAAGCAATATCGAAGATATTCCGAATTCTGCATTCCAGGAAAGTGCTACCGACTCTTACGCTCTCAGAGAAGAAAGAAAATACGAAATGCTTAGGCAACCAAGTCAAGGGCATCAAAGTCTTTCTACCCAAAAGCCTTTTTTAGCCACTGTAACATATTACGGATTCGCAGAATTTACCACCATCGTCGGCGATAGTGTTATTGTTTTTTCCCCCAGCACTTTGGAAAGCAGTATGCACTTCGGACAAGTTACATCCATTAAAGGCAATCCGACGTTACAGCCTGACTTTATTCACGACTACCACAGCCAAAATGTAGAAATAACACAGAGTTCATTAGAAACAGTAGAAACCCTTGAACAAATAGAATTGTTAAGCAAGAAGTCAAGTCTTGGGTCAGACATAAGTGCTTTTACAATTGAAAACCAATCAAACGATATTTTAACTCCACAGTCAACTGCATCCTTAGAAACCAATTTTAAAAGTTTATTAGTAGAAGAGGCAGCTGGAAATATTTTAATACCAGATGTTCTCTCGAGTTCCACTGCAAAAAATGATCTCAAATCAGAATCTACCAACGATAACAATAACCTTGAAAAGCTAGAAGGTGCAAAAACTGTATATATTGATGATGATCCATTCTCTCGATTTGTTGAGCTATCTGATTCATCGAGCTCAAAGTCTGAAGCCACTGACCAGGACAGTACACTGAACTATATTCACTTATCCAATAACGAAGATATCAAAAATGGGACATTGAAAACTAGTACTGTTGATTCTGACATAAAAAACATGCATAGTTTGACTGAAGAACCAATTGTTGGTACTGGGAATATATATGATACTAACATAAAAGACACTTGCAGCCATACCACGTCACAAGTGTTTCTTACTCAGATGCCCAAGCCAGTTCAAACAAGCAATGGAAATATCGAGCCCATTGCTATTAATGATAATCCTCTTTTATCTTATGATATTGTAGAGACTACTAAGTTCTATTGCATACAGGCATCAAAAGCGGAACAAGAGTCTGGGCTTAGTACGATTAATGAGTCACATGAGACCGTCACAGAGTCCAATGGAGAGTTGATGTCCACTGAGTTAATAGATGATGTAGATGAAACCACAGTTCGAGGCACTGATGATTACGATGTGACAACAGAAAATGAATATGAAGGCGAGGATGATGATTACGAAAATAATGCCGATGATGTTGACTTAATATACAAAACTTTGTATACAACTTACACATATTTGACAACTTTCTTTGAAGGGTCCAGTTCTACCGTAGCTAGCCACACTGAGATCTTAACAAACATTGTTTCCTCAACATTAGGTGCTGAAGGTGAACTAAAATCAAGCAACCTTGAAGGCCAATTTGAAAAGGCTTCAATTGTATTGCCTAAGTATACTATACCTCTCGACATAGCTGGTCTGTTGACTAAGAAAAGTACACAAAATGATACTGAAGTCGAAAATACTATATCGACATCAACTTCCAATTTCGATGACTTAAAATACAGTAAGACTTTGTTTACAACTTATACATACTATACATCGATTTTTAAGAATAACGATACTGAAGTCCAATCACGAAGCGAGATAGTCACGAATTACATTACAGACGAAATGCCAAACTCTCAACAAAATATTATCATTTCAGGAGATTCGCAAACGTCTGACCAAAGTTTCTTAAGCTCTCAAACACTCTCTGATGTAGACATGTCTCTTGGAATGGAATTAAAATCAAGTAGCTCAAATTATACAGCTTCAGATCTTTCTATTACAACAAATTCCCTTGAAGACCAAGTGAGCTCCGAAAGCAACACAGAGGAAATAATACCATCAGCTACTTTTCTTCTCCAGACAAGTTTTACAACGTTTACTTTTTATACAACCATGTACGTTGGCGAAGACTCTAATATTATAAGTCGTCTGGAAACAGTAACCAATATAGCTACTGAAACTTTGAAACCTACTAAAGTAGTAGTAGATGACTCCTCTTTTCCTATTACCTATTTTACAACATTTACCTATTGGACTAAGTTAGCTAAAGATGGTGAAATAACTACACTTAGTAGAGAGGAAACGTTATCGAATGTAATCCAACCTACAAACGTCACCGAAATAGTTATTGATGACTCATCAAATACAGAAGTTGAAGCAAGTCAGTCAACTATAAGCACTAAGTCCGAAAGCAATAGTGACTATATTTCCAATTCGACTAATGCAGACATTCGATCAGAAACTACTACCTACTACACTACTTATACTTATTATACAACTTCATACGAAGTCAATAATACAATTATCGATTCTCGCTTCGAGACCGTCACTAATTTAGTGACTGCCGGGGAAGTCACAATTTCCGCCTCTACTTTAGATATGATGCCTAAGTCTAGTCAGTCTGAAAGTGCAACCGAAAACCCGATTGAAACAAAAGCAAAGAATGTAGTTTTATACGATTATAAACAAATTATTGATGCAGACGAGATAAGCACTTTGTATTTTACAACCGAAGTTTTATCTTCGCTAAATAGTGAAGGGCATGAAATAGAAATAACAAGTAGCTCCTCGAGATTGCTCGTTGACGAATCGAAAAAGGCTAGTTTAGCCACGATCTTAAGTAACACACCTGATAATAGCTTATCCAGCCTAAAGATGCACAAAACGGGCTTAGTACGGCTTATTGAAGGCAAACGCGTTCAAAACAGTACGACTACACTATACCAATCAAAAGTTATTGGAACTGTTATAGATAATCGATATGCCCAAATCATTGAGAGTACATCAAGTTTTTTCTTTGAAAAGTACACCCCCACAGACTATTTGGTCTCGTCCACCGTTCAAATTCCTGTGATGGCAACAGCAAATGGAAATTTCCTTAATTCAACGAACAACATCAACACTGAAAGTCAAGATGCAACAGTGTCTGACATAAAGGCAAGAGATGATCTTGGCACTGACGGGCTTGCACCACAAAATACTAAGCCATTATTCGCGCCTGTAATAAGGCCTTTTGCTTCCCGAAACAGGCCTACATTCGCACCAAAACAAAAAACTTTAGTCCCCAGCAGTGCTACCATAATAACAAGATCAGACATCACACCCACCATTACGGCGACTCCTGCTTTAAAGTCAGCCGGTAAATACAGCTCGTCACGCAGGGGTGTCATTTCGAATGCGCCAATTAACCCAAATGAGTTTCAGAGTTTGTCCCAGGGTCAGGCATCAAGGCGCCTATTTGGACGTCCAACAAAGCCACTATCAAATTCAGCCGAAGCAAATGGCACTCTACCCTTCAACATTGCATTTTCACCTTCAAAGAATCGCTTTGTTTCTTCTTCCCGTAATGTTGTTAGTTCCAGGCGACAAAGCATTAATTATCGATCATCAAATGTTCCTGGTTTTCGTGGATCTGGAATAATAGCCAATTCTAGGCTACGCATAAAACCAACTAACTCAGTGTTAGTGTCGACGCAGTCATTCAGCAAAGTGCCAAGTTCAGATAGTAGTTCTGAGGAAGAAAATTCCACAGATGAGATAAATGAAGAGGACGAAAGCCCTAAACATACTAACAACCCATTGACACGGTTCCGTCGACCTTTGAGTGGGCCCAATGCGTTTACGCCTGCAATAAGACAAAGTGCTGGAAACTCGCCAGCCGTTTCGCTCAGACGAAATCCTTTATCGACTCGATCCAAAACTTCGACTACAACAAGCAGCACAACAACAACGACGACCAAGCCCCGAACTAGAAGTTTTCAGAGACCTCTTCCATTTCAGTCAGCAAGGTCAAGACCACAAAACTCCCTTTTCCCACCACGAGGACTTTTCCAGTCTCTGAAAAAGGAAGAAAGCTCTAAGGAAGTTAAGCCAAACGATAGTGCGACTGAAAATGATCCTGAATACGTAGACGATGACGTAGGAAATGCCGAGGAATCAAGCCCGCAGGAAAATGTTTACCGCATAAAAAGGTCAGTTGGTACTTTGACTAACCCGAAACGTAATAGTAGAGTACGTCGTCAAGCAGATGCATTGAAAATAAGTAGATTTCGATTTCGTCGACAAAACCAAACAGCTACGTTGACTAAAGAAGATTCAAAGCTCTTCGGGCCTGAGGTTCGTACTGAAACCACGCCAACTTCGCGGGAAAAGATAAGTTCAAGATTCGGTTCAAGATTTCGTTCTCCACAGGGACAGCAGACAACATTGCTTGAATCAACCACAGTGGCCAATCATAAATCGATTCGACCGACAAGACCGATAACGAAGCGACCACAATTTACACTAAGAGAAAAAGATGTCACTTTAAAAGGGCCTTCACGTTCGAGTACAAGCAATAACTTTCGGCGTCAACAGGCAACTGGAAATGCCTCAATAAGACGTGCTGGTACCTCAAATACAGGTAATTCAAACAGCCGTAGGCTTAAAGGCTTGGTTAGCTATAACAACAAAAATAATGGAGATCACGGGCGACTCTCAAATGTGCAACGATCTCGAAGTTCAAGTTCTAATACACTGAACAGAGGGAGGAGTCGAGGTCGAAATCGGAACGAATTCTCTCCAGACCTGCAGTCCATAGAACACGAAGTTCACTCCATCACAGTTACACATTTCATACCATCTGAATTGACGATACCAGTTGTCAACGGACATGTCACCGAGTACAAAAACATAGTTACTGCCAAGGCAAGCACCGAGGTTGTTGGACCAGATGACTATATGCAAGTATTGGGGACAAACGGATTGAGTTCTATATACCTGAACAGAGAGATATCTAGTATAAATATTGCTGGTGCCACTGAACATACAAAGTATTTGCTACACGAATCCATCACAAGTTCAATAATCTTTACACCAACCACAATCCGCGGTAGAAAGACATCATTTTCGCATGTGGTTCCATCGACAGCCTATTCGGTAGAGTACCTGGTAACTACAATACAGCCTCAAATTCCTGATAATGCGCCGCTTGCCAACATCCTACTATCCCAGTTACTCTTGGGAAATCTAAACCTACCTGCTCAACCTATATTAGGTGCTGTTGGGCAGCTGACAAGTGCCACATTGGCACCCACATCAGTTGAGCCTGTAACTGAGTATCGCACCCACACATCCACCTACGTAACTACAATTTTCGATGGGAAATCGACTATTCTTCCAATAACCTTTCAAGGAAAAAAGATTCTAACTACCGTCTACGATACCACTGCACAAACAATTACAGCCACAGAATACAGCGTAGATACAATAGTTAATACTGTCCCATTGCCTTACAATACGCAGTCCATTGGACAGGCAGCTCAGGTGAACAATTTGTTGCTCCAACAGTTGCTCCTTCAACAACAACAAGATGGGTTCTCACTACCCCAAGCAGTATCGAAGACTGTATCGCCTCAAATATTTTTAAGTGAAAACCTACAGGACTTGGAAGAAGGTTCACGGTTATCAAAACAAACCGATGTCGATTTTGAAAATGATTCTGACTTTATGTCCATCAGCAGCGAGTCTCAACCCACTAAAAGCAATAGAAAGAAGTCGCGAAAAACCAGCTCTGGGCACAAGCGCAGTAAGCAAAGGAATGTAGCAGTGGAACCACAGGACCCCAGCGTAGTCACACTCTACGTGTCAGGACGAAGACCTGGTGAATTCAGTACTGTGTTGTCGACGGTGGGAAGCGAGTACGATCACTCAGCTGCCCTACAAAAGAGGGAAGCATTCTTTGAAATTCAACCAACTGTCACTTCGATGGACCATTACATTCAGTTTCCAAACACCGAAGAAATAGAAGATTTTCAGAAACATTTTTGAAGATCAAACGAAGTTGAGTTTACCAAGCGGTACGCAAAATATTGTTGTTAAAAATGTTAATTACCTTGGTATGTTCTGCACACGAATTAAATATATAATGTAAAGAATGAATTTTGGAAGATTCCCGATTACTAGTCAAAGATTAAACAAATATGAACTTAGAGTCTTCTGTTCACTCGTGCTCACACTTTCTTATTTTTCTTTAACACTGAGGAAACGAAATTGACATAATTTGTAAATTTACATGACATTATACGCAACTACAGTCGAATCCCGATAATTCGAACCCCGCTCAATCGAAAATCGCGATAATTCGTAAAAAATTCTGTTCCCTTGAAAAACAATCCCTTGAAAAAAATCTCGATAAATCGAATTCCCCTCTAATTCGTAAAAAAAGTGATCCCCTTGCCATTTCGAATTATCGGGACTCGACTGTATTACATTACATACGAAACAAGTTTGCCATTTGTTTTCTCCATACATAAAACTGCCATTTTACAAAACGTACGCTACCAGCGTTAGCGATTTTTCTGGAACTTTTCTTCAATTTATAAAAAAATAATAATGTAACTAAAAAAAAGTGTTTTTTGAGAGTACACAATAACAAAATTGATAAAAAAGAAACTCATTAGGTATAATATTTTCTGATTGCCTATAATGGCTTCTAGTTTACATATGTATGTATATTGGTTTTGAATTGTAAAATCATGTATGTTACACCGGACTTTAACCTTTCTTTACACGTGTTACGACATGAGGAAGAGAAAACTGATTTTGATTACATTAAATGTTATAACATTACCATCTAAATTTAATGTATATATGTATGTATGTGTACAAATTTCTGTATTTACTATTTCCCTACTAATACTTTAGAAAAATGTACATATAAAAATAAAAAATAGTTTATCGAGTTATCGAACTTTTTATAAAATCGCATTATTTTTTATTAAAATGTTTTATTTGTATGGGAAATTATAGAGTGTTACAAGTTCTGTCAAAAGTATAAGATATTTCTGACCATATGGGTATAGGCAATTTTTATTGTTTTTCTTGTTAAATTATTTTCCTAAATTTTCGATGCTTTGTGATATCTTGGATATGGCAAGCCTTAATAGCTGAAAAAGAATATAAAACATGTGCAAGATGCCCAAGTATACTATACTCCATCCTTATACATATGTCCCAACCAATTTATGGTACTTCTTTTCAAACGTTCCTTCTATTGTCTGTCTTTTTTTCACCTTGAACTTGAGCAACCGACAATGCTCGTGAACATTAAAAAACTTTAATTGTCTATTGGAATCAACACAGGACACAACCAGATAAACGTTTCGTATAGGACCGGTAGAATTAATTCTAGATACGTTCTACTGCATGGCTCCATCTCGGAGAAAATATGGGACGAGGCTAGGTATAACGTTGCCACTCACGTAATGCCAAATGGAGTAGAACTTATAATTGCCAACGAAAAGGAAAATAGTTTTGAAAAGCTAGCTGTGACTTCTAAAAAACTTGTTAGTTATAATAGTAAACCACTTTTGATCACAAAACAGTTTAACAAACCTCTGACTCTGGCCCCAAGCACGTTAGAGGATCAGATGACTTTGACATTGCCTTTAAAAAAGCAGGTAACCTTAAATAATTATTTAAAAACTATTGCAAATGTAACGACTTATATCACATAGGACACAGTTTTGCTTCCCGACAACTCTTTTACCACTAAAATGTGTTTTACCACCTACACTTACCGCAAAACCTTGATGGAAAATGGAAATATGAATGTTGTAAGCAAGGATCTAGTAATATCAAACCGTCTTACCGAGGATCGGATGACTACAAGTGATAGGACCATTTCTGATATTATTTCCTTCAAGGTAAGCATAGTATTGTTCGATATTTCACTGCAATAAACTTATTATTTTTTATATTCAGACACCAGAGCTCTTTGTTAAAGAGTTCTCAACAATATATCACTATTTTAACACGATTGATAACGGCCCTATGGAGCCAACTCCAATAGTAGTTACATCAAAACACACCATAATAAATACAATTACTGGGCCTGGTAATTCTCGGATTTTATCTGGAGTTTTCTCCCCCACCACAAATACCTACATCAGCCAAGTATTGCTAACTAAAATCGTATACGATATACTACAGGCACCAACATATTACATAAGAAATAATAGTATCACCCAAGTCGTAATCACAGAGTTTGTGTCCCCTCCAGCACTCATTTCAAGCTACCTATATACTGAGGAAACAACTTTTTCTCCTATTTCGAAGCAAGTACTTAGTTCAAAATCATCAACTATCAATAAGAATGAACTGAATAATTTAATAATATACTCAACAAAAGCGGTACTTGAAACACAAACTTTTTGCACCGCGATGGTTAGTGATAATTTTACTATATGCAGTTCACTCTGTAAAGTCAATCCAAAAATTTCTGCCCATCAAGCAATGATTCATTCTCACGTAATACAAAATATTGTAACCGACAAGCTGAGTAACACGCTGTTGGGTTCAGAACTATTGATATCGTTGAAATCAAAGCTTATGAAAAAAAAGGAGAAAAACAAACGCCAAAGCATTGTAACAATGGCAACATTACTGGGAGGTGAAGTCATTGAAGTAACTGCCATGAATATTATTGAAACACCATATATAAATGAAAAGCCTATGCTAACAAGCTCAAATGAACACTTTAATTCGGAAATGAACATAATGAATGCTGCACTGATAAGCAGTCTGCGAAAATCAACTTTGAGTGTAAAGCTGCTGGACTCTTCCAAAAATGTAACCAAAATATCTGAAAAAACAGCACATTATACGGAAACCTTAAAAAAAAATAATACAGATTTAAAATTATCGGAGTTGAATAATAATAATGAGGTATAAGAAAAAAAAAAAAATAAAATAAGTTTAAGAATATATTACATATATTTACATTACTTTTCTTCTTTGTATCTTTACAGGTTGACTTCATTGGCAACATAAATTTAAAACTATTTCGACCGATGTTCAATGTTGTGGCACATATACTAAAAAAACAGTTAGTAAATGCACCAAAGATAGAACTTAATCGCCCGTTAAATGATAAAGGAAACCCAAAAATAAATAATAATAATAAATTTGCACAGGCAAGCCAAATAATAAATAAACCAGTTTATATACCTTTGAAGCAAAGTGGTAATACTGAAAGTAGGAAAAAACACCTTAGTTTCACAAATACAGAACAAATTAAGGTGTACCCGCCTGAGATCGATGCAATAAAATCGCGTTCTCTAACACAGATTATATTTAACGCGTTAGTTAACACCGTTATTCCTATTAGACCTGGTGAGATAATAACTGCCAGCGCTGACGTTATTTTTGGAAGACCGACTAATAGTGTATTAGTAACTCCCACTTTGTCAAAGTTTTCCAAATACATTTATTCAACTTTGTTGAAACCAATAAAATACATCGTTCCATTTAAATCCACAATATTGCCTTATGCGCAGTCCAATAAGAGAAGAATTCTTATAGAGTACGCCAGTATATTGAAGCCACCAAGATTACCTGAAAATAAACAAATACTACTACAGTACCCACCATTAGGACGAACTCAAGAAAAACAGATGTTTTCAGCTCATGAAATGGTTAACAAAAATCCGGTTATAGACTTTTATTCCTCTCAATCACGAATTGGCTTTAATTCAGCCTTGCACAACAACCAAGTTAATCGTGTACCAGAAATATTAGGTACAATTTATAGAACTACTAAAAGTTATTACACAACCACAAACTCAGATAAGTATTCTTTTATTGAGGATTTTTCTGTAGACATGTTGAGCACAGCCATGCCCATCAGAACGCCTTTCATTATATCATCCTTTTCCGAGCTTCAACATGTTAACTTTAAACATGATGTCCTTAGCCACACAATTAATGTGCATGCCCGTCCACTGACATTTAAAAAAGAGATGGAAAACACTCCGCATTTCGAAATACCTGCTAGCAGCTTTAGGACTGAAGTCCCATTGAGATCAAATCACAAGAGGGTGTTTCCTTACGACAATAAAAAAATAGTCTTCGAGGAGGTCGATTTCAATAAACTTAATATTTTAAGTAACTTCAAGTTTGGTCAATATCGTAATCCAACAAGACATATGGATGGACATCTTCATGAATCAGATCAAGTTGCCCAACATTCAAACAAATCATTTTATCTTTTAAAGATTACCTCAACAAAAAAATACGATCTAATAAATAACACAGCACCAAATAATTGGCCTTCAAGCATACATTTTTTTAATGAATTCACAATGTCGAATAGCAACCATAAGGGGAAAATTCACAAGATGTCCTTAAGCAGTTTACAAAAGCTGGTTCCATCAAAAGGGGAACATTTTTATGTAGGACCATTAACAGGGTACAATACTGAACCTCCAAGGTTTAACGCGAAAATTCCTAATGCAATTGACTCTCCTTCCCCGAGTGATGATATACAAAGTATAGTATACCTAAGTATACAATTGAAAAGTACGAAGACAGATAAGCTTATGTCGAATGACCACATAAAGTTGAATACAGCATTATTAAGCCCAATGAATAATAACAGATCCAACGCCATATTATCAGTACTAAATTCAGGCAATGCAATTGCAATATTATCAACAAGACAGCTGCTGTCCAAGTCTACTCAAATCTTGTCTACTTCAACCAAAAGTACAACTACTAAAGCCGGCAACATGAATCCAATAATTGCCTTAAAAAGTGATAAAAATCACCTTGAACCTTCTGAAATGTTACAGAATGATATTACTTCTGTTTCAAAAACAGCAATGTATTTGGAAAAAAATTCAAGGTTCTTCACAAAATTAAAGCCAATAAATTCATTCCTTTCAACATCCTTTTATACCAGAAATACACCAAATTTCTTTTCTATTTTAAAACCCACCAAAACCATATTAAATGTAGTGAACGGATCTGTTTTAAAAAGCATATTTGACTTGAAAGATAACAGATCTATTGGGCACGCGATATTTAAAACGAAAAATGATGTAAAAAAACCAATTTCCATTAGGTTTCAAAAAGAACCTCCTCCGCCAATAAGGTCACAAGTAATTCGTGAATATGATGTTAAACATGTTAGTCAAATGACCAAAAATTTTAAACCTACAGACCACACATCAGAACCATCGAAATCAATTAATGATTCGGGTTCCAAAAACGTTGTAGATATTAACAACACGATTAAAAACAGTCTGAGCATTTCGAAGCATGATGTTATTAAATATGGGTCGACCAGTCTATTGTCCTCAGACTTGACTCGACATGAAGATCTGTATACAACCAGCGTTCCAAATAAAATACCCATTGAACCATCAAAATCAATTAATGATTCAGGTTCCAAAAACGTTGTAGATATCGACAACACGAAAAACAGTCTGAGCATTTCGAGGCATGATGTTTTTAGATATGGGTCGACCTATCTATTGTCCTCAGACTTGACTCGACATGAAGGTCTGTATACAACCAGTGTTCCAAATAGTATACCCATTGGGGCGACGAATTATTTAAAAACAACTATTTCAGCCGATCCTTGTAATCCGCCGTGCAAGTCAAATAAAAACGAAATTTGCGTAACCTATGGTTTGTCTTCAAGTTTTTGTGGCTGTCGGCCAAGTTTTGGACGGCTGTTTCCGGATCTTCCTTGCAAACGTATGTAATGTGATTGATTTGATATGCCATGAGTTAATTTCCTGATCACTTTTTCTAGCCACTTATTCTTACGAAATGAAATTGCAAACCGACTGGGTTGAAAATTCTTTAATAAAGCTGATTGGAATAGATATGAATTCCACAAACGAATATCACCATATAAAAATAATTTTTACAGACGCCGTCGATCGTATGATTATGCAATCTGATTATAGGAACATATTTCATGGCGCGCAATTACAAAGCATTTTTGCAGAGGAGAAAAACAACAAAATTACGGCTACATTTTTATTACAGGTAAGTGTTGTACAGCTCGATTAATTTTAATTTTTTTTTTTTTTTTTTTTTTTTTAGCTTTAAATTTATTTATTGAGTCTTCTCTTGAAGAGACATACAATAAGAATTCAGATCTTAACTTATACTGTATATTATTAATTTATATTATTTATTTGTTATATTATGTTTAATTAATTTTAAATAATATTTCTTTTGTATATAGTTGTCAGAGAACAGCGATGAAAATCTACTAAAATCAACACTTACAAAACATTTACGACTAAGCAATTTTAGTATTGGAGGCACTGGTTTGCACACTTCAAAAAATGGTCCTAATTTATTAGCTTTTAAAGGTAAGTAAAAAGTATCGTAATGCAGTGAAACGTTTTTAAATGGTTACACTTTTTATCCAAACAGATTTCGATGAGTGTCGCCATAAAGACTTTAATGACTGCTCCAATGATGCCCACTGTTTTAATTTAGTTGGCAGTTACACTTGTGTTTGTAAAGAAGGTTATATGGATATATTCCCAAACGCATTATACCCAGGTCGCCATTGCTTAGATAATAAAATTGGATGTGATAAATGTAGCTACCATGGAAAATGTTTTCAAAAGTGGGCAGACAAACAACAACAGGCAATAACATCGTGCAAGTGCAACAGTTGGTATGCTGGAACAAAATGCCAAGTTAACCTCAAAGTGGTAATAATACTTCTTTTGACTATGGGCACACTTTTGTTGGCATTGCTGTTGTCTTTCTTATTGCTTATAAACATCAAACCTAAAAATAAGGGCAACAGAATAGCAAGCCAATTTAATAATGCATCTTCCCAATTACATCGCAGCATAATATCATCAAACGAAATTTGTGAAATAAGCCAAACTATGCTAGCCGTTTCTAAAAAGGTAATAATAATAGTTTTAAGGAATTTAATTAAATAATAACTAATTTCATTTGTTTTTTAATAGAAATGTAAAAGCTCGTACATCAAGGAAAAATCTGCTACGCAGAATGATCAGACCTCTTCAGCTTATAATACAAGCGACGATTTAACAGTCAAAATTTCCAGTAGTTCAGATAATAACTTTGACGAAGACGGGCACACCTACCGCTCTCTCACTCTTATGATTCCACGTGCGAAATTCCGTCTGCCATTTACTTCTAAGATCTCCTATATTAACCATCAATCGAATATGCATCTGGAGCCCTGTCGATCTGGTACTCTAACTCTAGCTAGTCGAAATGATTCCGATGAACTTTTCTACAGAAACCCCATTAGCCCAATGTCCTATCCTGGTATCAGCGGGTGTGAAAGTATCTGTCGTTGTTAGCAAACATTTATTGTGAAATTTTACATAAGTTATTTAGATTTATACAAAACAATAGGATGTGAAGCTTATTGCAATTAATGATAAGCTTGTGATCATCTTCACGTTGTAATTTTTCTATATCCGTAACTATTAGAGTACAAATATGTTTAAAATAGCTAAAGTATTATTTTGATTGATCAAGATCATCAATCGAGATGTCTATCAGTCCGTACCAATCAGAAAAGAGATCGGTTTTTCAAAAATTTATACGCTACGCACCAGACTTTGACTGGATATGCGAACTACACAGTGAAAATAGTTTTTGTTTATAAATATTCTGGTTATAGTTATTAGTTATAAATATTATTTGAGTTATTTGAGTAAAGAGTATCCTCCCTCGTGAATAACTCGCTTTAGGACGGACGATCCTCCCTGGTTAGGACGGGAAAGGGAAGGCGAATCCTCCCTAGTGAATAACTCGTTTTGGGACGGGCAATCCTAACTAGGCATGTCGGGAAAGGAAAGGCGGATCCTCCCTCGTGAATAACTTGTTTTGGGATGGACAATATTCCCTAGTCAGGTCGGGCAGGGACGGTGGATCCTCCCTATCGCGCATCGAGTGATTTCCTAAGCCTGAGAATACTCTGTCGGCTGCGGCCTCGTCCGAAGGTCCAGCCCGTGGGATTTTTGGGTCTGAAAAACCCCTCCAAGACGATCACAAAACTCTGTTCGTCGAACGGACAGACTTCTCTATTCGACTGAGGTTCGGAATTCGACTGAGGTTCATACCCCGGCTGGAAAACATCCTTACAAGTGGCGCCCGAGCAGGGACACTAAGGCTAGCTAGAGTGACAACAAAGTGGCGTAGAGACCCACTAAAGTTATAAATATTCTGGTATCTGAATGAATATCAATATCTTTGGAATTGAGTGATATATGCACAAAAAATGGATTAGCAATAGCTAAAACTTTAAAAGTTATTTGAGTAAAGAGTATCTAACAACCGGGTCCCTCGACGAAAAACAGAAAATTAACTACGAATTTAGAACTCAATAAGTATACATATAGTCTATATGATATAGAACCACGAACATTAAATTTAAAAGTTTCTTTTAGTAAAATCAGTCAGCGGAATCCTATAAAAAAGAAACAAATATGTTTCATATAAATATTGTGTATAGCATTCGATATTGACTGCTAACTTTATGAGTTTGTTTCTGGAATAAATATTAAAATTGATTTTAAGCATTAAGTTATACATTTTATTTAATGTATGTAAATGCATTTTTAACAAGTAACAGAATGGGGTAAAGCATTAAAATTTGCAATAAAATGGTATAAACTCGAAAAAAAAGTTTTTGAATCAATGAAAATTTTCAAGTTTAAAAAGGATTTGTAAAAGAGTGTCCCACATACACATTTACAGACTGCAAAAAATAATTTAATTATTTGCCATAAAAGGTTATGTAAACAACAAAGTGTTCCGAAACATATTTAATGTTCTGGAAAAATATAAATAAAGTATTGGAAAAAAATATTCAAGGTTGTGACAATAATATATTGACTTTATCTGATCTATTGCTTCCCACATCCTTTTATACAAATAGTACACCAAATTACCTAAATTTTTTGAAAGCCACCAAAAACCAAATCTAGTGTGATGGACACATATGAATTTAAATATATTTATGTTTATGTACAAGAAACATATTCTTTAAACACTTGAAATTCAAAACATCAAAAAATTATATAAAACAAAACAGTTTTCAAAGTGTACTTACGCCATTAAGTTGATTAGTAATTTCTTAAAATATTCCTATTCAGGTAAGTCAAATTTAAAAGTTTAAATCTTTTAGGCCATGTAGTAGCACCATCTAATATTTTGAGGTCCAGAGGTATCAATAATACGAAAAACATAATACTTATTTGCTATTGCAGCCATAGAATAAAAAAGAACATTACCGGAAAAGAAGTACTACGCAATAATCAATATTAAAGAGTTGTAAGCTCAAAGCTGGCTTCTTTTTTGTTATTTTATTAAATATATTTTTTAGGTTAAGAGTCGTTCTTTATATATAAAATAATATGCTTTTGTCATCTTTTCAATATATTACGTATATTGAAATAATATATATATAAATTATATATATTACGTACAACAAGAAAGGAAGCTAGCTTCGGAAAGCCGAATAGTTACTTTAGTTTGTAACCATAAAGCGGATTTAGAATTAAAAATTATAACTAAAAATTTGAATCATTTTTAATTAAAAATTAAATCGTAGAGACGACAATGTCTCGTACAGTTAGTTTTTTTTTTACATTGCCATTCGGGTTTTGAAAACTGAATCGATTCAAAAACCGATTTTTTTAAATCGTGAAACAAAACCACATCCCGAATGATTTCAAGAACTGAAACGAGTTATCTATCTGTATAAATTGTTTATAACAACAAGGTTTTATCTCGTAAATTGTGTCTGCTGGTGCTCCTGTACCTCGGCGTCGCCATTCTTCAGCTTTGCCATCGTCCAGCGTTGTGACCCACCGCTCAATGTGACCGGCGGGTGCGAGTTTACATACCCCTAGTTAACATACCCCTCTCACTGGCCACATGATAACAGCGGACCCGGAGTTAACATGCCATAGTTAACATACCCCTGTCACTGGCCACAGAATAACAGCAGACCCGGCAACCCTAGTGCTGACGGACAACAACAAACCGCCAACATGCCAGAACTCTGACGAACACACATATATTTTCTCTAATCACTTTGTAATAAAGATTCACTTTTATTTTGTGCTCCGAACAAAACGCGGTCGTTTTCCTTACAAGCTTATTTTCCAGCGTTTTCCAGGGCGAAATTCGCTAATGGGAGACACCCTTCTACTCCCTCGGTCACAGGACTGTGACTTGCGCGCCTCCACCCGATCCGGCAAGCTCCTCCCACACCCTTGCCGACGTGTCCTTCTCCGGGATGTCGGTGGCCAGCTATGTCCATGTCGCTGGTGTCACCTTCTGCTGCATCCTATCCTACGGCGCAGCTGACGGTGAACGCGGCGAACGATTTGGTATATGCGGGCCCTACCATCAATAACACTGTGCGACAAAATTTAACAAAATCTTTGTTTAAGTTACTTTTTTGATTGTTTTCGGTTAAGGTGCATAAATTATGCACAAAAATATCTACGCCACCTTTTAAGTGAAACGATTTCTTTTTCATGTTAAATTTTATAAAATTATTATTATGAAAATAATTAACACAAAATATTAGTTTTTTTTTTACTTTCAATAAACTATTATTTTTTTTTAAAGTGAATTTTTTTCTGATTTTTTTGGCTTTTTCAGACGTATCCTCGCGTAACAAGTTCCATACGTAGTCGCCCAGAGTATAGAGCTGGAAGAAAAAAATTTTAAAGCATTGTGATAAAAGCCTAACAGTATATTTGCTTAATACATTTTAATTAACAGATGTCGAACTTGCATTAACGCTTATAACGGTTAAAAAATATTTTCCCAATATGTGATTATAAGGCTGTGAAATATGCAAAAACGCGCGTTTTTGGGACATTTGAGTGTGTGTAAAAGCTGATTGGCTATTGATATTAACAAATCCACAAACTTATATTCTTATTTTGATTAATAGAAGTGAAAAATAAGAAAAAATCAACTAAAACATTTTTTTGTCGCACAGTGTAATAGTCAATAATAAGAGCAATAAATCGTTTACTACCTCAATCTGCACATGAACTGTTTCCCTTGATTGAGCACATAAAGTGGACATGTCAACGTTAAGTCCCGCCTTTCACCTGAATATTCTGTGTTAGAGCCTTTAATATTGAAGTCAAGATTAATTCTTTATCGTGTTTCTTAAAAATTATGTATGAGTTATCAGTTAAGTAATTTGTCGAATTCGCTGTGACGGTTCAATAATAAGATAAAATCCTTGTTTGGGTTCAGTATTTTTATATTCTCCCAATAGTCTTTTTTCGCCCTATAGTTCAGCGACCATCATTGAAACCCTTAAGGTTTCCCAGTGTATCTACGTAGTCTGGTTCAGACATTATTATACTTTTACTCTTAGAGGAAAAGAGTATACTGTTGAAAAGTATGTTACCGGTAAAAGATATACTAGCGACGCTATTAAGTGTAAATCTTGATCAGAATCATCAGACGAGTTGATCTACAAGTATGTTTGTCGGGTCATCCAGCCGCAGCAGATATTCAGATTCTCTTGGTGACCCCGACGTGATTTGTGCATAAAAGGGACTCAGTGCAAGTCACAAAAATTAATTATTTTACCAGGCTGCATATTTTGCTTTATCTGTGTTGCAGCTACATTGTGCGTTTACCTGCCATAAACAACACAAATGTTTATAAATTGATTTGTGAAAATAATAGCACTCTTGGTTACACGGACTTGTACATAAGGCGGTATATAGACCAGCGGCGGACCAATTTTTCGCATTCTCCTTTGCGCTCATCTTCCCGCTGAAGCCGAATTTTGCCCGCTGAGTCTGCTGCATATCTCACTTTGTGTTTGGTGCAAAACAATAAAATTAATTGATTTATGCAAATAATAGCACTCTGGTTACACAAGCTTTTACATAAGGCGGTATATAGACCAGAAGCGGACCGATTTTTCGCTGTTCCCCGTTACGCTTATCTTCCTGCTGAAGCCGAATTTTGCCCGCCGAATCTGCTGCATTTATTTTGTTGTTGTTGCTGCTTAACATGTCTTCAGAAAATTCGGTAATCGTCACCGGCAATAGCAGCTCAAACAGGGTGACATTTCTGAAGCGCAAGGCAAATTCACTATTTAATAGAGTGGAGCGTTTAATGGAATCTCTTTCAACTTCGGCGTTGAGTTCGTTTGACGATTCTGGCCTTCATGTGAGGTTGGAGCTTATTGAGGAACTTCAAGGATCATTTAAAAAGGTTCTCAGCGAGCTTGAGGAGTTGGATTTCGACGAAATTGAAAACGATTTGGACGAGAAATTTGATGACGTCGTCGTAATTCTTAAATCGACGGTTCGATCGGAGATCACAAAGCGCTCCTCGCAATTGCTTCAGCAGTCAACCTTTGCTGATGGTAATACGTCCGGTTATTTCGGCCATCAACAGCCACAAGCTCTGCGCCGAGCTATTCCACTTCCCGCTCTTGAACTTCCGAAATTCGCTGGAGGTTATGCGAATTGGGCAGATTTCTATTCTATGTTTACAACGATCATAGATAGTCATCCTGACCTGACCAACATAGAAAAGCTGCAGCATCTACGTTCATGCCTGAGGGATTCTGCGTTGGAAACCATCCGCTCGCTGGAAATTTCGGATGGCAATTATTCTGTGGCATTGGACTTATTGCAAAAAAGATTTGATAATCGTCGTTTAGTTTTTCAGGCGCACATTACTGAGATCCTGGGGCTTAAGGCAGTGCAGAGTGGTTCCGTCTCGATGCTTCGTGAGCTGTCCGATAAGTTTAACGCTCATATTCGTGCTCTAAAGGGATTGGGCACGACGGAACAAATCGCAGGTTGCATTATCATCCAAATACTACTTCAAAAGCTAGATCCTGCGAGCCAGGCCAAATGGGAGGAGCGATTAGAGGATCCAGTATTCATCAATCTATTTCCGACGTGGGAATCCATGGCATCATTTTTGGAGCAGCGATGCAGAACGTTGGAGACTATGGATTTCGACATGGCAAGCTATGCGCCTGGCAATCAGGTGGGAAACAACGGAACGCCTAATCCTCGTAGATCCGCTTTTGTTGCCACAAATATTAGCCCTTGGATTTGTTCGTTCTGTAATGCTTCTGGTCACTCCATTTATTCCTGCCAAGATTTTTATGCCCTGCCTCCTGCAAATCGGCTTCGAGAAGTAAAGAAGCTCTCTCTTTGCATAAACTGCCTTAAGTTAGGTCATCAATTGAGGCAGTGCAATTCCAGCAATTGTCGTGCATGCGGAGCTAAACACCACACTCTCCTTCACTTGGGAAATTTAGCCTCAGCTTCTCCACAGGCAGGATCACAGCTTCCAGAAGCTCTTGCCGCTGTCTCACTCAATGCTGTCGTAAAACCATCTGCCGTGCCTTCCACATCCACTGCTCTTATTGCTCAGGATTTCAGTACTGACAATGTGCTCCTAGCCACTGCCACCGTTCTCGTAAAAAATCGGTCTGGAGTTTTCGTTCCATGTCGAGTCCTTCTAGATTCGGGCTCTCAACTGCATCTAATAACATCCCGCTTTGCAGATCAGCTTCAAACAAAGAAAATAAAGTCCTCGGCATCTGTTACTGGAATCGGTGATTCGAGCTTTCTTACAAATGGTCACTCAGTTAATATTACGATGCAGTCCCG